AAAAAAAAAAAAAAAAAAGAGTTGTCAAGTGCATATGGTTGTGATGCGATTGGAAAAAATGGCCCCCAGTGGAGGGAGACTACTGGCGGGGCCGCAGAATTTAGGTTTGATAAGATCGTAACACCCATGTGGCTTTCTCGGAACCGGAAGGAAAAACAGCACAGATGATTAAGCAAATAAATCGGAGAGAAAGAGAGAGAAAAGGTGCCCAATAATATGCGTGTTGTAAACTTGGCACGCCTTCGGCTTTGGGCTTGGCAGGATTTCGGGCTTTGGCCGCCGAGATTGCGGGGTTTGCATCACCGCCATGCCATGTCCCTCCTTCACGCGGGCAGATCGCCCCGACGCGATGCCGGGGGCCGGACGCAGACTCGACAGGGGCTGCCGCGGCGGACGCTCCGCCGAGTCCCGCCTGCAGCAGGATTTCCCAAGACTTGGGTGGTTTGCTAGCTTTGCTTTGGGTGTTGGGCGGAGGGCAGGTTCCGGGGAGGCCCGGGCGAGAATGCAAAGCAAGGATTAATTATTGTGTGCATGTAGTTTAAGGTTTGAGGCTAAAAGCTTGTTGGTTGAAGGGAAGCCAGGGAGGAGAGGCTTTCTTTGTTCTTTTATAGATGACCTGGGCTTATTGTTTCAGGAAAAAACGTCAGGAAGGGCTGGCTGGGCTGTAAGCAGCAGTTCGGCAGTTGGGAAGCCCTACTAATTAATGTTATTTGCATGTGCAACGTTGGCGGTACCGAGGGGGCCGGGCCGATTGGTCGTAGCGTAGTTGTCACTTTCCCCTAGGCCAAGGTACTGCTGTAACTTATTCTAACCACGGACGGACTACGAGCAAGGTAACCTGGCAGCCTAGCCGCGCTATCCTCTTCATTTTGGTTCTACGGGCGTTGCTCTGCTCATAATAAAAGACTCCTCTCCTCCTCCCGCCTTTGCTCATCCCATATCATTGACGGATGGGGCAGGGGCACACGATTGGTTCTGTTTCAGGTCCTATATCGATTTTAACACTACCATTCTATTATTACCTTTTTACAGCACTTCAGTTTTGCCCTGTCTCGCGCCCCCCCGTTGCAGGCAAGGTCGATCCAAGCAAGGCCCGGCCCCGTCTTATTAAAACTGCCTTCCTTTCCCTTCCCCCCCCTCTCTCCTTCCATCACCCACTCCCGCTTTAGCCAAGCCCTTACGAACAGATCGAATCATCCATCCATCCATCTCACACTCGTTTCTTTCTGCCGGCCCGTCTCTTAATCTCGTCCCGCCCCCCCATATGCACGACAAGATCTCCAATCTCCGCCCTACGAATCCCTGGTAGCACGGCAGGTCACGTCTCGTCTCGCTAGATACCGCTCGCCCCTGTTTAGGTAGTAGAGTGAGCTAGTGCTAATTCCAAGTACTGGCGGACGCTGTCGGTGAATCATGACACACGTCAAGGCCGGTCAGCGTCGTCGGGCCAAGGCCCCCAAGGTCCGGACCGGCTGCCGAACATGCAAGTAAGTGCTTATCTGCCGCATCTCCGGGCCTTCAGTCCCTCGCTCCGGCACGGGTCCCTGACGTGCCACACCTCTGGGTTCGGTGTCTTGGCTGTCGACACACACGAACCTACCGCAACAGCCGAAGCCATGAATGCCCGCCATGATGAATGCCAGCCTGCAAAACCCGTGCTAACTAGACATTGTTCTTGTCCCGTTTCTATAGAGGTGCGCTCCAACTAGTTCCCATGTCCATGTTTCGTCTTGTTAAAACTAACCTGTGCCCCAGCCCGCCGTGTAAAGTGCGACGAAGCTCAGCCCTCGTCCCCCTCCCCTCCCCTCCCCTCCCTGGATGCCTTCACCATGCATGTAGCATGCCCAATCGCAAGTCTTGTCTGCCTAACCGCCGTCAACGTACAGGTGTAACTACCGGTCGCAAGTGTGATGGCTACGAGCCCCAGCCCGAAACAAAGCCCATCCGATTCGTGACTTTGATGAACGTCACGTATCCTCCAAGCGAGCTACGCTCTTTTCAATATTTTCAAGAAAATACTCTCTCCCAGCTCTTCACATTCATCCAAGAAGATATGTGGACGTCCCACATCATTCAAACGGCAAACATGCACCAGGGCATATGGCATTCTGTCGTTGCATTTTCGTCATTTCATGAAAACTTTTTAAGACATGGCGATGCCGGCCAAGAAAACCATGACCGCTTCGCGCTCAAGCAGTACAACATGTCCATACAGAGCATACTGGGGTCGGAAAGGAACTCGAGCAACGCACACGTACACTTGATCTCGTGCATCCTTTTCATCTGCATCGAGGTATGTTGACCCTTGTTCCAGTGCTAGACTAGGCTAACATGTTGTTTCTTACGTACATGATAGGTTCTTCGCGGCAGAATATTGACAGTACTGCAGCTCCTCATTACGGGATACGCAATATTGAAAGAAGAACGGGCACGTTCTTATAGTCCTTATACTGAATCTAATGGACCATCGAGCCGTGATCGGGACGCGCTCTTTGCGGCTGCTGATATTTTCCTCAGTCGCATCGCGACACAAGCATACTTGGTGAGTGCTCCATCGTACAAAACTACTCTGCGACTCTAAAACAACACAATTGTTCTTCTAACACTCCTACAGCTAGTCAAAGGGATAGATCCAAGCCTCGCCACTATGGTAGCAGAGATTCTAGATTTCGAGCGACTTGCCTGGAAAGAGAGACCAACGTTCCACAACCTCAACCAGGTCCAACATGCACTCAGCACCCTCCGGCTCGAGCTGGAGACGTATAATCAAAGCGGAGTGGGCATGGTGCCTGTCAAGCTCCGATGGTGGCAATCCGCCTTTGACAAGTTCAAGAAGACGTACGCCGAGCAGCTGCTGGCGACCCGCGAGGGCAGGCGAGGCCTGGCGCTGATGGAGCTCCAGGGGCTCTTCGTGAGCGTCGAAACGGCCGTCTTTGACGGACCTCCTGGTGCGGACGAAGACCCGCTCCGTTGGGACGAGCACACGGATGCCTTCCGGGAGATGCTTCGCTACGCCGAATTGGCGACCGAGCAGGAAGAGGAGGACAGCAGCAGTAGCAGCGGCAGCAGCAGCAGCGGTAGTGCGCCACCTCCAGAGAGGCGGCGGCCACCACAGTTCAACATGCACATTGGAGTGGTCCCGGTCCTCTACGGCATCATACACAAGTGTCGGGACCCGGCGATTCGGCGGCGCGCCGTCGCACTCATGTCCGCCGAAGGCGGCTCACAGCGGCGACTCGAGGGCGTCTGGGACAGCAGGGTGGTGCTGGCTGTCGCGCTGCGTGCCATGGCCGTCGAGGAGCGCGGGCGCCCGGGGGGGCCGTCGTCGGCGGCGGAGATTCCGGCGTCGGCGCGGGTACGCCGCATCGCGGTGCTTCCAGCCGCTACCACTTCCACGGCAACGCGCCAGGGCGACGAGTGCGAGTGCGGTACCGGTCCGCCCAAGTCATACGTGGTCGGCTACGAGATTGATAGCAAGTGGGCGTGGGAACACGCTGGGGGTTTTAGCGAAGGGACGCCAGACTCAGCGGAGCGGATAACCGAGTTGGGATAATTTTCTTTCTTCTCAGGCTCTGCCCAGGGTTTCAAGTACTACGTACTTGCTGCTTCATTATTGGTATATATATGATAATTGTACATTGACCAGGGATGGCCTGGAATGGCATGTGCTATGATCTGTTCTCCTCAGATCACTCGGCGACGGAATAATAGTTGGTTGGTAGTGCGTGAGTGTTGGCTACCTGGCGGGAATGCTACCTCGGCGGTCGGTGACGGGAGCACAGTGGTCCGTCCCTGGCATGAATCGTCTTGATCCAATGTTTGCAAAAATCGCTTGATCTGGTACTTACTTGTACTACCAGAGGGAAGTCCCGCCACCTGCCAATTGCAGCAGCCCCTGGCCAAGCCAGAGAGATGAGCCCTATCGCCTCTCGGGCCTCCTGCCAAGTCCCCATTCGTCTTGTATAAAGTTTAGTTGCGCAGAACAGATGGTAAATGACGGAATTGGTCATGTCCTGGGTTAGCAGCTTTCTGCTACACTAAGCTGCCTTGATCGACAGAGAGAGTTGGTGCGAGCCGCATCAAAAGCAGACAGAACTTATTAGGCACCTAGTGTGTATCATCCATCACATTTCCCTTCTCTTTTGTCATTTTCTGCTTGGATCTCTTTAACAGACCGGCTAATGAGACTGTCCGTGCATTGCTTATCAAGGCGCCCATGGGAATGGAGCTAGAAAACCCATTCGCGCCATTCTGCCTTTGGCCCGCCTATTGCGCGAGGACTGTGCGCTCAGTCTACTACCAACAAATTATGCCTCCCGATACGGAACCGTGTCAAAGCCGGCCCGTTCACGATGGGGGCTGGATTTCCACGTTTTTTTCTTCCCGCTCGGATGTGCCCAGCAAGGTTTACGGTTGCGTCTTGCGGATCTACTGGTAAATATGAGAGAGATGATGGGCTCGTCGGTTGTTCGGGGCACGGCTCTCGGGACTGGATAAAGAAGGGCCAGGGCCCATTGCCTTGTCTCGGACTGAACCTCGAGATTATTTTTCACATCTGGGTTTCTCTGCCCTATGCTCTCATATATTTTTCATTATAGTGGCAAAAGAGGTCGGTCACTATGCGGTCCAACAGCCTCTTTAATGCGCTCTGCACGCTGCTCTTAGCACTGCTCTTCGGAAATGCCGCCGCAATCACTCTTCGTACTGCCAACACCACGGGCAGCGGCGATTCTATTGTAGATAATCCTACCTTGAAGGGCAATTCTACTTCCGGTCAAGAGAACAAGACAGCGGCCGACAGCGGCAAATACCTACTTGGCGTCGGCAAGGCCGACATCACCGGTCCCATCGCCGAAGTGGCCCTAACCGGCTACGCCAACCTGCAGCAGATTGGCTCCGGGCTCCGCCAGCGGCTCTTTGCGCGCGCCTTCATCATCGGCGACACGGAGGACCCCAGCGCACGGGTCGTCTACGTCGTCCTCGACGCGCTTGTCGGCGACACCAGCGTGCGCTTCGGCGTCCTCGACGCGCTGTCCAAGCTGGGCGACGACTACACGGCATACGGCCAGGACAACGTGGCGCTGGCCGCGGTCCACAGCCACTCGGCGCCCGGCGGCTGGAACAACTACCTGACGCCGCAGATCCCCGGCCTCGGCTTCAACGACGAGAGCTACGACGCGCTCGTCGCCGGCACCGTGCTGGCCATCCGGCGCGCGCACGAGAGCCTCGCCGAGGGCCGGCTGGACGTGGGCAGCACCGAGATCAAGAACGCGGCGGTCAACCGCTCGCTGTGGGCGTACCTGAACAACCCGCGGGAGGAGCGCGCGCGCTACGCCGACTCGACGGACAAGACGATGACGCTGCTGCGGTTCACGCGCGCGGCGGACGGCAAGGTCACGGGCATCCTCAACTGGTTCCCGACGCACGGCACCTCGCTGTACCGCAACAACACGCACGTCGCGGGCGACAACAAGGCGCTCGCGGCCTGGATGGTCGAGCGGCACGCCGCGGGGCAGGGCGGACGGTACGCGGCCGGCTTCGTCGCGGGCTTCAGCCAGGCCAACCTGGGCGACGCCTCGCCCAACGTCGAGGGCGCGTGGTGCGAGGACGGCTCGGGTGCGCAGTGCCACCTCGAGGATGCGACATGCGCCGACGGCACGGTGCTCAAGTGCCAAGGCCGCGGGCCGCACGCGGGCCTGCCCGACTTTGGCGCGGCGAGCTGCCACGAGATTGCCACGCGGCAGCTCAACGGCGTGCAGCGCATCATGGACGGGGACGCTTGGACGGCGATCCGCGGCCGCGTGCGGTCGTTCCACTTCTTCCACGACATGGCCGGCTGGGAGTTCACGCTGCCCGGTGGCGAGGCGGCGCGGACATGCGCGGCGGCGCTGGGGTACTCGTTCGCGGCGGGCACGACGGACGGCCGCGGCGAGTTTGACTTTGTGCAGGGGAACTCCGGGAAGCCGCACAACCCGTGGTGGAACTTTGTGCAGGACATCGTGAAGAAGCCGTCGCAGGACCAGGTCGCGTGCCACGCGCCCAAGCCCATCTTCCTATCGGCGGGCGAGCTAACGTGGCCGTACGCGTGGGAGCCCAACATCGTGGACATGGCGATGATGCGCATCGGGCAGCTCCTGGTCATCCTGAGCCCGAGCGAGGTGACGACGATGAGCGGTCGGCGGTGGAAGGAGGCCGTGGCCAAGCAGGCCGTCGCGGACCGCATCGTCGGTGAGGAGGGGGACAGCAGCACCCCAATCGTGGTGCTCGGCAGCCCGGTCAACGTGTACGCGCACTACGTGGCGACGCCCGAGGAGTACGAGGTGCAGCGGTACGAGGGCGCGGCGACGCTGTACGGCCGGCACCAGCTGGACGCGTACATCAACCTGACCACCAGCAACGTGCGGTACCTGCGGGACGACAACCCGACGGGGGGGGAGAAGCCAGCGTCGGGCCCGACACCGCCCAACAACGTGCGGAGCGCGCTGCGGCTGCTCCCGCCGCCGCTGTACGATACAACGCCGTGGGGGCGGGCGTTCGGCGACGAGCTGGCGCGGCCGCAGCGCGCTTACACGCGCGGCGAGACGGTCAAGGCGACGTTTCAGGGGGCGAATCCGCGCAACGACCTGCGTCTCGAGGACACGTACGCGGCGGTCGAGCGGCAAAAGGACGGGAAGTGGACGCGGGTGCGGGACGACGCGGACTGGTTCCTGGTGTTTACGTGGCGGAAGACGAGCGCGGTGCTGGGGAGGTCCGAGGTCGACATTGAGTGGGACACGACGGACGTCGAGCCGGGCACGCACAGGATCAGGTACTATGGCGATGCGAAGAACTATGGCGCGGCGAATAAGGGGTTTGTGGGCACGAGCAGTCCGTTTGCCGTGCGGTGAGGCGAAGGTGATGGAGTTGGGGATGGTGGCCAGTGAGTGGGCTGCTTTAACTTTGGCAATTTATAGATATCCTCTTCTTTATGTATAAATTTTAATAGACTATACCTTTATTGCTATTAGATAATGACGTGTACGAGTATATATTCACGGCTAAATATGCAGTAGAAGTTTAGCGCTTTGACTGCCAGTCGCTGTGTACAGTCGTAATATTTTTACTGGACGGTATTCCGCCCACGATTCAGTGGATGATGCTGTCTGCAGCCACTCACTCCAACGCGCCGTGGCTCAACCAGCAAGCAATACACCGCAGCCATTAGGGTAGACCGTAAAAGCAATCGAGAGGCAGAGAGAAGCTTGCGGAAACACAGAAAATCCACGAATAGCCGTCAATGACGGAATGCATGAGAAGAGATGTACGCACGAGACAAGTTACCTATGCACGCGAGCGATTGTCTCAACCGTCATGCATTAATTACCCAGCCACCATAACGACCCCGATCAGCTACGGCAGGGTTCAACTCCAACGCAAATCAGTGGGTTCGTTTTGTCCAGTCCTTGCAAGTTACTTGCTCTAGTTACAGATAAGAAGAGACTTGTGACAGGCGCTGACAACTTGCCATCGCGCATCAAGTTAGTGGCTTCTTTCGGTTAATCAAAAGGTTAGATGGATAGATTGACGAGCGGGGGCGTGCAGAGTCGTACCACGCTGGCATCCCCCTCTTCTCCTCAGACCGCAGACCTCAGACCATTTACCTGCATTTTATTGAGCGAGCTGCCGGTCCAAAAGGGACGGGACGAGATCCTACCATCGCTTTGCGGAGAAACCGTGTCCATGTCTAGAGTCAGCTAGACGATCCCCCTGCCCAAGCGTCGAATCTACCCATAAATCGGGAGCGGGCTCATCGCCATCACCAGACCTCTAGAGACTCCACAGACACACGACCCGGACTGCCAGTCGAAAAGCAATGGCACCGCGGCCGCAAGACTCCAACCTGGCGACATGGGACGAACACGACGGGCGCGCTTCGCCGTCCAGAAGCCTGAGCACGGCAAACCTGGCCGAGGAAGAGGTCATTGACGACAATGCCGACGGCGACTATGCCGATGAGGAATCCGGCCGCTGGATTGCCCAAGCCGATCGGAGGAGGTACGTCGAGCCCTAGGCCAGGAGAGCTTCTCACTCTGCTTGCACAGGCCTTGCTAACTGTTACTCCCGTCGTCCCAGATCGTCCGTCAGTCAGCGCCTCACGGCCATGGCCGACATTGGCGGCGTCAACAGCTTCCGACAGTTTGCGCGCAGCTGGCAGCGCGCCGCCGAGTTTCCCGAAGTGATCCCGCGACGACCGAGCATCGTGTACAATGACGACGCCGAGCCCATCGGGCAAGACGAAACCGGTACGCGCGACGAGGGAGAGGACGGGGCCATCTACTACGGCCGTAGTCCAGTCGCAGCCACGCCCACGACGGGCCTGCTCGCGCAGCATCTCGAGGGAGCGGTTGCGGCGGCTACCGGCCCGCTCGCGCCAGATGCCACGCAGGAAGACTTTCGCACCCGCGAAGGCAAGCTGCTAGATGCGGAGATGGCGGCCGGCGCGCTCCCGACGGCGACCGGTGGTGGTGGCTCGGCCTCGAGCCGGTCGAGCCTCTTCGCGGCGCCGCACCTCTCGTCGCCGTCCGTCATCGGCAGCTACGGCTCCTACCGCAGCAGCTCGCAGTACGGCACCATGGCCTCCGGCACGACGCGGCGCCACCGCCCCCGCGCCTCCATCCGGCCGCGGCGGTCAAGCACCGCGGCCCGCGAGAACGATGTCGACGTCGACGGCCCCGCGTTCGGCGAGGAGAGCCCGATCCTGGTCGTCCGCGAGGTCAAGCAGGGCGACCGGGTCGTCCTCACCGTCGACGGGCAGAGCACGCTGCCGCAGTCGACCTTCAACGCCGTCAACGCCATCATCGGCGTCGGCATGCTCAGCCTGCCGCTCGCGCTGCGCCTCAGCGGCTGGCTGCTCGGCCCGGCCCTGCTGACCGTCACCGCGGCCGTCACCGCCCACACGGCGCGGCTGCTCGCCCGCTGCATGCGTCGCGACCCGGCCCTGGTGACCTACTCGGACCTCGCGTACGTCGCATTCGGCGCGCGCGCGCGCGTGGTCGTCGCGGCGCTCTTCACGCTCGAGCTGCTCGCGGCGTGCGTCGCCCTGGTCATCCTGTTCGCGGACTCGCTGGACCTGCTGCTGCCGGGGGTGCGCGGCGGGCCGGCGGCGTGGAAGTGCGTGTGCGCGGCGCTCGTGCTCGTCCTGAACACGCTGCCGCTGCGCTGGCTGAGCTACACGAGCGTCGTCGGCATCTTTTCGACGTTTTGCAGTACGTAGGGGACGGGACACACCCGAGGAATTTGTGCGCGCCTATGCTAACGAGGATAACTAGTTGTTTGCATCGTCGTCATCGACGGCCTGGTCAAGAAGGAAACGCCGGGCTCGCTCTGGGAGCCCGCCGTCACCCACCTCTGGCCGTCAAACTGGCTCGCGCTGCCCTTGGCCTACGGGTTGATGGCCAGCCCCTGGGGCGCCCACTCCGTGTTCCCCTCCATCTATCGAGACATGCGACATCCCCATAAATGGGACAAGGCCGTGACAATCACCTTTTCATTTTCCGTACGTTACCGCACAGGCATTTGTTTGCCCTCCACTGGCCTGAAAACTACTAACTACTCTCGCCAGTACGTCTTGGACACCTGCCTCGCCGTCGTCGGCATCCTCATGTTCGGGGACGGCATCCGCGACGCCATCACCTCCAACATCCTCCGCACCGAGGGCTTCCCGCCGGGCCTCACCTTCTTCATGTGCGTGTGCATCGGCATCATCCCGCTCACCAAGATCCCCCTCAGCGCGCGCCCGCTCATCACCACCGCCGACGTCATCTTCGGCCTCCACTTCGAGCCGCAGCAGCAGCAGCAGGCCGGGAGCCGCCGCTGGGTGCGTGATGCTCAGCGCGCCAGCGTCCGCGTCGGCGTCGTCCTCGTCCTCCTCGCCATCTCCATCGTCTTTCCCGCTTTTGATTCGGTCTGCGCGTTTCTCGGCGCCGCCCTCTGTACCCTCATCTCCATCGTCCTGCCGATTGCGTTTTATTTAAAGCTCTTCCGGGACGAAATCTCACACGTGGAGCGCATAGTCTCATGGGTTATCATCATTGTCTTCTCCATCTTGGGCTTGATCGGCACGGCTTGCACCTTTTTGCCTAAGAGCATGGTGGATGCCTAGATGAAGCGCTCTCTGATAGATTATGACATATACTCCGAATAGAAATACCATTTTTCTCTTAAGTATTAGCCTTCTATTTTGTCCCACCTAACTGTCAAGCACCTACCTGTAGTACCTGGAGCAACGTCAGATCTGTATTACCTGTCTAGCGATCGGTATTGCAAAGCGACATGACCGAGTAAATTTCTGTACAACTTGCCTAGTTAGGGTTACGCCAAAAAGATTGGTATAAGCCAACCCTGGCTGTCAATTATTCCTAGTATTCAACATCGCACGACTTGCAAGTCAGGTCATTGTTTGAGTGGGTAACCTCTGGTATTTCCTATATATAACGACTATCTAATACACAGAAAGCGGGTCCAAATCTGTCACAATCTTGGACGTCATTGCGAAGCTTGCTGTATACAACGTAGCTTCAACAAGGTCCACCAAGATGTCGGTGATTCCGACCACGATTGACGGTAGGCAGTGTGCCAAAAGGCTCCTACCAACCACCAACCCACTCAATATCCCCGAGATCTGCGCGTCGATCACGACGCCAATTGAGATCTCTACCCTTGGTCACGGGGGAGTCCTTGACTCGGTCCTTAAAGCCGCTCCGGAGCGGCGACTGATCCAAACCACCCATCTCGTTGGCCTTGAACCCAAAGCCCAGAGAACGACGATGTTTCAACGCAGGTGGCTTTTCAATGTCCATGGCAGTACCACCACGACGGCGCTCACCCAACGCAGCCCACTTGTCGAAGTTGTTCCGCTTGGGAGGAGGAGAGTAGCGAGGCACAGTCGGGACAGGCTTGGGGAGGATGGCTTCGTGGAAGAAGAAGCCATCGACCAAGTCGCCATCAACATCACCCTTAATTTGTGTAGCTTCGGGAACTGGCTCAGTATTCTCCTTCTCAGCGTCTTGTACGCTTTCATGGCTCCATGTACGTGAGTTGAGGGCCTTAAGAGCTCCGCGTTGCTGCTCAATCTCTTCCTCTTCATCTTCATCCCACATGTCGCTCCAACTCTTGGACATAGGCTCCCGGTGACCAAAGACGGTTGACATGGAAAGCTGAAGCGGCTTAGCCATGGTAATTGGCAATGAACCAGCAGCCGGCGAGATATTGGGACGCTTCTGGTTGATCGTCAAGGTCTTCATGGTCGGCATGAGATGAGAGTCCATAGTCGAGGACATGGATGGCGTCTGAGGGGCAGCAGAGCACCAGTCGACAGTGTTCTCAGATTTGGAGAAGAGGTCTTCGGTGTAGCTCTCATCATCGGGAATAGCACTCAATTGACGGCTAGCATACTTGGGAGTGGCGTGGAGCGCACGAGTCCAGGGAAAGGCGCCGAATTCGACCTGAGGGCTTTGCAAGGAAGGCGTGCGGAGAGGCTCTCTGTTGGCAGAGGCCACGGTAGCTTTCTCAGCACCACAAAAGTCGTCGAGGGATTCGTCTTCGGTGGTGAATGAAACAACGCGCAATAAAGCGTCTCTCGCGCCGACCAGGGAACGCCTCTTGGGATCCAAATTCATGCATTGCACGATGACTTCGTACGTGTCCTGAGACATGGAAGGAAAGACATCGAACAAGCTCTGCTTGTCCCGGGAGTAGTCAAGGAATAGAGGGTCGGCCTCGGTCGGGGTGGTGAAGGGGTTGCGAGAGAAGAGAATGTTGAGAAGACAGATACCAATGGCCCAAATGTCTGCCTCGGCAGGCGAGTAGCCGGCTCCGGCAGAGTCGAATTGTTCAGGGGCCATGTAGCGATCGCTTCCGACAGTCATCTCGTAAGACCATTTGTCAGTTGTGGCTAGACCAAAGTCACCAAGCTTCATAGCACCATCCTGGGTGAGGAAGATGTTCTCCGGCTTGATGTCTCGGTGGTAAATGCCCTTGGAGTGAATGTATTCGACAGCATCCACTAGCTCTAGCATGAATTGACGAACGTGCTCAGTCTGTAGAGGTCCATGGCCGTTGCGGATCGCCTCATAAAGATCGCCCTGGCCACAGAACTCCAACACGAGAAAGATGTGAGAGTCGGTCTCAAAGGAATGGATGAGGTTGACGATGTTGTCGTGAGGGCTGATAGTTCGGTGAAGAACCAACTCCTCCGAGCGCTCGTCGACGGCAAACTCTTGACAGGCATCGCCTTGGCCGGCTTTCTTGGTCAAACACTTGATCGCAACCGGCTGGTTGGAAGCAAGATCTTGAGCCATGAAGACCATGCCGAAAGAGCCGTGATTGAGCGGTGAGAGGGTTTGGAATCGACCTCCGTCCAACAGGACGCCTCCAACAAACTTATCCCGTAAGCACTCCATGCCTGCAGGATTGAATAATGTAGAAAAAGACGGAGAAGACAATGAACAAGTATGGCAAAATAGATGCAATGACGCACGCAAAATGAAGTGACGGTAGTAGTTGTACAAAAAAGTCGCGGATTGCTTGCAGTAGAATCGCTTGTCGTGAAAATAAATGTGCTGCGCAACGTAGAGGATCGGACGAGCTTTGCTTCAGAGGATCGAAAGGTGTAGAAAGTAGAGTAGCTGAAAAAGTGGAAAGGAATTCGATGAATCGAGGAAGCAAGTAAGAGCTCGAGTTGCAATGTACAGGTAGCGTAAGGGTAGTGTAGAAAGCGACGGTGCACCCGACTGGAAACTGGGTGACTATGATTGTGGTCGTAGCTGAATCAATGGCTCATTTGAAAGAGGAGGGTTTTTGACAATAATAGAACAAAAGAAAAACGTGATCGAAGTGTCGAAGCAGCAACTAGGCAGGTGCCGATGGCAACTTTCGAAGGTTCGAAAAAACCGAAAAGGAAAGAGACAGGTAGACGTTATAATGACATCGAGGGTCGTGTGTATATTTTTGTTGGGCTGGATGAAATGAACGTGGCAGCGATGATGCTGTCGAGAGAGAGGATGACGGCGTGGGACGGAGCCGTCTGAAAATTGAACAGTCGAGTTTCGAGATGAATAGTTGATGGAGAGAGAGAAGCTGGTGAAGGGAGGTAGTGAGCGGCTTTGTCGGGCCAGACGAACTGGAACCTGTCAGAGCTGGGCTCTCCCTGAAGTAGAGCTGTCACCAGGAGGAGAGTGTCGAGGCGGGCACGTGCCGATATGTTGACGTTGGAGCGTTTGGTTGAAAAGCGGCAAACGGGATTAAATCCCAACAGTCAAGAGAGATTGGACGTTTATTTAGCTAGCGTGCCTTGGTCGGATGACTGTTGGTAGGTGAAGCCGAGACCGGCGGATCTTGACGTGGTCGGGGCGAGGCGACGGTATTGCGGGTCGGTCGTCAGCTGGAAATGGCAAGGGAAAAGACGCTCGGAACTGTTCAGCAGGTTCTAGAGGAGAGTGATGCTGGCTGAATGCGTGAGCCTTCTTTCTCTCGACGATAATTGGCAGTGGTAGTCGAGCGGCGAGGTCGAAGCCGTTGGCCTGTTGCTTGCAAAGAGTTGTGGTGGCGGATGTTTGAAAACGGTTGTGGTGGCGTTTAACGTGTGACGCACCGGTGGCGGATCACAGGAGAGGAGAGGAGGTGCAAGCTCAAGGAGAAAGAGGGCCTTCACGACGGAAGTATGGCGAGCCGTGAAAAAGAAAACGGATGAACGAGAAGGAGGAGAGGGCGGGTTGAAGAAGGATGAGGATAAGGTGAAGAAAGGAAAGAAGCAAAGAGCGAGTAAGGGAATGGCGGTGATGAGGATGGACTGGATGGAAGCAAGTGGAACGGGGGGGTCGCTAGTCGAAGCACCTGGCACTGTCGCTGGACGGTGGCTCTGGGGTGGTGGGGGGATTTCGATGGCGCTGCTGCGGCGGATACCAGGCACCTGCTGAGCGATGGCTTGGGAGCACAGTGTCGGGTGCACAGTATCAGGACCGTCTTGGAGAGGGAGGGTGGTCACTGTTGTGGTGGTTAGCGCCGACTAGCCCCGGAGCGGCTAGTGTCACCTACGGTACGTACCAGCTGGTGTTGCGATTACGTGTGGGTGCATTTTCGACGTGGGCCCTACCACGCCTGCCAAGTTGACGTCGTGGGAACTGTACGAGTTCACTGTAGGAGTACTGTGCGTGGACGGAGCGCAACTGCAACCTGCCCAGAACTCCATCTCTGCGCACCGCTGTGGCTGGCACGACTGGGCAGGGCCGTTTCGGTTTACCTGCAGCCTGGCGCTAACTAGTTGCCTCACCCAGGGCTAGCCAAAACCATGTCTTCTCGCACCGTATTGGCTCCGTGTGATCAGCGGCGCATTGCGACCAGCGAATCCTCACAGTGCAGGCACTACCGTGCGAGGTACCAGCCCTTCATTGTTCTACTGACAGTAGCGTGGTACTTGCAGCTTGCGTGTCTCCCGCGCGAGTTTCATTGTACCCGCTAACAACAAACAACTGGGCGGCGGTGTCACCGCCTGCAGCCCTTTGATCTTTGACCTTTGAACAAGAGTGAGCGCCGGCTCCAGCCTCCAGCACACGCAAGCGGGCATTGGCTGTGCTCTCAGCACATCATAACTGCCACACCACGCTAGTGAGCGTACTCGGTTGCCCGGTGGAGAGTGCCCGGCAAAGACGTCGCCCAGCAGTGAAATGACGAGAGGCCAACGTGACCAGTCCGTGCCAAGTCGGGCCAACTCACACAGTATACTTACCCCTTCTGCCCCGCGCTCTGCCCTCGGTCACGCCGCAGGGTACGGCCTTTCGTGGTACCATTTAGATGGCGTAGCACGGAAACATTACTTGTGAACTCGGTCTCGAGGCAGTTTCTCAACAGACTCGCCCTGCAATAGACCGGATGTATCCCTCGCACAGTGACACCCACTGACGCCATCTAGGTCAGCGATCGCGGCCCAGATTGCCTCAAGCGGCCGGCCCAACAAATTATTGAAGGGAGCTGCCACTGTGTTATCTATCTCATGTTCTTTGATGACTCCATGCTCCGATTCGGCCGTCAATGAGTTACTGTGACGTGTTCGTGTCTGATTACTCTCGGGTGCGCCAACAGTTCGCAATCTCTTGTGCAGCACGGGGTAAAGACAAAAAGAAGCCGATGTGTCTCTGTTTCAACCACCCATCAGTCAGGGTCCCTCGTTGGGCCGTCTTCTGGCATGCACTCCCTATCAGCTGCATGTTCTGTTACTATTCAATGGGGATCTCTCGTCAGGCACAGACCCTATTGGCCGACGAGACCAGAGCCACCCTCCTCTACATAACTGCAGGGGTTACCAAACACAAAATAAGCTGCACTGTGCTTGCTGATCTTGTTATCCCTTTGCCCAAGCCGCCAGCGAGTGACTGGTATGATAACACTTGTGCGTTTTTGCTCGTTTCACCGAGCGGGCATTGTTTTCAGTAGTCGTAAGCTCTTCGCCAAGTCATATCGGAACAAAGCTTAAGAAGACGATTGCGTTTCCAAAGCCCAATAGTCATACCCGTTATCTCGTATAGCCTGGTGCTTATTGCAGAAACTTTCAACGCTTTGCAACAAGCCCGCGATTCGCCCTGCGCTACGCAGTACCTTATTATACCATTAATACTAACTCCCGTAGGAGACAATAACAGGTGGATAGTGAGGAGCAATGCACCGTCAATTGAAGTAACTAGTGAGCCAATCTTCTGGCGCAGAGCGCACGGCACTGCGGGGGTGATCTAATAACTACAGACCGTCCAAGGAGATGAAGGGCGGGAGGGCAATAAACTATTGAGATACGTATCTCACGTCCAAATCTACCACTAAACCTGGCGGAAATTAGGTACCTGGCCCTCACACAACCCGGTACTGTTATTATTGGTCTTGGAGCTGCCTTTGCTGCATTGGCATGTGGCGGCTTCTCCCGTGGTAACAACAACAGCTGCTTACTCTTATCTGGCCTTTGTCTATCACTATGAAGTGATTATTCGTGACTGGAATGGTTCGGTCCGAGTTCTTCTCGTTCCTTCTTAGCGCCCGTCCATTCTATCTACCTATGTATACGGAACGCCATTGGTCCTAAAACCAAATTTGTAGGCGCTGGCCGGGGATTTTGATGGTACTCCCAACCTGCTTGCATATGTTATATGTAGACCTGGCAGCTTGCATGGTAGCGGCCCATATTGGTGTTTATCTTGAACTTGGAAGAGGATGGGGGCTTCCGCACTGTGCATACTTCAAGCCGCCTCTCCAGCCACCTCCTTGGTTGGGCCACCATGCACCTGTTGACTTCACGATACGAATACTTCCGTTGGCAACTAAGTTAGAAGTCTTCTTCGGCGTGACACCCCCTCGGCGCCCCCTGTCATGGAAGGAGTGCGGCACGCATCAGACAGAAAAATGACAGGCGATAGAATCCACAGGCGAGACCAGCGTCTCCAGCATCGAATCGGGCAGCCATGCGCTTGACTTCTACACCGCCGTTCAATTCATGCAAGCAGACAGTTAGTTAGATTTGAGAGACCCCCGGGAAATAATCAATATGCATGCGACGAAGTCTGCAACCAGTTGGTAGGCTGACGACTTCTTGATGTGCCGGGCTAGGGCTCTTCAAAGTCCACTGCAACCGCTCACCAAGGTGGAGTGACAGGCCAGATTGGAAAAAAATCATCACTTCACCACTTGGACTCTCCTGCGCCGTGGTTTCGCGACGCGCCCGCTGACCGCCTCGAACATACTTGACCCCCTGGACTTCACACTACTGCACGCATCTGCAGCCAGCTCCCATCCCTAGACCTAATAGGTTCGCTGGCTTCACTGGGCTGGCTCGAGGATCCACGAACTTGCAAGGGGAGTGAGCACGGTCCGGCCGCCTTCCACCGGCTCCAGCACAACGGACGCGGGACTGCAAGGAACGCTCACGATTTCTGCGGAACCAGCCCTCGGGACTTACGAGTTAGGCGAATTACTGCTGCATACGCAAATCTCAATTTTCTCGTCCCTCGAAATTACCTTCTTCACCGATTAGCCACGGCATCCTAGCGGCATAAAGCGCCGAACACACTGCACACCGCTCCGTTGCAGCTTCGGCCGGTCAGCATTCCTGGTATTGCCGCTACATGTTCTAGTCATGCTTGCCGACGTCGATGTGTTGCTCCTTGATATCGGTATGGATGCCCTCATGTCTTGCATGGTTCACTTTTTGCCTGCCCGTGATAGTCTGATACACCGATGCCGTCACGTATCAGCTCGTCCCGCCCATGGCCTGTATCATTTGCTCACGCTACGCTGCAGCCATTGTGTTCTGTCTAGCAGTTACAAAACGCTCGTGCTAATTTAATGATAGAGGGCACTGTTTGTCCGATATCTTTTGTAAAGGATGTCTTGGTGAGTTTGCCTTCATATGCGCGTTCGTTTAGTTCCGGGCAACAGCCGACGTGGCTTGCGCAAACATCTACCGAGTCAAAGGAAGAGGCTGACCATCATAGTTCCCATATGCCCTGCAAGCACTCCCCAAAGTCTTAGATGACCAGTGGGGTAGCTCGACCTTCGCGCCGTATCGTGCAGCCTTCCCGGAGGAGTATCGCAACGATCGTGCTGCTCTGGAGGCACATATCAAGGACCTAGTCCAGCGCGATGTGAAGGCTCCCTATCTAAAGTCGCTTCAGGGCTACTTATGGCGAAGCGGCTATGAGTCCGGGGTACTCAAGGCACCTCTCTTCGATGATGTTCCTGCTTTCATCAAGTCTGCGCATTCTGCTGGCAAGCAAGTCATGATTTACTCTTCCGGCTCAGTCCCAGCGCAAAAACTTTTCTTCGGCCACACAAACGCAACTCCATCTGATATGATGCCCTTTATTGCGGCTTGGTTCGATACCGTGAATGCAGGTCCGAAGACCGAGGCGGAGAGCTACACCAAGATTATGTCAACAGTTCCTGGGACGAATCCCAGGAACTGGCTTTTCTTGAGTGACAATATCAAGGAAGTTGATGCTGCGCGGGCCGCTGGTATGCAGAGCTACCCTGTTATCCGCCCAGGGAATGCGCCTCTGCCCGCGGATCATCCGCTGACCAGCTCGGCTTTAGTTTCGTTTGTTTCACTTTAGCTTGCGGTCTGTAATAAGTCAATGCATGCAGTGTGGTGGCCATAGCCTGCGGTTTTATGTGACGGGGCGACTTGCATAGTGGCATAATCACTCGGATGAAACTAAAAAGTAGAGAATATATAAACAAGACCAGCGCTAAAAATCATTTGGGTATATGGACCGAATCGCTAAGGATGTAGTGTTATGACGAAGTTGTTCCTGGTGCGACCAGGGTTGATTTCTTTCTTTGGGACGCTGGTAATGTCTGCTTTGCCAGTCTTCCTCCACAAACTGTACGCCAACTTTTGCGTCATCTTCATCCGTGACCTTGAATACCCCAACATCTCCATGATTGATTCAAGCCTCGATTCTGTAAAATAACGAGAGTTGTCAAGACAGCTCCGCGGAAGGACCAAGAAAAGACATGGGAATAACTGGTTATTTCCCGTCCCCATGTCGGCGTAGGTAGCGCGTAGGAACTCCAGGGTACGCTTGAGCATTTCACCTCGAAGCGCTGCATCTGGTACAAAGTTCAGAACCAGGCTCAAGGATATGATATCGAACCGATCCGTATCATCACTCGGCACTGGCCTGTCCATGAAATTTTGTTTCAAGATCCCGGGTTCTTGGCTGTTGAGGTCAATATGCACCGACTCGAACAAGCCGCCCAAGGAGCAAGCGTTCCGAGTACTCAGTGAGCCGACTTCCAGTAATCGTAATTTCTGACCCGAGACCTTCAACTCATTCACAGGAAGCCACTCAAGTAAAAGCTTGGAAGTGTCCCCGCCACGCTCCGTACTTTGCCCCTGCAGACTGGCCTGCTGGTACAATGAGATACCGCCCAGGCACTCGATTTCCGCAGTAATAGCATCTTCGACGGTTTTGTCCCCCCTAGAAGCTGCTTGGCGCCTTTGTTTGTCGAGCTGATGGTGCTTGTTGATGAGTGTCCGGCTGGCCTTTCGCGACATGGTGGCAGGGGGCCGAGTGAGAGGCGGGCGGCCTGCCTTGAGGCTCTTGAGGGGCTTCTTCTTGGCCACCATGGTAGTAGAAGCGGCGCAAATATGCACACACGTTTAAAAGAAACCCTCAACTACACAGGAGCGTATATTAGCCCGCGTCTGTGAGTTTGACGGCTCGCCTGCAGTGAGAAAATGTACCTTTGCAATGATAAGATCAAAAGGGCCACCAACGGTTTCAAAGGCGGCAATTTGTAACTCGCAAGAACACTCATGAATATTTCATGTTCATCTTATGTGCAGCGTAGTATTCAAGTAAACGTTGATTTAGTCATGTAAGTCTGAACTTTTCAAGGCATCGCCAAACGAGCGATCTCACCCAGGAGAGTGGGTACATAGATCGTTTTGTACTTTATATGCAAGACAATGTACATCTAGCATGTCACGTGAGGTTCTATCGATAAGCCCGCTTCAGCCAATAGGAGCGAGAAAATCCTGTCGCACACTGCAACCCTAAAAGAAATTCGCCCACATCGACAAAATTTATTGCTAATTCTCTTTTTCACTCCGACCCACGACGTTCAACTAACCACAACAGCAAACATCCGCTGCAAATCAACACAATGGCCGTCGGTAACAAGAAAGGTACGGGATGAAACAATCTGCAAAGACACTGCGATACACTGCGATACGCTGCGAATCGAACCAGAGAAGGATATTCTCGCGGATTGCGAACCGATGCTATATCGAAGCGAGGAGTAGAACAATTTGACGATGGCCAACGGCACGACCTCAGTTGACTTGGAGCCAGGTCGCTTGGCACTGTCATGTTGTCTCCAACCTCCGCATCAATGCAGTAGCAGACTTTGCGAGTTCTGAACAAAAACAGAGCGATTGCTGATGCGGTTTTCTCATGTAGCTGCCCCCAAGGGCTCCAAGCAGGCCAACGCCGCCGCCAAGGCCGCGCTCAAGGGAACGCACTCCCAGAAGCAGCGCAAGGTCCGCCTGAGCACCACCTTCCACCAGCCCAAGACGCTGTCGCTCGCCCGCAACCCCAAGTTCCCCCGCAAGTCGATCCCTCACCTGCCGCGCCTCGACGAGCACAAGATCGTCAAGCACCCGCTCAACACCGAGAGCGCCATGAAGAAGATGGAGGAGAACAACACCCTCGTCTTCATTGTCGACATCAAGGCGAACAAGGCCCAGATCAAGGGCGCCCTCAAGAAGCTCTACGACATTGACACCGTCAAGATCAACACCCTGATCCGGTATGATTTTCCCTTTGCAGATACGACGGCCCGGTGTCCGGATTTTGGTCGCAACTGGATACACTAACACAATGTTTACAGCCCCGACGGAACCAAGAAGGCCTATGCCCGTCTTACTCCTGATGTCGATGCTCTCGACATTGCTGCCAACAAGCTCTCCCTTGTTTAAGCGACTGGCTGTAGCAGCGGTGGAAAACTGGTTTTGTTTACGATTTGGTTTGGTCTGAAATGCATACATGGGGCATCCGGAAAAATAGGCGCATAAAGAGCTTTGTCTATAGCTACGGTTCAAATGATTATATCCAAAAACAAGCCAGCTCTGACTTGGCCATGACCTTGCCAGTCGCGGTGTCTCCGCTATGCCATGTGAATGTTATGTGGCACTATATGTTCTGTAATAGAGCAATTGGGCATTCGACGTTTAGCGTTAACGTTGTTGTTCTGTCACTTAAGACGGTCGACCCCGATGTCCTAGTATACAAAGTATGTGTGTGAAATTTGGGTGGCAGGCGCCGCGCCGCGCACCGCGCTCCCCTCTCCCCCGAATGTTGGCACGGTATCTCCTGGCGCTACTCGAGGCGCATTCTTGGCCTATGAATTAAGAGCGCATGTTGTTCAGATGTTTGATCGTGAGTTGGTTGAGATCCAGGAATCGGTCGACGCAGTTGGCGAGGCATGTCTCTTCCGACCTGTCGAGCTTCGAGTCTTTGATACTGCTGGTCACACACTTCTTCCAACATGTCTGTGTCAGCTTGTGCGTCTCTGCATATGAAAACATCGTGTCAGCAATTGTAATCTCATGTGCCGAGAGTATTGGCCGTCGTAAAAGTGGCCACACGAGGCCAGCGTACCAGACTGGATTGAGGAGCGTTGTTGCTCGTTTGCCAGAAATTTCTGCAGCTCGGCCTTGTCGCCGTCGTTGAGACGGGAAAGGGAAGAAGACTCGAAATTCTCCATTGCTCTCGTGAGATTCTGTGCGCTGTCTGAATGTGAATGTAGTTTCTTAGAGAATTGATTTGCGTCGGCAAGAATTGGCCCGGCTCTACTGCTCTGGTTGTCTAGGCTGCTCAAGTTTTTCTCGTTACCATAGATCGTCCAGAGAACGAATGAGCGCTCGCTCTCAGACCCACAGCCTTGACATCGCAACCATCTGCTCACTTCGGACTGGAGATAGCCATTATGCCAGCAAACAATTAGGAAACGAACGCTTTCTGAAAATTCTATTGGTCTATAGCCGTCTTTATACGAATGCCCTGAACATGCCCAAAAACGGCAGAAATACAGTTCAACAGAGAGACTTCACACAATTCCCCAACATGCAGAGGAAACAGTACCGCCCAAAACAAAACGACTAAATGTATCGCTTCCAACGAGCCCACCCCAGAATAAGCGAGCAAAGAACAATCATGAAGCTTAGAATACCAAAGAAGGGGGCGAGTGAATCTACCCTGTCGTTCTGGAAAGGTACCCTTACGTTCATACCGAACATGCCACTCACGAGATTAAGCGGTACTAGAACAGACGCAAGGAAGGTGATCTTGCTCAGGACGCGGTTCGTGTCAGTGCCTTGAGAGATGTTGTTGATCGACAAGGTGGCAAGGTAGTTGCTGTGCGCGCGAGAAAGCAGCTTTTCGCAGTGACCCAAGTTGTTTGCCATGGTCACAACGTGATCCTGAATGTCACCAAGATACATGCCGATGTCCATATGGGGAGTGACTTGATAGTTCTCGTTGCATCGCTTGGTGAAACCGCGAAGGACATCCGCTTTGCCACCCAGGAGGCGCAACAGGGCCATGCAGTTCTTGCGTACGCGTCCGATTGAGCGAAGGAACGTGTTTGAGTCGTCATGCCTCATAACGAAGACTTCATCCTCGATAGCATCCGCTTCAGTCTCAATTTGATTGATAACCGGGGCAAAACAGTCGACGATATCATCACTATTAGAGTAAAATGTCAGTGTGCTACATGTACGTACACAGAGATCAAGCTTACATCAATGCGTAACAAATCCAGTCACTGCTGAGGGCCACGTAGTCTTTGAGCGCGGTGATTCGTCGTCGGACATGCGATGCATGTGAGTTGGGTGCGAAACTGAAGCTCAGAGTACCCTCTCGAAAAACCAGAGTGTAGATGTTGAAAGGCTCGTACTCGATCCCATCTTGCTCCTCCACCATGTTGAAGGATCGGAAACAGGCAAAGTAGTAGGAGGGGAACAGTTCGATTTTCTCTCGGGCTTCCTGAGTGACGATATCTTCAATAGTAAGAGGATGGACCCCAAAAGCTTTGCAGATGCTCAAAACCTCTTCCTTGGTCGCACGATTGATATTAAGCCACCAGACACCGTCGCTTTCATCTTTTGGGAGCTCGAAAAGCCCACGAATATCTTCGCCAGGGAGGACCAGATCACCGAATTCAGCAGCATGGATTGTGGATTCCCATGCCGAAGAGAAAAAACTGAAACGGTTGTTCTCGAAGGCATACTGCGGGCCTTTGGTCGCAGGTGCGGCCTCCGCGGCAGATTTTTCCGGTGCTGAGGAGGATCCATCTGATGGCATATCAATAATGTCCCCATCAGACGTGGCAAGCTGAACTTTCTGGTGCGCTTCCGTACGAAGATCATTAAAAGCAGACGTAACAGAGGCCTTGCGGTTGGCTTCATGGGAAAGGCGCTCCAATTCGATGAACTCCTCGAGATAGTCAAAGTCGATTCGAAGCTGATGTTGCCGATGGTGACCGCCCTCTGGCAGGCACCCGTTGTCCTCGACAGCGTTGTTGGTTCCGAGGCTGATAGCATCGGCTTCAACGGCTCGAGACCTGCTGCGGTGGCTTCGGCGACTGGATACCGAAAGAGCCCGCCCAAGCCCAAGCATTTCCTCATAATCTGCTTTAGGGTCCGAGAATGACATTTCTCGTTCCCTTCGCCTGGCCTGAGCGAATGCCTTGACGGAGTTCGGAGGAGACGGGGAGCGGCTTTCGCTGGACTCAGCGGTTAGGCGTCGTCCGTGACGATTTCCTGCCATGAGGTCGGCGCCGTCCTCGTCAATGACTGCTTCCTCAAAGTCGCGAACAACAATGGTCGGCGGAGCCGGCTCCGGTTCAGCCTGTCGAGATCCATAGAGGCTGTCAAATGTGCCTCGGCGAGGTCGCTCCACTCTCTGAGTAGAGATTGAGGGCTGACGGTGGTCATCCAGCTCGGGCACCGGCGCCTCGAATCCCGTATTGGGGGTCGTGCTCTCGTTGTCGGACATTTTGAACGGCGATCGTTGAATTGCGGCCTTGGTGGATGTGAACGGCGGGCTTTTGCGATTCGATTGTGCGATTGCTGCTGGATCTGCTTAACAGAGGGGGCGCATGCTTCAGGAAACAATGATGTAGAGGTAGTGTCAGTAGACAACTACTGACGCCCGGCGCGGGTTACCGCGCCGAGCAAAAGCGTCGATCAAAACTTGAAATTCGTCGCGAGCAACAAAGTCGCGCTTTTCTGTGGCAGAATAGCGGAATGTCGGTGACAGCGTACAGGAAAGCGTCAAGTCGGAGTCAATAGGGCTAGTAGGCCTAGTTAAGGCGGTCGCTTGTTGACTCCGCTGTAGATCCAGCACCCTGGACCGAGGAGGATTGACAACAAAGAGGGGGTGAGTTGAGCCAACTTGATGACTTGAAAGGGTCTCGAGGGTATTCTCGTAGATTTTGGCAGTGGAATAGTGAATGACTGAGCTACCGCGAGTCACCTCATCCGATGATGACGGCAAAAAAAACTTTTCCGGTCTGACGGAGAGATTGAGACGAGGGTTGTCTGCGAGTCACTACTACCAGTAGACGTAGTAGAATTTCGCTATAGAGGTCAAGAAGAAAATCGCTTAGAAGTAGTTGCAAGAGTGACGCAGTGAGTAGAATGTCGAGAGGTGAGACCTGACGTAGAATGTTTTAAGAGGACGAAAATTTGTCTTTGGTGACTGGTAAAAGAAGAAGGGCCCAATTAAGTTGCGCATAAAAGTGCAGTCAGCTAGTCGCCGCCACTCACCGAACGCAATTGGGTGGCCTGTGCGCTGGACATCGACTCGCGCTAAGGTCATCCACCAAGCAGCCACTCAAAACATACCTACCTGTCCTTTGACCAGCTCCAACAGTCGCAAACAGCGTGGTGCTTCACGACGGATTCTACCTTCGACAACCCCGATACTGATTGCGCATTTATAGCCCACCAATGGCCGACCAAATACTAGACCAAATCCGCGATGTGGTCGACGGACAGATAGTGCGACGCCAACCCCATGACTGACGCGCAACTCAGTCTCAGTGAAGCGCTCGGCTGCTAACCGGGCATACAGGACTTCGATGGCCAGAGACGTGTGGAATTTTTGGCTACAGTACTTTTGTCTGCATCTGCGGTAAGGCATGGGCGCGACACAGATCCGGTTTTCAGGTTACTGACGCAGCATCCTCTAGCTAATCGCATTCAACGTCGGATATACCCTCCAAGATATCCAAAAAGCCATATATATTGCCCTGGGGGGGACGGCACTCACATTCCTCGTTACAGTTCCTCCATGGCCTTTCTACAACAAGAACCCTGTCAAATGGCTGCCAGCCGGAGCCGGGATGAAAAATGCTTACGGTCAAATGACATTGTAATGCAAAGAAGACATGGGATGAAGCGCGTCTACCTAATAAATACATACTGGCAATCCCTTCCTTTGGCATGATATTTTTCGTTATTTTGTGCTCGTCTAGCTCTATGCTTGCGTGACCGGCCCATATGCACCCACTCCGACTATCGACCGTACTTTTGAAACTCCCAGTCCCTATTATCCAGTGGGCATACCGATCTAGCTTTGAGCCATCGTGAAATGCAGTGGAAGTGGAAGGCATGCTGGAGAAGATAACGTTAGCGACGCATTTATGGATATACTACTTCGAGTGCCAAGTATAACTCACGTTACAGATGCCCCAGGCGACGGTGCACTCCTCACTCGTCGCGGATGCTTGATTCGCTTGACACTCAATGCCTGTTGCATAGTATAGTCAGAGACCAGAACACTAAGATTAAGGAAGGTCGATGCTGAACATACAGAGGTCCATGATATGGTTTCGGCAAATGGCACAATTGTCAACGACAATATCCCAAGCCCAGAGTGCGACGGCGTTCCACTGCGGTGGTCAGTATGACGTTTTTTCCTCCTCGCGCGGCTGTTTGAGATCGAACCTTCTTGACCTCAAACTTCTTCTTCTCGGCACTTTTGCCATTAGCAGCATCAGCACCTTTCGGAGCGTCGCTCATGTCAACGTCCGCCATGCCTGGTTGTTCTGCGCCCGTGAAATTTGGTCGGCCGTGTTTCGCAAGATAGAGACAAGAGAGGATATCTGTTATATGAGGTTAGGAGAAAGATATGCGAGGAGATCGAAGCCGCAGAGTGAGGTTTTGCACGTTCTGCGTTTACGATGCTGGCACCATACGGAATTCAAACCAGCCCGCTCGGCGCCGGCACCTTGATGGGGAAACAAACAGTAACGCTGGATGATGGCGCTCTATTGGGGGAGATTTAAAGTGTACATACTATAGAAAAATAGTGGTTATCGCAAATGCCGGTTCGATGGTTTTTGTGGTGGTGTTAGAAATGTCTGTCTGTCGAGGCACGAGGAACGAAATGTTGCTCTGTTGGCAGGCAGCTCTGTACCAAAACCGGACAGTAACGCGGTTGGAGGCGGGCTGCGGGGTTCGTGCGGATCTTGAAGTAGCGTCTACTGGTAACCAACAATGAGTATCAGCGAAAGATTGGGTACCAAGTACCCACTATCGATAAGTGACTGATATGTATGTACCGGGGCAACCCGCCACCCTTGATCTGCGTCACATCGCCAACAGCCTGATGGGGTCTGTTTGCCCTCCAGGACCGCCAACCCCTTCGCTTCACTTAACTTTCCGCCATGAAATGCACCTGCTCTTTCACCGTGAATTATTCTTTTGCCTTTGAAGCCGCATCGCAGTCCACCAGGGCAACATTTGCCCATCAATAATCCAACACAACCTATCGAGAATCGCGAAATCGCGCCAAGTTGCTTCGGGCCTACTCACAGTCTGCCATGAGTGACGCACCCCCCCAGCCGAGAACGACTCCAGGTCGCCACCGCCAACGGCGCCATGGGAAAAAGGCGGCTCAAAAAGCTTATGCGTCGGAAAATGATGTCGGATCTTTCGAAGCTAGCCACTACGAACGAGCTCCGCATACCCCAAACAAAGCTCTCTCTGGATCGCCTGCACCGGGGAGTCAGTCCTCAGTTCAGGCAAATTCGAAGCAACGAAATAGGAACAGAGGATCGAAAGGAAAAGTATCGCAGATTTCACCAGATGCGCAACAAGAACGAGCCACGCCGACCGGGCGAAGGGCCTCAGTGAAGTCTGGCATTCCCACGGCAGCTTTCGCTGGAGCTACTTTTCATGCGTCTCCTGCCCCGTCGGCGCTCCCCATCCCGAGTTTCCTCTCCAAGTCCTCGAGCGAATCACCGGCTGGCCATATCCGTCATCCCAGCGACCCTCGATACTCGCCACCGGCTACAGACACCGAAGCACCAGCACTATACTCGACCTCTGTTCCGCGAGCCCATGAGTCACCTTTAGATTTCATGTTTCGCGCTCACAGGCAGGAGAAAGAGAGGCAACTTGCCTCGCCCCGTCATGACGGCCCAGGCTCGCCTTCCATCTTTGGCGGCGGTCCGCAGAGATCGCCTCAGGCGATCGTGCCGCAGACGGCGCCTGCAAGCATTCGATACCAGACGGGCGGCATTGGCCGGTCCGAGCTGGACGGCACCCCGAGCCGCGAAATAGGGCCCGCGTTCTCGACGCCGTATCACGAACGAATTCAGGCTGCCCGCGCCGTGCGATGTGATGCACCTCCAGTGCCTTCTTACCCTGCTACCGCTACGAATAGTTCATCTACGGATGATGCTACTGCTGCGCTGAAGAAGTTTTTATTTGGTGGAGGCCAGTCGACGGCCAAACCACCGCTTTCTTCGGCATCTTCTGTCCAAGCTTCTACGCAAGCTCCCAATCAACCTGCACCGCAGTCTAGCAGTGCCAATTCTGGACAAGGCAATAGTATCCAAGCAATGGAAAATGACCTTCGCCGCATCTTGAAATTGGACTCTTCGTCCTAATATATTTGCTGTTATCATGTACACATCGTACTAGCAGATTATCCGCTTACGATTTATTCCGGCGTCTCTCCCTACCATTTATTAACCTTTGCGAGCTTTGTTCCGCCCTTGTTGCGCTTGCTCGTGATTTTTTCGATGGTCATGTTTTGCTTTCCTTCCACGAACTGCATTGATTGCTTAACTACTCACTGTTTTATGAACATCTAGCATGCTTCCGAGATCGCTTTTTTTGTACTCATCATTTACCTTCATGCTGCTGCGGGACAGGGTCGGGAGTATTCGTTATTTGCATTATATATACGCTCTTGCTGTTGTTGGTCTTTTGTTTCATGCATTTTTCGGGAGGAAGACGGAGTCCATGATGTCCTGCTGGCGCATTTGTTTACTCGAACAGGAACCAGACCTGACGATGGTCAACTACTGATTTGGAGTCTAGATTTGCAACATGTGGTGTACGAGACACAGGATAAACGGGAAATTATCACATACAACCAGCATGATACTGATGGCAAATAAATAAACCGTGTTCTCTCAAGAAAATAAATAAATCGTGTTCTCTCAAGAAAGCCCCTTTGCTATGTCAACCTGCGTCAATCATGATCATTCATATTCCAAGTTGATTCTCTCCTGAGGGTTGTCTTGCTACTGTGAGTGACTCTTTGCATTGCCTCTCTTCTTTTCCTGTCGCGAAAACATAAGCCCATGCGAGAGCAGCAAGTACTTGGAGAAGAAGTCCGTCGCGAAATCGTCGAATTGCTCGTAATCGGCACCCATGCGGTACGCCGCGGCAACACCGCTGACGCAGGCTACTTCGTGCATATTCTAGGGGGGCACATATTAGTCGAGTAACATTAGTTTTCAGATTCAAACTTACAACCAGTGTCCATGATCCCGCGAAGTAGGTGCTACTTCTACCTTGGATGAACATCATGTTCGGCACGACACGTAGGTAATGAATCCATCGATGCCCGAGTTGATGCCACCAGTTCTTCTTGATGATTTGACCCTTGTCAATTTTGTCAATGGTCCAGAGGTCTTTGCGATTCTTGTCGAGAAAGATGGTTTGATACACAGGCTTTGGTGCCCGTTTGTTGCTGACGTCCGGCTGGCGAAACTGGTGCTGGTAGTTGGTGCAGTTGAATGACATTTCGATCAGCCTCGGGTTGCTGTCGTATGTATAAGTATAATACATGGGCCGGAATCCATCACCGCCATTCGAGTCTGCTGGACTTGAGAATGCAATCTGCTTTCGTTGTGCCTCAGACGTTGGCTCAGCGCAAAGCTCCTTCTTGAACGACGTTTCGTAATGTTCGTTGAAATAGGAGCTGTCAGTATGTGTTACGGTTATATCATCATAGAAAGATGCACCGCCGAGAACGAACTTTTCCCGCCAAGTTGCTTTCTTGCCTAGAATCCGAAGTGTCTCGTCCGCGAGGGAGCAGAAGACAACTTTGTCAAAGCTCTCCTCTCTGCTCTCCTTTGCGTGTATATCCCTCAGTTTTAGGATCACGTTGTTCTTTGACCGTGATACCGTTTCCTGAACCTCAGTTTCCAAGGCAAAAGAAACACCCTTGCTTGTCAGGTCTTCCCGCCACGCCGAGTAGAAGTCATGAAGCCTATCGAAGGTATACATGGTGGGCAAGTTTGGCAACAGAGTCTCCGGGTCGTAATCCCACAGTTTCATGTTGGGGTCGTTGAAGAGACGTTCCACAATACCTGAGGGAACGGAAGCAGTTTGGTTTCCAGTGCCCAGGAATAAAGCAATGAGGGGATACACCATCTTGTCGCCAAAGTCTTTGCTGAAAAGAAACACTCTGAGCATTATAGAAATGGGAACAATCCCAAGCACTGGTAGACTCCATTTTATGACTTTCAGGAAAGTGCCAAAGCGTTTAATGTCAGAGTCAAACTGCTTGACGAGAGGGCTCGGGAAGCAGTTGGTCCAGAAGCGGTCCTTTCCTTTGCCGAAGGAAACCTGAAGACGGACCTCCTGGGCAGGATGGCCATATTGTCGGAAGAAATGAAAAGTGTGTTTAAATATCTATCATCTGGTAAGTAAGAAACTGATTTATAAGTGCGCCTGACGTACACCTGAGCCGCCCTGGACCCCATTGTTCATCCACGAGGCACCATGCTGTTGGGCGTTAAGAGGAATTGAAGTCGCTTGACCGCCAACCACGGCTTCCTTCTCAATCAAGGTAATTTTGAATATGTCGAGATGTCTGGCCAGCGTTGCGGCACAAGACTAGTATGGAAACTCAATTATTTTTGCGGTCGCTTAGGGCGGTTGCGTCTATCACAACTTACCATGCCTGCAGCACCTCCACCGACAATGGCAATGTGCTGCCGTTTTTCCGTATTCTGAGACATTTTTATAAAGTTGAAGGATTGAAAGTGCCTTTGATGTGAGTAGAGCGGCGGCGGGATCCTTATATTGCTGCGCCGATGGCGAGGGAAACTAAGTCGATGCTAGATCGCTTAATCGACACGTCATGGAAGTAGTTACCGCGCTAGACATTCATTGAGTAACGTCGAACAACACGACACGGGATATGTATGTGCGAGACCTGAAAGAGGCAACGCGCATTAATTAAGTTGCTGAGATGCCAACGACCATGATGATTGACGACGAAAACAGCATGTAGCCGCTGACTAACTCCGCGTAAAGGTGCTATTTCATAGTACGACAACAACATACTATAGATCGAGTCAAGATCGGTTAAGATTATCTGCGATGTAAATCATGTCCTCCATCGGCAAAATCACTGCGTTGTTCCGCATTGACGGCTCCAACGGTAGCATAGCGGCTTCTGTTAGTATGGCATGATCGAGAATGCTCGGATGTATGCCATGAACTCTAGTAACTAAGCCCGAAAATATCCAATAAAATATATTGATAAAGGCAATATCTAAATTTCAAATTTATATTGCGATTTAGTTTCGATGGCAAGTTTGTGGGGAGGATTCACGGTGTGATGGCCAACAACCGATCCACACTGGTCAACACTCTGAAACAGAGTCTGACAACGCCCACCGAGCTTCTACGAAATTCACTCTCAGCCAACCTCATTTTCATTCCCGAACTTTGGAATTTATTCGCACTTTCGCCTCGATATCTGAAGATCCGCTGACAGTTTCCAGTGCGAGAGCACGCGCCTTGCAAACATCACGTGGCGACGAGTCTACGCGCTTCCAGGTCCTTCCTGGGCGTTCGCTGCTACCGCTTATCCTCGTCCTGTGTTTTAGGAGAAAACACCCACGCCGTCTGGGGCCCGTCGTATTCATTAAGATGGCCGATAGGGAAGTGATTCTACTCGACAGCGATTCCGACGAAGATGAAGACCTGCGCCGTGCCATTGGGCTGTCCCTCCAAGACCAAAGCAACGTGAAGGATGCCGATGCCGATGCTGTCCCCGAAGAGGCGCAAAACCCCGAAGCCGCCAAGCAGGCCACATTTGGAAGCATCATGCTGGATCGGAAAGGAATGGAAGAGGCACGGTTGAGTCGACTAGGGAAGCGGCGCCGAAACTCAAACTCAAACGAGGGGAGCGCCGGGGACCCTGCGACGAAGCGACTCACGCCACAACAATCCGAACGGCCAGGGGCCGCACAACCGCCATACCCGCAAGGAATCGTGCGCCGCACATGGACCAAGGGGTATCCCAAAACATGTGATGACATTACGATCGAAGAAGTCTTTCAGATGGAAGATCTCCAGCTTGCACTGCTATCTTCCTTCCAGTGGGACGACGAATGGCTGCTATCGAAGCTGAATGTCGGCACAACCCGAGTTTTGCTACTCGCCTTTGCGGCTGACGAAGAATCGGTAACGCGACCCAACATTCCTCTCTGTTTTTCTCACTTGTCTACCTTTCTTATTGCGGCAAGCGACTGACCGACGACGTCCGGACAGAAACAAGCGATGAAGGAGAACGCGCCCAAGAATGTACGGTTCTGCTTCCCGCCAATGCACGGCCCCGGATCGATGCATTCCAAGCTTCAGGTTCTCAAGTATGCCAAGTATCTCCGATTAGTGATCCCGACAGGGAATTTGGTGCCCTACGACTGGGGCGAAACCGGAGTCATGGAGAATGTCTGTGCCCCAATCTTCCGATCAATAGGCCCGTCGCATTTCTTGATCTCTAGGAGCTTGGCTGATGAGTGAAAATCTTCGATTGCAGATGGTGTTTTTAATTGACCTGCCCCGTCTGGACGCAAACGTCACTTGCGGGATGACCGTGTTTGGGGAGAACATGGCCCGTTTCCTCACCGCTGCAGGCGTAGACGATGGCATGGTCAAGAGCCTTGCAAACTACGACTTCTCTGCGACGGAAAAGCTCGGCTTTGTTTCCTCCATGTAAAAAATAATCACTTGCGCAATTCTTTCTTTTCCCTCCCTTTCGTACTAACAATAGTCTAGACCGGGAGGCCACACTGGGGATGCTCTCCGTCGTGTCGGTAAGTGGTGCTCTGCCCCTCCCCGCCTGCCGGCATGATGATCGGATATGCTGACGTCTGACGGCAAATTTGCCCGATATTCGCAGGTTATTGTGGCTTGGGAGCAACTGTAAAGGGGCTCGGCTTGGCTACAGACACACCCGTCGAACTTGACATAGCTGTCAGTTGGCCCGCCCAGCTTTCTCGTTGACCGCGCTCCCGTGTCCCTAACTCGACCTTTGCTTGTTCTAGTGTGCCTCCCTCGGTTCCATCAACGGCAACCTCGTCAATGTAATATACAACGCTTGTCAAGGTAAAAACCCCTCTCCTCACCGCCTTATCATGCCCCCCTCTGCCTTCTGTGCACTAACGCGCGAGCGCGCCAACGTGACCAGGGGACGATGGAATGCGAGAGTATAACACGCGCGCCAGCGGAAAGCTTAAAGGCAAAGAGTTACGACCCGCGGAGAGGCTCCGGGATCGGTTCCGGATATACTTTCCAACGGATCGGACGGTTTCCAACAGTAAAGGCGGGCGACAAGTGAGGCTTCCCTAGCTCAGAAAACTGAGCAATGCAGGCAAGCTCTCTGCAACGGCCTCCAATCCTTGCTAACACGCGCGCAACTAGTCTGCTGGGACCATCTGCGTTCAGGCAAAGTGGTGGAGGTCGCCCAGTTTTCCGAGAGAGCTGGTTCGAGATTGCGTCAACAATAGGGACGGGCTGCTGATGCATAGCAAACTGATCTTCGTCCGCTGGCCAGCAGGAGAAACCCAGTTGGCTAGTAATAGTGCGCCGCCGGCGGGATGGGCCTACGTTGGCAGCGCCAATCTCTCGGAGAGTGCATGGTAAGTGCAGTCGCCCGCTCCCGTGGCAGCCTGGGAAGGAATAGGCAAATACCGTTTCCAACTGCCCTGTTATCTAACGCGCAGAGGGTACTGTAGGGGTCGGGTGGTCAAAGACAGAGGCACGGGAAGTGCAAAGATGAGCTGCCGAAACTGGGAATGCGGTGTCATCGTGCCAGTACATGGAAATCCTGGTAATAATGGCGACTTTGCCATGTTCTCGGGAATGGTCCCCGTTCCCATGGAGGTCCCCGGCCGTCCGTACGACAAGACTGACGAGCCTTGGTTCTATCTCGGCGGTCACTGATCAATCACCCCATGTGCAGGTGAACTATGTACTCAGGGGCAGCATTGCATTGAAATGGAATTTTCCGGGGGGGGGGGGGGGGTGGTATGTTAGAGAAGTGCCGAACGCAGAGAGACGTTTCTGCCCAAGAAAATAGTAAACCCACACACCACCGTTTGTTTATTGCTTTTCAGCCCGACCAGTATTCTTGCATACCCGGGCAGCACGCAAGCCCAAGTTTTGACGGCTTTAACTTAGCCTGGCATGGTACCGTTTCGCGTGCGGTGGGAAATATTGTGCATCGAGCCCAGAGAGGGCCGCAAGCCACTTTGATATGAATGGTCTCACCCGGGGGAGAGACAAGCTGCCCGAGATTGGGGTCAGAAACAATACAATGCAAGAAAAACAGGGAAATCGAAATCTCCGACCGTGCTCAGAGTGGGACAAGCGGCGGCGTGGCTGCCACGTAACGAAGTAGTTGGAGGGCCGTCCGTCCGGCGTCCGGGTGTGTGTGTGTGTGTGCCTGGGAAGTGCATATCGGTTTTTGACACCTTATTCGGCAATCCCAGCTCGGCGGTCAAACTAATCAGATAGCGTAGCGGCTCTATGTACGTTATACCGCCCCGTTTATTTGCTGAGATTCCTCTCAAGAACATCAATTCCTGTTGGACTGGCGGGCATGGGGTAACAGCCTAAACTACTGGTACTAGCAAACGACAAGCTGTTTGACACATAACTGGCCATGGGCTGATTCTGCGACGGACCAGGCTTTCCCGAGGAGGAGCACCCCTGCCAACAGATCCTGGTTGACCCTTGCGCATCTGCATAGGCCCTGGTCCCTGCTTCTGGGGCGCCACCTTGTCTCCAGAGCTGGTCTCTCGTTTCCCTGCTTTCTCCCTGATTTATAAGTTATTAGCCAATTTTGGGGATGGGGGAAAAAGAGGGAGAAATAGGCAATATTGACATTTGACTACAGGGTTGTTCATAGGCGACTACCACTATGGTGGCGTCTGAGGCCTGTGCATATTGGGATCTGTGAATAGGAAAAAGCACGAGCAGGAAACTCGATCTTGATTTTAATGTTGCATGTCACATAAAAGACGCCGCTAAGATGAATCACTGCAAGCCGGGTTCAATGCATCACGAATAGTTCGTACCAGTAGGCTGGTGATGACTTACAAATGGCTTGTCGATTATGCCCGGGCTTCTAGTGGCTAGCAGCTAGAGTTTCTATCTCTACGCAGGAGACCATCTCTTGCGCGAGGCTCGGGGTCTATAGCCAATTTGGTTCGAAACTATCGATGTCGTTTGTGCGCCAAGCGAATGACTCGGCCTGAAGCTTCAGTTTCCTGCCCGTCTTGTCAGAAGAGAGTCATGGCTCAACGGCTCCAACTCCAACCAGCTAAAACCCTGCTTCTATAGCAACAGACCGGCGCGGGGTACCAATTCCGTCATCGCCGTCGTCTGTCGGTCCGGGACAAGACACCCCGGGAGGGTGAGCTGTGTGGCTTAATGTGGGATACTGATTTGAGGCCTCCGCATAAAGAGCCGTTTGAGGACAGGAACGTCTGGATAAAAAGAAACTTGGGCGTTCGGGATAGCCGCTGAGCCTCATGGGGAACCATGGAGCCGGCGAACCAATATTGGAAACCAAACCAGGCCGGGTGGACGGATTCAACGGCCAGCCATACGACAGGTAAGAAAAAAAAGGTTCCAAAAGAAGGAAGAAAAGGTGAACGGGCACTAGGAGCAATAGCGTGCGAGGGAAAGACAGGCGAGCCTCGGTCGTTTTGCATTGACGGCGGCTGCTGCAACTGTTCGGAAACAAGATGGGTTGGGCTGCATTGAGCACGGACGGAGGGGCGGTCGGGGTCGCCGTGAATGGCTGCGGAGCCGTTGTCCGCTGCCCGTGTGAAGGAACTCGCAGCCGCGCGTTCCTTGCTCCTCTCTTCACCTTGGGATGTTTTGCGCAAAGGAACTTTTTGGGCTGCGTCGAAGTGCCCGTATCCATCCATTTGTTCAAGCGTCGAGTTGCTCCAAAACCAACCCCCAATTCGGTTTGTCTCAACTAGTAACCTGTAATTTGGAGTAGTGGTGGTGCCATAGACTACACGCAACAACGCCCACCACACCAAGACAGGTAGGTTTTGTTGCCCAGATGGGATCGAAAAAAAGAGTTGCGGCAAATGGGGCAGTTGTCGAGATGTACACAGGGTTTGCTGCAGATCATCTCATAGACTTGGCGGTCATAACCGACTACCATGTCAGCCATGCGATTTTTAGCATCACCGTGCGTGCGAGGCGCAGTCACCAATCCGCTGTCTGGCATATGAGTGTGGCGTTTCTGCGTGGAAGTTGGGGTAATGAGACAATGTAAATCTGTTCATCCCGGACCCGTGTTGTCACAAAATTTCAGTCACTATTGAATGGTTAGCAGTGCAAAATTTTCTTCATTGGTCAGCAATTTCAAGCCGACTGGCCCTGGGTGAAAGAGCATGATAAAACGGAGATGTTTGGGCAATGCAATCTTCCTTGGGAATAGGCTGTCAAATGAACTGAGAGGCGATACGGGGATACGAAGAAAACGTCAACTAACATGAGAAGCAGCAGCAACAGCCGCCGCCGCCGCCGCCGCCATGGCATGACATGATAAGTTCCGCCAGAGCACAAAGGACTTACTGGCGCACCTATCATCAACCGTTTTCTCCAAGTACTGCTGTTTTGGGCACGTCAATACAACCTTCCGCATGTGTGAATTGTTGAGGGGGGCGCCTTGCTGGTGTCTGGTTCTGACTTGGTTAGCGGAGACGGGAAAATGTGAGGTGATGGCTGAGATGGATGATGGATGGATGGATGGATGGCTTGAGGATGGGTCGATGCGGTGGAGCCAGCAAGTACCAGCAAGTCTCCCGGTCTGCACCCAGCTATTTTTTTTTTTTGGCCCGGTCACAAATGGTTAGTTATTTTGGTTAACGAAAGAAGCAGATAGAAATTCATGCCCCAGTTACGTCATAGTCAAGAAGTAGATTGTAACTCCCATACGTGCGTATCTCTGTGTGTTTTTGGGGGCCGGAACGTGGCTGGGCGGCTGGGCAGGAGCGAAGGCGTACATAGTCTAGACGTCGACTAGAAGCAGCAAGCGTGGTGCGCTGTTGGTTCGGTTCTACAATCGATAAAAAAAGAAAATATCAAGACCGAACTAGTAGTCCGTTGTCAAGTACACAGTTCGGAATCGGTTGAGCAGTGACATGGCCCATGCCTCCTGGGGTTCAAGATCGGCCTGCTAGATGCGGTGGTGCGTGCGTCCGTTCCGTCATGACTATTTACTTGCTTAGCTAGCTCTTCGTCGTGCTCTGCTTAGTGCCTACCTCTCTTACCAGTAGTACTGGATAGCAGATATTAGTACTTGTCCTCTTGCGACTTGGCGACGGCGGCCTCCCACATGTCCGACTGCTCGAGACCGCAGCACGCTCCGTAAAACAGATCATGCAGTATTTTTTCCTCTTGCATCTCTGAAAGAAGGAGTACGCGTTGAAAATTCAGTTTCGATATTCCTTGAACTAGTCCGTGTTGATAAGGTGTTGTTGATTGATCACTTTTATACTTTGCATGTCCGGATGCCACATCTCGATCGCCGGCCCCCCTACCGACAGGGCCGCCACACACCACATACGTGATCGAATAATTCACGTTGCGCCGCCCCTAACCAGCCAATTCACCGTGTTCCAACACTCGAGTCATCCTTCAGGTGTCGGGCTTGTCAAATGACCCAGGGGGTGACAAATTGACATCGGTCGCGACGTCCCAGCCTGTGTCGTTGATCAACCCACGTACACACACAGGCCATAGACACCAAGGCTTTCATATCTTTTTTTTTTTCAGCTTTTCTGCAGTCTGCTTTCGTCTCATGCACATTGCCACTGTCAAACGGATGGTGCCTGAGTTTGTTAGCTCGAGGGGTTTGAGTTACGATCTGTCTTGGGACTTGCTACGCACGATAGAGTTTAATTTGGCGTTTTTCCAACCCAGACACATGGCCATCACATAGTGAAGCAGTGCACTTGATCATAATCGATGTTTTGCACAGTATTTGATACGCAAATATCAAAACATTCACTTCTACTTGCCGAACAAGATAGGCGGGGGATATGCGAGCCGAACCCAAGTAGGTGTGCATGTTGTTCTAACCCACATAGGAGACCTCTGCGAACAGCAGAGGATAGGGAGGTCGCAATTATCGCCTGACATCTTTATGACCCGGTCCCATCAAAGACTAATCATTAGCGACTACGACTTGGGTCCAGTCGAGGAGTGACAAAAACATGGCAGACGCGAGGAGCAGCAATGGTAGTAGAGGAGAAGAGCGACTCGGCCACAGGAGAGGACGACTTTACAATAAAGACATCATCATGTGCAGGACTAGCCTGACAATTCAATATAAACTGTGAGGGGTTTTGGATTTAATCAGTACTGGAATATATGCAAAGAAACAAGAATGGTTCTCCGCATGCCTGGACGAGCCGTTAATGGCGCTTCTGTCACCTCGCAGCGGACTTTGCCAGTGACACTGCGAATCTGCGACAACTTGGCTACTCTATCGACTGGGGAGTTAACTATCATCGGCGTGCAGCTCTCTTCTAAGCCGAGCGAGATGAACTGAACTTGGTCTAGTTTGCGGCACTAAAAGGACTCCTCCTCGACGCCACGATCCACCCCCCCTGTTGTCGCTCCCAAATCGGCCCATTGCCAGTCGCCACGCTCTGCTGCTACGCTGGCCCAGACTTTGCTCCAGCGTGAACCCTGGTCTGGTCGCCGTTGTCTTGCACTAGGCAAGGGCTGCAACTCTGCCGGGGCTCTCTGGCCTGCAGCTGTAGCCGGGGATTGACCAGGGGCTGGCCGGCTGTCGCCGCCGCCTTTCTCCTGCCTGCTGGTGCTTCGGTCCATCTCTGTCTCGCCTGGTGTTGGTCGGTTGCGGCCTGCCCGTCACTCCGGCGGCGCAGCCCGTGCACAAGAGATATGGGGGAATAGCTTTGATTAATTGATTGGCGACTTGAATGAGGCTGATGAAGAAAAAAATGGCGTGCCCCGGCGAGTTGTAGTGGTGGGCAGCAGCAAAGGGAAGGGGGGAACAAGTTGTTAGTAGTTTGTGTTCTGGGTACTGGTACAGACAGTACAGTGCTTGGTTGCTGGCTTGGTTGGCTGCTGGCTTGGTTGCTGGCTTGGTTGCTGGCCAGCCTTCGACGCCGGTCTCGTCCAAGCTACAAAGCGCTGCCTAGGGGGACTGACTTACGGGCAAGCCCCGACCGCAGGCTGCAGGCTGGACTGGACTGGACTGAACTGCTCTCGGTTTCGCCATTCCCCCAGTGGTGCTGTTTTCGGTCGTCGTCCAGACGGGAATTGTAACAAATGCGACGCCAACGACACTATGACCAAGTAGGCACAGCGCCGCCGCCCACTCACTAACATGGATGGTTCCTCCATGGCTCCAGGGCTCCAGGACGGACTCCAGTGCACCAGGCTCCCCTCTTTCTTCCTTTCTTTCTGGTGCCAGTAGTAGGTGCTGGTATTAAACTAACAAGGTCACTGACTGACCACCAACCATTGACTGCTCAGCTTCTCATTTGCTCATATAACCCCAAGTACTCACCTACCTACCGACCTACTTACCTACTTACAAGCTCCTTGACACCCGCCGCCCGGAAGTTAAAACAACCCATTCCCCGCCACGGCCTCGATCCAACTTGTCAACACCAAACACTTACTCTCCTTTTGTTGCCACGTCCAAGTAACTAACTACTTGTCGAGGCCTTGTCACCCAACACGCTACCAAGTACACATCACCGGACATGTCAATGGTGAATCATCGCCAGCTGTTCGTGTCCACTTTCACTTGTTAGACCTCGAGCAACTCACGCGCCTCCAAACCTTACCAACTTGCCCATTCCGCCTTGAAGAAACGGCGGTTACGATACTAGAAAAAAAGGCATTTGACGTTTTTTTCTTTCTTTTTTTTTTTCAAAAAGAAAAAGAGAGAAAGGAAGAAGGGGAAACCCACATCTCCCGCTAGCTACCTATTTATTCTCTCCTGCCTCTGCTCTTCGCACTTTCCTCCCAATCCAATCCAAAACACTTGCCCCAGATCGACAAACCACCACAAGCTACCGAGTATCTCTGAGGAATCGACATCTTCTTCACCAAAGTCTGTTTCTTCAATTGGGTTTGAGTCGCGACTCTGATTTTTCTCCTTTTGAATAACTTCAATTCAACGTTAGTTCCCCAACTCAAATGCCTGACTCAAATACCGAACCCAAATACCCAACTCAAAATACCCAACTCGGATCCTCAACTCAATTCCTCAACTCTCTCAACTCAAAACTTCTAAATCCTGAACCCTAACTTTGACGCAGCTTAGTACCAATCATCAACAACTAGTATTCTTCGACAACATCGGTCCGACTACATTCAACTACAGTCGACCACAGCCTATGATGGAAAGTCAGTCGACACCATTGCTGCTGCCGACCTACAAGGGTAGGGTAGATTCTACTTTGGATGCCCTTGTCCTCTTCGAAGCAGTCCTATCGGGCAGGTTCCCCCATTGTCCCCGTCGCCCTCACGACCGCGAGCGTCAAGACCTCATCCAAAGCGGCAACGTCTTCATCTACGAAGAGCATGCGTCCGGAATCAAACGCTGGACCGATGGAGTTACCTGGAGCCCGAGTCGCATTCTCAATAATTTCTTAATCTACCGGGAGCTCATAAAGCCCTTCCCTCCTGGCGAAAAGAAGCGAGCCCTGAAGAAGAAAAAGCCCTCGCCAGGAGGCATCGTCAAGACGGAATCGTCGTCGCATCAGCCGAAAATGTCGGCATATATGGAAGCAGGCCTTGAGCAATCCATCGGTGGCAGCAAGGCAGATGAGCGAGCCCTAGTTGGCTCTCTTATTGATTCTTATCCCTTCAAAGAGGGGGGCCTCGTAAAGAAGACGATAAGTCTCGCCTTTCAAGGGGTCACCCATCACCTGGTCAGTTATTATGCCGTTGATGATTTCAAGGATCTCATCAGACCGACCCATGACCGAGCTCTGCGTGGCATTCATCCTCGCTACGAGTTTCTGCATTACAATTTTCGATTCCCCATGCAAGAACCTGTTTCGATTCCCGAACCTGAAGTTGCCCTTTCTACCAACTACGGTTCTCATCAAGGCTCATTCAGCAATGGCACTGCTATCCTTCACCATGCTATGAGTCACAGCGATTTACAAATCCCTATGAGCAATGCTCAGCATGGCAGCTCGCCTGCGTTCGCGTGGCCACAGCCTTCTCGAGAGACGCCGCTCAACAGTTACGCCACAGGCCCCCCTCCGAATTCAAGTTATCATCAGGTCGGAATGCCGCAACAGCAATTGACGTACCCGGTCAGCCAGCCTCCCTATCTTCCCCAACACTCATACTACATGTCGCAACCCCAAACGGTGCCCCAAACGGTGCCCCAAACTGTGCCCCAAACTGTGGCACCAATTGCACACCCTTCAACATTTACAATGTCCTCTGTTGCACCAATGCCTTCAGATGCAGACGATGAGCAGGATGCCAACGGCTACACTCTCGAGGATGGTAGTGAATGGAATACATTTGACCAAAATATGGGCGGCAATGGTCATATGGGCGGCAATGGTCATATGGGAGGCAATGGTCATATGGGTGGCAATGGCCATATGAGAATGTATTAATCAATATTGCGTCTGCTACAAACTGACTTGCGACAAACACGGCGAACACGGCGAACACGGCAAAATTGGGACTTTCTCGGCGTTGATATGGAGGATTGAAACGGTTTGGGTTTTATCATATGTTAATAGAATTTATTAATACTGTAAAAGCTTCCAAATTCCATAATGTGAGAGGTAATACCTCTCTGTCTGTTATCACGTCTCCAACTTGGTTTTTTCTTTTGGTTGCTAGCATGATGAATGCACGTAATTTTCTGAGTCATAGTTTTGAGTTTTAGACGGCTAGACGGCTAGACGGCCATGTGGCAGCGATCTGATAGTCTATTGTGTATGCCATGTGACATAAACAGAACCTTACATATTGTAGTGCAGCACGCGATGCGAAACGGTTCATTTTGTAAAGTCTCTAGTGCCATACGTTGGTACCATGCCCAAAATATTTGATGAGCACCTGTAGCCGGGCGAAATTGTGCAATTACATCCAGCCAAATCCGCCACATGGAGATCTATAAATAGCATGCGATGTACAGTACCTCTACTTTAGGGAGGACCAACAAAGACGGCCTCTTTGAGCGCAAGCGCCAGTTGATCCTCAATGGAGGCTACCAAATAAGTACGAATAAGTAGTTGGTTGAGAGAATTGACTGGAAGTACGAATTGGTGGTACGTTGGTATCTCGATGTCTTGACAGAGCAAGGATGGCTTGGCGATCCTGGATACCTGGCGCTTGCAGCTTTGGGACTTGTGGGGAAGACTGGTTGGTGTCACCGTAGCGCGGGCCACGAGGTCACGCAGGAATCAACCTCCAAGGTACCACGGACCTGTTGGCCTGCAGATCTGCGGGCGGAACGCAAGTCCCGAAGCCCCCAAGAGAAGCACGGAGCAATGGAGTAGGAAGAGACCAACAGGCATCATCTTTTGCACATGACATGATTACGCGAACCGTGATGGGCGGGCGGCTTTCTCGGTGGATCTTGTCGTGTCGGTCCAGCGAGGCCCAGCCCGCCAGTGGACGACGCAGACGGGTTCCGAGAAGCCAGAATCGTGTGCATTGTGTCCAATCCAAAGAGAAAAGAATGACACTATCGCGGGGCCCAAAAAGAAAGTTCTGCTTGTGCGGTGACGGGTCGGCTGCATCCGAGCAACAAGAAAACTTGCAGCTCCTCCTCAACTCACTGCCTCCGCTACCCCGCTGCGGTGGTGGTTGTGGCTGGGCCTTTGCTGCAGCGCTGCAGATCCGGCGACCCCGTATGCCCGCATCCCACCCTTGCGTGCGTGCGTCAAGGTGTCCACAGAAGCTTTTTTTCACAGCCTGGTGGATTTCGGATTTCTGTTAGCCCTGTCTAGCTGTGATATGGAGCCCGGACGGGCGCGCGCCCCCCGTTGCCTCTCCCACATTTTGAGGGGGAGGCACTGGCGAACTCTCTTATGTGGAGTTGACAAGCGGGTGTGAGTTCCATGAGATAGGATTTTGTATCCTAAGGCCGTTAGGTCACACTGACCTTTCATGACATTGGACTAATTTTTATTTTTATTTTTGTTTTTGTTTTCGGACAGTGAAGATCGTGAGACACGGGCAAGCCAAACAAACCCCAAGCAAATCCGGGATGCATGCCCAACGGTCACGGCCCCCGCCCCGACGGCACGGATATTTGGCAGGGGACCCTTTGTCAAATCTGCCAGGCGGCAGGCCTCTTCCCGGAACCTGGTCTCCTTTTTTCTTCGCAACGACCCGTCGTGCACGGTTGGTCGATATCGTTTTGACACATCTCTCCTTCGATTCTTCAACTATCGCCCACCCCGCACTTTTTTCAAACAAAGTTGACGGCTGATTTGCTGGCCGCTCTGGCAAGGGGTTGTCGCGTGGTCGTGACAGCCAAGCAAGGGCCGCTCGCCGGACCACTCAAACATGCCTGTCACGGCAACTGACTGGCGATTGATGCTGGAGGATAATTTTCTCAAGGAACGCGCAAACGCAACGATGAGCTGAGCGGAGGGTCGCGCTAGATATGTACAATCCAAGGAAATGTAAGGGAGGTGGGGTATGACGGCGTCCGCTACCAAAGGCCAAGGCGACTTCTCCAACGGACGATCAGCCACTGCGCAGCGCAAGTGGATAAGTTGCACTGTCTGGATGACTTGGCTGCATGTGAAGTGCTCGACCTGGCTATCGGGTCGTGGACAGGAAAGACTCGGGATGGGGAAGATGAGAGACGAAAAAGCGTCATGCGGCTGTTAACCGAAGCATGTAGCGTTTCTCCAGAGGATAGCCGTGTTGTCATGGGCTGGCTGATAAGCAACATGTTTAATGCCGCTCTACATGCGTGCCAACACAGCAGTATCAAGTTGTGGCGCAACCGGGTCGGCATAAAGAAAAAATTGAAGCATAACTGATGGAATGGTATGTGAAAATAAGTATAGACGTGACTGAATCGGGGTCCTCTGCATCCTCGGCCACTAGCGCACACCACTGTTTCTATACTTGCATGTATAACTCGGGTGTTCGGGGTAGCATAGAGCGTGTCCTGTCTGGGTAAGAGTTTAGACGATGAGAGGAACGATTGGAGAAAAAAAGCATGCGGCAAATCACCTATTCGGTTTTACCGTACCGTGCCAAGATGCGCGCGAGTCGCAAGGGCCCTCCAACGTCGTATTATTTGCTCGCATCAGGGCAGTTGGAATATCACATACAGCCTTGCCAGCCCTGGGGGCCAAAATGATACCATTAGCAGAAACGCCCTGTGGGGAGGGGTGTGTCACATCGGCGAGCGGGATGGCCTAAAAGGTGTCTTCCGCGACCCCGGCACCACCCTCTACGAACGCCGGGTATCCATGTGATGGCCCTGGCCCCTGGCGGGCCCTTTTTCAAGTTGCCAAATGTCTCGCACCTTGTTGCGCCAGCGTCAATGGCGCTACTCCCTTGCGCACACGAAGCTGCGGGGGGGAGGGACATTGAACATTGGAACAATGCGCAAGCACTTAAGTGATTACTCCCTGCCAGGTACTGATGTAATGTGAGCTTACTCCGTACGAGAGAACGTCCGTCGTGTTACACCGGCAGCGTGCTTGCCCGGCGAGGGAGAAACGCACGCCAAGGCAGGGAAACTGGCCTCCAAGGGCCTGCGTTGGCGGCCAAGGAACAAGCATCAACCCAGCCAAACACGTCAGGCCACAAGGCAGGCACCCCCTTCCCCCAGTCTGTGGCGCAGCGTTATACAATATATCTACTCCGTATATACTTGTATACGGATATATTTCAAGGAGTAGGAGAGCTCCAAACCGAGTGGACATGGATGTGGCGGCCGTCCCGCAACGGAATTGCCGAGGTGGGTGTTGTAAAATGCTACGAGAGATGCCAATACATGCATGCTCTGGATGGATCAGCCAAGACCTGCTGCTGCAACATGTTGCACATCCCCATGCAACATAGGGTCAGCTTTAGCAATACTCAGTCATGTCTTCCTGGTCTTCCTGGATAATTCATACTTGATTTGTATCGTTGACGCGCGAGGAGCCAGCAATGCGCTGCCCTGTGGTCTCATAGTTGGGTGCAGCATTCTACGGGGTTGGCGGTGTGGCTCTAGCTTTACTTTAGCCGAGCAACACCAAAGACAAGAAACATCAAGAAGCCGCCCACACGGGTACACAAATAACACTCCAGCACGAATGCAACACTTGGTCTACATCTACGTGCCTTCATGGTTTCATAGTTAAGTAGACAGCCCGTTACAGGTGTTGCTTGTGTGCGAGTTGTGCATGCTGTGTGCTTTTGTCTGTCAGCTACACGTCCTACAGGGTAGCAGCCAAGGTCCCCGCAAAATACCACGATGTGCAACCCAGCTTTTTTTTCCCTGTTCTCGACACGGCCGTCCGCGGCTTCGAAGCGAAAATTGCCTGCCCCAACGGCCTGCGCACCCGGAAAACCTTACTGACCCCCCCGAAAAAGGACATTGAACACGGCGTCAAAGTGTGCCACTGGAGCTGAGAGCCCGCTCCCGCTCGCAGCAATGCTCTCTTTGCAGGCCGGGGCCATTGGCCGGACGGCCTTGCGCAGGACGACTCTCCTCGTGCGGCCGGTGTCGTCCTCTTGGCCGTCGGGCGCTGCCGCGCGGATGCTGTCCTCTTCGCCCCTCCCGCGGCCGCTAGGCCGGGCCAAACTCGGCCTCGTCGTGCCCACGCTGCGCCGAGAGACCTCGTACGTGTGTGTTCCTGGTTGTCGTTTTTGTCAAATGCGCTGCCAACTTCGCTAAAGTCGGCAGCCTGCCGCCGCCAAACGAACCTTATAGTGTCTCTTGGTATTCTCATCGCTGACCCGCGTGTGTGAAACAGAAACAGCTCCAAGCCTCCCATCCCCACGCGTAAACCGCAGCCTCCTACCAACGCCCACGACGAAGCGGCTCGAATACCCACGAGCTCGGCGCCGTCGTCACCGTCGGCATCGCCCGGCGCTGGCGGTCCGCTGGCCGACCCGACTCTGCACGAGGACATTTACACGCTGCCCAATATCCTCACCATGTCCCGGCTGGTCGCGGCGCCGGTCATCGGATACTTTGTGCTGCACGACTCGCATGCGTGGGCGGCCGGGCTGCTGGCCTACGCCGGCGTGACGGACCTCCTCGATGGGTGGATCGCGCGCCGGTGGAACCGCAAAACGGTCGTCGGGACGGTGATCGACCCGATGGCCGACAAGGTGCTCATGACGGTCCTGACAGTGTGCCTTGCCGTCAAGGGAGCGTTGCCAGGTACGTTTGTCCAACTTGCCCGCCGCCGACTGAAGAGGAAGCGAGGGAGAGGGCTGGTGTTTCTTTACAGCTCCGATGCTAACGAATGTCTTCCGAGTAGTATGGGTGGCGAGCATTATCCTCGGCAGAGATGTCGGGCTCGCCATCGCGGCCATTTACTTTCGCTGGATATCGCTCCCGCCGCCGAAGACGTTCACGCGCTACTGGGACTTTTCCCTGCCCTCGGCGGAGGTCCGGCCGACCACGATCAGCAAGTATAACACGTTCCTGCAGCTAGCTCTTGTTGGCGTGACGACTGCGGCGCCTCTGGTGCCTCTGGACCTGTCGCAGGCTTTGTCGATCATGCAGTACGTTGGACTTCCATTCTGCTTCCTTCGCACGGAGTATCGAGCTAACGCTGGAATAGATATGTTGTGGCTGCGACGACGATATGGAGCGGTGCGAGCTACGTGTATACGAAGGATGCTGTAAAGATCCTCGGTGCGCCGAAGAAGCAGAAGAATAAGCAATAATTATCTGTCCAGCCCGCTGTGCATTTGAAACCAGGTGCGTGGGATACTCGGCGTCTATAGCGGGGAGAAGCTGTACTTATCACGGCAAAGAAAATTTGTATAATAAACACTTGTAACATCCCGGCTTTCCCAAGTTTAAATCTATTATTGTGTACATGTATGAGATACAGGGAGACATTTGAGAGGCATCAATGCCCCGTATGAAGGGGGGGCCGCTCTATGTGCTGTTCGCAAACAAGGGCGTGGCATCGGAGCGGCGCCGAACATACGCAAGCAAGCGTAAACTCCCCGACGGCGTGACGCCCTCGACGCGACGAGCTTGGGCGAGAGTTTCCGGCCGGGTGATTTTGAGGACCTCGCGCTCGGAAAGCGCGAGACCTGGAATGGCGTCGTAGTCGAGGTCCAGGGGCAGCTGGACCCCCTCGTCGTTCTTGAACCTGCCGATGGCGGTCTCGTGCATCCGGATGTACGGCGCGTACGTCGCCTGCACGAAGACGCGGTCCCGGATCCGCGGCGAAAAGTCGGCGATGCCGGGGAGCAGCGCGGCCAGGCGCTCCAGGTCGACGCGCGTGCTGCTGGCGTTGGAGAGCCGCACAATGTCGGTGCCGCTACGTCGGCGTGAGTCGCGCTTGGTCTGGAAGCCGTGCTTGCGCCACTCTTCCGTCGACAGGGATACCGAGTCGAGGATGCCCGTGAGCCTGTCGATCTGGTCCTTGTCATCGGTGAACGCCCGCCAGCGGCGGTCGGTGACGACGCCCCATCCGCGGCCCTTTTCGGTGAGTCGTAGGTCGGCATTGTCGGCGCGCGCGGCCATGCGGAACTCGCTGCGAGACGTGAACATGCGATAGGGCTCGGTCACGCCCTTGGTGATTAGGTCGTCGATCATGATGCCGATGTATCCGTCGGATCGTGACAGAGACGCGCCAGGGAGGCCGGCCGCCGCTCGTCCGGCATTCATTCCAGCTAGGACGCCCTGGCCTGCTGCTTCCTCGTAGCCGGTAGTACCGTTGATTTGGCCGGCGAGGTAGAGGCCGTCGATGGCCTTGGTTTCCAGAGTTGATTTGAGCCCGCGGGGATCGATGTAGTCGTACTCGACGCCGTATCCTGGCTGGAGCATCTTGACCTGCTCGAGCCCGGCAATGGTTTTCAGCGTTTGCTCCTGCGCTTCGGGAGGGATGGTCATGGATAGGCCGTTCGGGTAGATGACGGGGTCGTCAAAGCCTTCGGGCTCAAGCCAAACGATGTGCCGTTCCTTGTCAGCGAATCGGATTACTTTAGACTCCAGAGAAGGACAGTATCTAGGACCCTTGACGGATTCACGGATATGAACTGTCTTTTCCAAGTTGGCCCGTATCACATCGTGTGTTGCATGGTTCGTGTATGTGGTGCTGCAGGTGAGCTGATCTTGGACCTCGACGCGGCTGTGCAAATAGCTGAATGGATTGGGCGGATCGTCGCCATACTGCGTCTCCATGACATCGAAGTTGATGCTCGACTTGTCTAACCGCGGAGGCGTTCCCGTCTTTAGGCGACCTAGCTGAAAGCCAGCATCCCGCAATGATTTGCTCAGTCCAAACGTCGCTGCTTCCCCTAGGCGACCGGCTGGATATGTCTGTAGGCCAATGTGAATTTCTCCACCTAGGAATGTGCCGGTGGTTATAACCACTCGTTTGGTGAGAATGATGTCGCCAGAGTCGAGTCGAACGCCAGAGATGGCGGGTTTTTGTGCGCTGGGCCCGGTCTCTTCTGTCGATAGTACGATGTCGGACACGGAATCGAGTACAATTGACAGATTCGCATACGATTCAAGCTCTTCGCGCATGTACGTACGGTAGAGCTTGCGGTCGATTTGCGCTCGCGGCCCCTGTGCAAATGGAAACAGGTCAACTCCATGCCTAGCATAAACGTCCAAGCACATTTGATGTCTTCAACATACCCAAACCGCCGGCCCCTTGCTTCGATTCAGCACGTGAAATTGCACGCCGGCCTTGTCGATTATGCGCCCGGCAAGGCCGTCGAGGGCATCGATCTCGCGAAGGATGGTTCCTTTGCCAATACCCCCGAAACTGGGGTTGCAGGAGCAGGTGCCGAGGTTTTCGATCTTTGGCGTGACGAGCGCCGTCCTGGCTCCCGCCCGCGCTGCAGCCGCGCAGGCTTCAGCGCCGGCATGGCCGCCTCCTATGACAACCACATCGAAGGTTCTTGCAGACGACACACCATTAGCGACTAGCAATGCGACCAGGTCTCTGCGCCGCGTTTCTACTCACCTAGCACTTTCCGAGACGGTCGCTAGATACCTGCGGCGGCTTATCGTCGATATTATGCGCCTACTGCGAGCTCTGTGTCGTAAAATTGCGTGCATGGTCTCTGTGTTGAGGTGGTAAAAATGTTCTCGACGATCGGAGCGCCTGTCGCGCACCTTTTTTGGTGGGGCAAATTGAAGGGGTTACAATAACTACCTACATAGGTAGCCAGCCAGTCTGCAGCCACTTCAGTACGTCGAGAATAGTGCCTGAAGGGATTTATCTGATGGAAAAAAGATGGAGAAAAGCTTCAAGTATCTTTGCTGCGAATGAATAATAGGGTCTAAGTGTATAAGTACAAATGGGCTTTCTTTGGAGTGAATACCTAGCCTTCCTGCGTCCAGCTTCGCGGTACCGACAACCACGCCTCTTTACCTACGGGATCGAGTATCGGGCCAGGAGCTAACTGCATCATCGACTTCTTCCATAAAGGTGCTAGCGTTTTGAATAGAAGTCCCTCCCAAGACAACTCGAACGCCGGGGGTTGTTGCGTTGATGCCCGCAATCATTTTGGCTTCTTCATATGTTGCGCCTCCAATCATGAAGACGACAATGTCTTGAGGCTTATCTCTGGTAGTTCCGCCTCCGTCAACAAATGGGTACTGTTGCTCCTTCAAGCGACCCTTGACGAGATTCTGTAGGGTACTTTCGAGCAGTGTCGTATGTTGCGTATAGACATTCTCCACGCCTTTTAGCCCTTTGAAGCGAATTGAAGCGCCAGCGAATATCCCACCCGATTCAAATATATCTGAAATGCCACCCTGCGCCTGTGAAGAGTGCAGAGATGTGTGGTAAGCAAGTACCTTGTCTACCATAGCAGCCTGGCGCGGTTGTACATTGCCAGCCGCAACAAGCAGATCAGATAGCATTGCCAAGGAGTTTGATGGCTGTTTATGGTAGCGCAGAGCATATAAGGTGACCAGCGCAACTTTGCTGTTAGCTGTTACTTGAGGGTTTTGCAGCAAAGTTTGGATTGACTATCTCCTTGTTAGTAATGTTCCTGTACAAGATCAGTGGCGTATACATACTCGTAAGTCATTGTTGTGATTATCATTGCAGGCTAGACTTTGTTCCAGCTCGCTAACCTCTAGCAAATTCTCAGCTGCAACACGTCTGCTGAGTTCGGAGACGAGGGTGACGTGCTTGCTGACGTTGCCGGATAATTTGCGAAATTCTGGATATTCCTCAATGAAACGTTTCATATCGGCGATAGATTCAATGTCGGCATTGTTTTTCGTTTTTGATTGATACTGCTCCACGTATTCCTTGATTGTACTGCCAAGGTCTCCAAAGTTGAGGAACATGTTCTTTTTGAAGAATGGATCCTGGTCTTGTGATAGAACTATCTCTCGCAACTCTGGCCGAATATCAGGTACATCCTCGAGATTCACGCGACCATTCTGGATACCGAGAAGATGATTAACCATGGCCTGGTAGGTCCATTGTGTCAGGAGCGGGGTGACGGGGTCCTCACGACGATCAAGGACTAGCAAGATCGGCGGCGTGTCAACTTTTCGGAAGTCAAACAGCTGCTCTTCCTGTGTCATGAGATATCGGACCTCAGAGGCGAGCTTCTTCGCCACAGAGCTACTCCTCGCGTAGCGAATGAGGGGCTTCTTTTTGAGAGACAGCATCACAGCCACCAACCCATCTGCGCAGCGTTGAAGAGACTCGGGGTTCCAGGTATCGGGGCTACTCGTAAAGATACGCCACCTTGGAAGCGTAATCTCGAAGCTGAAGAGGTCAGGGTTTACGACGGTATAGTCGGCAAAGTGCTCCTGAACAACCTTGACGATTTCATGGTCGTCGGCCTCAGCCAGTCGCTCGAGTGAGGACTTCTTCGCCACATTGGTAAAGTACAACTGGTACTCGCCATATTTCGGATCTCTCAGTTCGTCTATTAGCAGCTGGATGGTTTCTGGCGATGGCCGCACAAGGCAGAGGCAGCGTAGATGCCTCATTTTCTCTCTCGCTGTGTTGTCCAGGCGATCAATCAGGTAGACCTCGTGGTTAAGAAGAGTTGACTGCGTAATGGCTGTGGAGACAATAGGGACAGTATCTCTATCCAACAGCAAAATCTTCATTTTGGACGATGATGTCTCCCCCGCGGGCATCACGATTCTGGAGATGTAGCCTGAAATGGCCTGGGAGACGTCCATGGTGACTGGGTTCCCACTCTGGGGTCTGGGCCTTCTCTGAGTTGATGGGTGATTTGCGTCGGACCTTTACGGTCTTGAATTATCGTGAGTATGCTGGGCGATTGTTTTGGTTGGGAAGGGGTTGACATACGCTATCCTAGGATTAGATTGATGAAAGCTTGAGAGTGACAACATGAAGCTGTCCGCGCTACGTCACGTTGACACCCGGTATATGAATTAGTCCCGGTCGATGCATACACCACCTGGAGGACCCAATGCTGGCATTTACGCCAGGGCTGCGCTGAATAAAAGTCTGTAGAGTTTAATTATCTAATTGATATTATACTACTGCTAAAAATAATACTCCAGTCATTACCAGGCTAAGGTAAAAATAACGAGATTCTGTAGATGCTCGTTGTAGTAAGATTGCAGGGGCGGAAACATTGGGCGCGGCGAGCTCTACGAGGGCTCCAACGATCGTTGGTAGAACTTGCTAGCTGTCCACTTCACGTATTGTAATCTTCCACAGATAGATGCTCTTGTATAAGCAGCACGACGAGCAGGGCATGAAAGAGAGAGAAGAAAAAGTGAATAATGCGCTCTAGACGATTTTTGATCCTCTAGATATCCTAAGATGGTTGGACATGCAGCACAGCGTACCCGCCCCAAAACACCACAATCAAGACGGCTGTTATCCTCATTTAAACCATGCCACATAAATATTCATTGCCATCCCATATCCAGAATGAGGCGGATCTGCACAAAGTATAGAGCTGTACGCTCCTCAAAGAGTGAAAACCAGATGCGGCCTCCGCGAACAATGCAAACAAAAAATGGACTCGCTATCCCAAGGTATCTTTTTTCGCCCAAAATGTAATCACACCCGTTGCGTAGCCGACATGGTCCATACAGATATACAAAACAAAGCAAACGTGCGTAAAGTCAGGATCTGTCGCAGGGTAGGAAGTTGGCTAATCGCCGCCCTTAATCCTCTTCGTCGCTTTGGCCGTGCCGATATGCGTGTTATGTACCTGCTCTATGTCAGTCTAGGTACTACATTGCAAAGTGCTGTCAGTGCGTGAAGCATGCTCACCTTGGTTGCGAACCGTAAACTTGTCAGCGTCTCCTTTAGATGAACTTCTAACGGCGATACCATAACAAACATGAGAGTCTTGCTGTTACCACCAAGGCTGTACTGAAGTAGATGCGTCAGCTTAGAGTTGCGATACGGAATGTGGCCAGATCCGCGACCTAGCGCCTCAATCACGTCGCCCAGACAGCTAAGACTCTTGTTGATGTTTTGCGTCTCCTTCATGCGTTCTCCTTCGGCCTGCGAGTGCTTCAGGCGCTCTGAACCAGCCAGGTCGACCAGGTTCAGTGTGCCCTCACACTGCTCTCCAGTCGCCAAGTTTTTGCCGACAAGTTTGAGGATAAAGATACTATGCGACCGAGACGAGCGCTCGTTGGCTTTTGTCGCTGCCACTGATCGGTTCTTCTGCGCCTCGCTCAACATCGTCTCAACCACATCAGGGGAGCTCAATATGACCGTTTTGCAGTTGATTATAGTGGTTTGCTTGCGCGCCTCATCGTGACGAATTTCAAGCTTCTTGGGGTTGCGCTCATTTGGTACCAGCAAGTCGTTTAATTCTTCGTTGTAAACTTCGACGAAGCAGCCTTCCATAGTGTACTCCCAAGACTTTTCCTTGAATTTCGTGATTGTGTCGTATATCATGTGCGTTGCGCGAGGAATCATGCCGTCATCTGAAGACATCGTGTGAGTCTTGCCAGAGCCGGTCTGGCCGTAGCAGAAGATGCAGACGTTATAGCCATCCAATGCGCTCTGCACAAGTTGTGAGATCTCGCCAAAGATCTCCTCGTTTTGGGATGCTGGCATGAACACACGGTCAAACTCAAAAGGATAGTTTTTCCGTGAGACGACGCCCAAGCTGCTGCGTTCCTCAGGCCCTGCTAGGACAATTTCGGCCGAGGTCTTCTCGTCTGGGAAGTTCATGCCAGCACGATTCTCTAAAGGAGCGCCTAGCGGAGGCCGTACACGGCACATGACGCGAATATTACCTTTGAGCTCTTGATACTTGTTGAACAAGACGCGTCGCTCGGTCTCTTCCTTGATGAGCTTCTGTTTCGCTTCCTCGGCTAATCGAAGGGCCTCCTGAAGCCTGGCCTCCATGTTTGCGAAAGAGTCGGACTGTGCTTTGCTATCAGACTCGAGAAATTCAACCTGCGATCGAACGGAATTGAGTTTGGCTTCCAGTGTCACATTGGCCGCGGATATTTCCGATATATTGGACTGGAGGCTGCCATTGAGGCTCTTCTGGCGCTCGATTTCGCTGCAAAGGGAGTCGTTCTCGGCGCGCAAGTCTTGCAATTCACGCTCTTTCCGTTGCATACTCAAGCTCATATCTTGCGCTTCTCTCCCCATGGTCGACCGTAAATCTTGCATTTCGCGGTCTTTGCGCTGGCGTTCTTCCTCGAGGGATCTTTCGTGATCTCGCGTAATCGATTTGATCTGTTCTGAGTGCTGTTTTGTCCCTTGCTCTTTTAATAGGTTCAGCTCTCGGCGATGATCCTCAAAGGCGGTGCGGTGTTGGCGATCCAGATCCTCAATAGCTCGAGAATGGTCGCGTTTAAGTTGATCAACCTCTCGTTGACTCTCCCACTTGACTTCATCAAGTTGCCGTCGCAACGAGTGGCCTTCCTCTCTAGCATTGTCAAGCTCATTGCGCAGGGATTCACTGCGTTCAGTAAGTTTTTGGCGGTCATTTTCGAGCTCGGCCACTGCGAGAGTCAGTAAACTGCAGGTGATCTCATTCGTCCTATCTTACCTCGTGTCTTTGCCAGCTCCAGGGCGTCGTCGTGTCCCTTTTTTTGCGTGAGTGTTATGTTCACCATGTCTTTCAATTCCTCGAACCGCGACTCCATGTCCCCAACTCGACCGTCCACGTCCCACACTACAACAAAGTCAGTTAGGTCAGAAAATTTATTCAGGTATTTTCGAGGAGATGGGGATTTAGTCGGTGAAGCAGCCAATTTGATATCAGCAATGCACTTGTCCACTTGGCGTATCTGTGCTTTGACTCTTGGAGATATATCCTATACATCTTCGGCGGAGTGGTTTGGGGCTGGAGGTGTCACTCGACCAGCCAGCACTGGGTCTTGAATGTTGAGTGCATCAAAGGCTTGCGATAAAGAACTCTCTCTTGTCTTGCGCGGATATATCATCGCAGTGGTTGATCTCTTGTACTTGGGATGGGGTGATTCCTGGGCTTCGAACATGTCTTGTGATCGGAGGCTCATCATACCATTTGTGGTTGTCGATTGATCGAGAAGATCTTCGTCGCGATGCCCATGCGATGTCTTGGGCCGTGGTACATGTTTTAATCGTGAAGTCGGAGGCCGGATGGCATTTGTCTTGGCGGCCGGCCGGTCTCTGCCTGGACCAAAGCTTTTCGCAAAGCTGCCCAGTAGCGCTGTTTGGCCAGGCTGTTGTCGGTAGGAGGACTTCAACTGTGGCGAGTTAGTGGGAGGATATTGGGAATGCGCAGTGGTAGACCATGGAGCTCACAGAGGGCACGCTCGTAAGCGCATGGCCTTGGACCACATTCGCTCTCGTAGCATAGCTATGAGTGGCCTTGGGCGGGTACTCGGCGGCGCGGTCAGAAAGGAGTTTGCGCTTCGGCTCTGACTGGGAAGCAGGCTGAGGGGTTTCGCGCTTCAAATTCTTAATGCCGCCAGGAGCGGGGATGGCGGATTGACTGCGGGTGTTGTGCTGCGACTCGCTCAGTTCCGAGAGACCGGACGGTGCGGAGGGACCAGGCAGCCGGCTAATTCTAGAAGACCGGTTGAGCTAAAGAGAGATGGTGTTACTATCCTGTCTTTTTGGTTTGGCTCGCGGCGGGCAAAACACACTTGATTCTCTGAAAGTTCCATGATTAAGGCGACGAGGCGCAGAACGCGCGTGGGTGGCGATTGTTGTTGTCGCGTTGGTAAGTGTCAGAGCAATGGCTCACGGTCGGCAGACTCGGGGTGTCTTGGTCAACGCTATGCTGAGGGATTGATTCGAGTTATTGAACAAAGCTAAGATGCATGTACGTCTGTTGATTGGATTCGGTACATTGCCTGTACAACAATGGAGATGTGCCCTCGTAGTGGGTTGTCGATGGGGCAGCCTGATGTGCGCGACGCTTGTTTACTTTTGGGCTGGTGGGGTTGCCCAGGGCAACACGTTGATGAGGATGGCAGAGGGCAATAATAAGGAATGGTTAAAAGCTGCTTTCTCTCTCTCTCTCTTATTGTTATTATACCTAGTTACCTTTTTACTCCTACTATTCGCCGGAGCTCAGGGGAAAGGTCAAATCTTTCTCTTGTACCTCGACGTGGTCGGTAGCATTTCCCTTGAACTTGGCGATCGTTGTTTTTGCTATGGCTGGAGCAGGAAAGATTCTAGTTGAACGGGAGTAAAAAGATATTTATTAAACTCGAGTTATTTGCGACGGCATACTATCTCCTGGGCTCTTTAAAATCTGTGCTACTGGGCCAGGTACTAACTGTGCGGTCGGCTACTATTACAGATAGCAGAGCTCTTCAATTCAAGTATAAACGGACCCAATAGCCTGCCACTCTAAAGAGGTTCATGCAGGCGATCGCGCACTTGTCGTCCGGCGCGTCTAGGAGAATATGCAAGTCCGTGTCATCACTGCAACCACGTGTCTCGCTCCTCACAGTTGCGATGGTGTGGGCTTTGCCTATCTCTGAATCACTCCATCGTTTTTTCCAATCGTCCAGCTTGTTGTATTCCTCCTCGGTCCTGTCCGCAGGGTCGAAGCTGATCCAGATTCGAATTTCCACGCAAGTCATGATACCGTCGCCCAAGGATATATCTTTGTCAAGGCGCTCGCTGATATGATCGAAGTGAGCTGGTTTATATGAGTTTCCTGGATTCGTTGTGTGCTGTAGAGCTCGGGCCTTTGGAAGTGAACTGTCAGCGGAAAACGCATCTTTGTTTTGCAGAAATTTCTCATGGGACTAAGTGTGGTATCACTCAAATGCCTTCAATCACTTATTAAGGCCTCGGTTCTTTGATACAGAATTGTGCTGGAGTAGCCGCCAAGTACCAAGCATGTCGCAATGTGCTTTGTGCTGTGCAACCTACGGCCACGCGTGGATATAGCGGCAATACCTATAATCACAAAACTCCAGAAACAGGATCTCATTTGTATTCAGCGTGCTACGTGAAGATAGGCTAAGGATAGCTGATGGGCTGAGGTACGGCCTGATCGCGTCCGGGCTGGTTGACTGGTAAAAATCGCAGATCATGAGCGCATGACTGAAATGAGCAGACATCGGCCAATGTTTTACTACTGGAGAACTACCCGGAGCAAGCAAATCATCACTCTCACTTGCCAGATGTAGAAGGCTGAATCGGGCCAAGTTCGTAGCCAGATGCCTCGAGCTGCGGTATCATATCTTCAAAATATCTGTCTGCAGCGTTCTTGTCCGCGAAATCGAGCACCATCTCCAAGGCATTGACGTTATCCATATAAGTCTCTGGGCCATCAATTCGACAGCGTCGCACGGCATAAGGCGCTTGGGGTCTAAAATGCCACAAGAAGAGCTCCTGAACCAACATCTCCCTTGTCTTGTCGCGTGGGACCAGGATCATGACGCTGATGGTCGTTGCATCATGCTGGAGTTCATTACTGGTTGAGGGAGCGTTCGATTTCATTTTGACGGGGTGTCTTTATTTGAGCAAAAGATTTAGGCATGAAATCGCAAGGTGTGTAAAGACCAACACAAAAGAAACGGCTGTAGTGCTTGTTATACCTGCTTGCGGAGGGGGCTACTAGGTTATCAGTCTGACAACTGACGTCCTTTTCCTTTCACAGTCGCAATAGTTACACCAATTTACCCCTACTTTATACTAAGACAGTGGATTTCCGTCAAAGTGTGTAGCGTGTACGATGTGTTACAATGGATCGCCTCACCACTTGCAACTGGAGTGTGGTACAAAGGTCGTTAATCACGGCTCTATCTATCTCTCACAATCGGGAATTAACTGATTCGTGACAGCCACAGCTAAAACTCGTATCTTACAATATCTATGCATGAGGTTTCGACATCATCGGACAGTTACGCGCCCGAACCTCCGTGGCTCGCTGTCGTGGAACCCGGTGGCATACTTTGCCGAACCAGCAATTTCTTATAAGTAAGGCTATACAAAATTTTTTACTACGCTTTCTTTCAGCGATAGGAACTTTTCTATCTATTCATCGCCTTGATTGGACCAGGCGTCATTCCACGGGGTCAGGTAATCAATTACTTGCCAAGCGGGACTCCCTTCATGCGGAGAATGGAGTAGACGGTTTGCAGATGGAAAAAGAAGTTTGGCATGCCCAGTGACAGAATAAATTGTTTCCCGGTACCGATTTCTCCCATGACCTTCATTTCCATTCTGTCCTTTTTCGCTAAAGTTGCCGGTTCAATGCCGTCCAGGAATGCCTTGGGCCTCTCTGCGCGCTCAATAAGCTCGGCCATGGTCACGGGGTTCTCGTCCTCCCAGGTTTCCATGTTTTCGATGCCAAATCTCTTCAGCGACAAGTTGATAGTGTTCCAGACTGATTGAACGTGGAAGCTCAATGGCTCCATGTCCTCTATGAGAGTGGCGGAGGGGAAGCTGGCCGCATCGCTGCTGCGTAGCTTTGTTGAGCAAATCGATGAGGACAATGGTTCCCCTCGTGAAGACCCCAACGCTGACGTTTATATGCTAACATCGGAAATTTATATTGGACAATTCGGTCAGAGATACACTGAACTTGTACGATGGTAGGTAGGAGATCTGGAGAGGGGTAATAAGCACCAAGCGTTGGGGTTTCAGCCTATTTTGTGTCTGGCTCACAGCCTTCCATGTCATGTGGCTGGTCAGGAATACGCGGCCCTCTTTAACGGAGAAAAATGTATCTACTCATGACCATTTTTGTACTGCAATAGTTTTGATTGGTACCATTGTCATTGCATTTCTCCTACCTGCTATTGTTGCGAACATCGCCAAGCCAATACGCCTAGCATTTTGCAGCCATTGTACAACGGGTAAATGAGAAGCAAGCGGCGAGATCTTCCCAAGTATGATTCAACAAACACAACCCGACCTTTTAGTTGCCCCCGAGAAGCTTCGCAACGAATTCGACCGCGAAAGCCCCTCGATTACGGACAAGGGCTTGTAAGTCCTCAATCTCCCAGAGAGCCGTTGCGTAGCGACCAACAATTTCCATCACTTCCCTTCTCAGCATGTTGTTCTTCTCTTTTGTCGTCTCAAATATTAATTGTATGCAGGAGACAAAGTTTTTATCCACTCTCTCTTCCTCGATGGATCCCTTGAATCAGTCGGTCGCTGACAGCTGGAGACCTTCCAATCGCAAAAGACTCGGCCACAGTGTAGACGTGGATGTGTCTGATACACGAGCTCGTCATCTAGAGGGAAAAAAAATTAGTGATTGCATAAGCTGGCATCCCTCTTTCTAGTAGATCCACATACCAAGATCGGATATCTCTGCGACTGGCTGGATAGAATATGTGCCCTTGTACAGATACTCAAGCATGCGCCAGTAGGCATGAGGCTGTCCTGTCTCGTAGCGAAACTCCTTGGTGGCTTCCGCCTTAAAGCCACCCTTCAATAACGCATCCCTGAAAAAGTCGCATTGAGAAGCTAGCACAAAGCTATGAGCTGGAAAGATCAATTTGATGATAAATATGGTGACATCTGATAAAATCACGTTGTTGAACGACCTATCACGAGTTAGATATGGCAGACAGACCTCATGGAACCAATACGAACTCTTTCATCATGCGGTGTAAAGGTTCCACACGCGAGTCAATTGTTGCAGTTTCGGCGGCACTACAGACAAGTTCATAGCTGCGTCTGGTTCCTGTCTTCGTGCTCGGTTCGTCGTCTGAAGACTCGTCTTCTGAGGAGGTACTCTCGTCGCTCGTGTCCATTGATCCATTGAACTGTCATCCTCGCTCCAAGTCTCAACCCAGGCTCTCCTTTCTGAGTGCATTTTTTGCTAGTGCCATTTGAAGCAATTCATGAAGGAAGGGCAAACGGCAGAAGCCTTGACCGAAAAAGAATAAATGTTGATGATTATAAGTGAAATTCTAACTTGAAAGTTATTGTGAGTTTCGTCATTAACAGTGGCCAAATTTCTACAGTCCTTCTGCACAGCACGCCAGCCGCAAGCTACCACTTGCACGGACGACTGCCCAGTCTGTGCCAGATTCGTATTCTTCAAAAACGTTTTCGTCAGCCTAGGTTAACACTACCAAGAAAGTATAGAAGGATAATAAAAGAATGAACAAAAATACACCAAAAAATTAAAGCAAACCCAAGGCCACTGCGTCCTCACACTGCTAGCAGCTTGGCCCGTCACTACTGAGGCCACTGCGTCCTCACACTGCTAGCAGCTTGGCCCGTCACTACTGAGGCCACTGTCCTCGGTAGTGGAAGCGTCCTACTGGGCAGGGGAAACGTCCTACCAAGCCATCCATAGACACACTTCTAAGAATGCAAGTATAAATCAGCAATTTTATGCCCGACTTGTGCCGGGAACCAGATATCCCCAGGACAAGCCTTTCGTTCTTGTTGTCCAACGCCGTCTCGATGATGAGGTGCAGCGGGAGAGGGCAAACACTGCTGGTCGCACAGGCGGCTCAGCTGCTGATCACGCTGGCTCCAAACCGACCGACAGGTACGACCAGTAGCAATGCCGCACTTCACCACATGTTAGCACCATATGCCACCACCAGACGACATGCCGATGCCAACAACAACGTCACACCACGTAAACTTGATGAATTTCACATTTCCATTTTCTTCCATGTAACTATAGCCAGTCATCCAAACGTCTTTCAGCCTGACCTTCCGCGAAGCGTTTCAGCCCCGGCCATCCACCACCGACCTTCACGCGCGAGACAGCATGACGCGGCACCATTATTAGCCACCCTTGCCTTCTACAAGGTACTCCTCAACACTATTTTCCAAAACATCATCAGGCCTCTCACATTCACACACTTCTCTCTGCTGTGTTTCCGGGATGAGATTCACCCTCCTCTGCTGCGACTTGATCCAACCACCATGAAAAAGCCAGCCTTCCTACCATTTCTACTTCTCCAACCAGCCAACGCTCTGCCCGCCTTCCTGCCTCTAAGCTGGCCCTGGTCCCCTACGCTAGACAACAGCTCGCTCCCATCACGGCCGCAACCACCCCCAGACATCCCTCGTCACGGGCAACCAGCTGACGGCTTCGACTTCCCGCACCGTCCCGGGGTTCCCTCCACCGGCTTCGTCGCCTTCGGCGACTCCTACTCGGCCGGCATCGGCACTGGCGTTAACGGATCTGAAGTTGACTGTCGCCTAGGCAGCCATGCCTATCCCGTCCTCATCCGTAACGACATGATGTCGGGCCAGCACAGTGATAAATATGGCAACGCTACCACCTTTCAACATTTGTCATGCACGGGGTCGACAATACAAGACGTCCTCGCTGGCGGCGAACACTCGCAGGTCGACCTGTTCAACACTACGGCGTCTGCTGACTTCGCTCTCCTCTCCATCGGCGGAAACGACTTAGGCTTCTTCGACATCATGAACAGCTGCATCTTTCGGTTCTACTCCTTCTACTCAGGCACCTGCGAGGCCGCTCTCGAGCGTTCGGAGGTGCAGATTGCCGGCCCCGAGTTCGATCAGCACCTGCGGTTGCTTATCATGGAGATTTTGGACAGGGTCCAATGGGAAAAGCGTCCCTGGTTCACCATTACTGTCACTGGCTACGCGCGCTTCTTCAACGCGGACACGCCAGAGTGTGATGATTACTCTCTCGGCATGTGGTGGCGCGGGCCAAAACTAAAACAGGACCTACGCAGCAAGATGAACCGCATGGTCCTCAATGTGAACCATCGGATTCAGCAAGCCATCGACACCATTAACGAAGCATTCACAGAGCCAAGAGTCTTGTTTGTGAATTACGACGATGCTTTTGAAGGCCATCGCTTTTGTGAACCGGGTGTGGTTGAACCGGATTACATGCGCAACGAAACGTGGTTTTTCTTGGTCGGCGGCGAGGATAATGACGGCTCAACCATGCCTCATGAACCGCTCCCCCCGAATTCGACGCTCGGCGACCCAGAAATCTTGCTGAGAGCTGGTGAAGTGGCTGCACAAAATTCCATGTGGTATGTTCCGACATATTATGGGAAGACCTTTCATCCAGTAAGTTCTTCATCGTCATCGTACCTTTTTTCTTCTCAGTTCTAACCGTTGTCAACAGCGCACAAAGGGGCACATGGCCATCCGCGACAGGGTCTACCAAACCTGGCGAGAAACGGATATTTTGTCCATTCAGGCGCCGACTGAAGAATTGTAAATTAAACGAGTAACAATGATGATGTAAATGTGGCGCAGGCTCTCGCGTTCATTCTGATTTTATCCAGCGTTTTGATTGCTTTCAGTTTATTTCGCTTTTTGATACAGGCACAGCATAGAAAGACATGTCCAATTCAGTTGCTTCAATTAAATGCCTTGCGAACAGCTATGTAGCACCGTTAGTGGCCGCTCACAGTACCTGACTCACCAAATGCGGCCGGACTAACTTTGATGCACCACTCAGTGCGACTACTCCCCGCGCCGATGCGGCGCAACGCTTCACTAACCCAAGCACGCCGCGTCAACCTGCGTGACAACATCATCACTTTTCATCTCCCAACTTGCAGAGTCATCCTGTTTCATCGCGCTCTGCGGCTTCAACCCGTCTTTCTTCCTTTTTAAGCCATTTTGGGGCCCTTTTTACCCCGACACAGCAGTCATCATGGCACCGGAAGCCAAAGGTACGAGCTGACCCACACGCCGACTTGCATATCGACCAATGGTCCTGACAATCATCACAGGCGCAAAGGACTCCGCCAAGTCGGCCAAAAAGGACACCAAGGGTGGCACCATCAAATTAAAGAAGCAAGCTCCCAAGCACAACAAACCCGGCAACTGGCGTGATGGTAGCGTCGTCGAGGGTATGTGCGCATCAGTAAACCCCCTGCCGCATCACTAACACGTTGTAGACGAAAAGAAGAAACCTGTTAGCTCGCCCACAGCAGATGTCGCCTCTCCCGGCCCCGTCGTCAACCAGCTTGACGACAATGCGCGCGAGGCCTTTGCAACTGGCCGGCCTCTCGAAGACTCACCCGACCTGCAACAATGCAAGCACTGCAAGAAGAGCATCTTGAAGACAGCAACGAAGGCGCATATTGCAGGTTGTCTCAAGTTGAAGAAGGAGAAGGCGCAACGCAAGAAGGAGGCGAGGGAAGCCCGCGAACGAGCCAAGGAGGCTGCGCGCGAGGAAGAGGCGCGCAAGGCCGAAGACAAAGACGACGATGATAGCGATGATGATGATGATAAGAAAGGTGGCAAGCGTGCCGGCAAGAAACCCGAGGATGGCAAGGGCAAGAAGCGCAAGGCTGATGGCGAGCCCGATAAGGCGCCTAAGGCCAAGAAGAAGAAGGATGAGCCCAAGGCCAAAGTACCCAAGCCCAAAGGTACGTCACCCGCGGTGTTGGCTACACCATGCATTCCTAACATTCACAGGGCCTGTCGATGTCGAACGACAATGCGGTGTCATTCTGCCGAACGGACAGCCGTGTGCACGTTCGCTTACGTGCAAGAGTCACTCCATGGGAGCCAAGCGAGCTGTTGCCGGTCGGTCGCTACCGTACGACATGCTCCTCGCGGCATACCAGAAGAAGAATCAAGCCAAGCAGCAGAGTATGTGTCACTCAAAGACCACTCCCACGATGCTCTCTCTAACCCACTGCAGAGGCTGCTTTAGACGCCAACGCCCCTGTCCCGGACGAAGACGAAGAGAACCAAGGCCCTGTCGACTCGGACGAGGAGACTGGTGCCGTCATGGCCGCCCTCAGCAACTGGAAGCCCAAGCCCCTCGTGCCGCAGCCTGTCTTCACCCCTATCAAGCGCCAGTACCAGCTTGCGCGTCTGCACGAGCAGCTTCAGATGGCTACTAACGGCGGCCGCACCAACATCTTCCAAGTCATCGGCTACGGCGCGCAGAAACTGCCAGAGGGTCATCCGGGACTGGAAGACGGCGACGCGGAGGGGGAGGACGTGGGCGCGATGAGCTTCCCAACGTCGGCAAGATCAGGGTCGTTTGCGATTCCGCCGACGCCTACGAGGGTAGCCACCGCAGTGGCTAGGGGCTAGGCGAGGACCTGCTGGCTTATTGAGAGCATGGATGGCGTTTTTTTTAATGGGTTATGGTAGCGTTGTGCAAAGATTGCCAGGATTTTCTTGGCTTTTATACCCGGTGGTTTCTTTCAATGTTTCTGGTAGAGTTGTGGACAGCATCATTTTAGAGTATTGGATACAGACAGCATATACGGCTCCGTCATTCCGGCGCCACTAATTGAATATTACATGGAAAAGAATTTCATAATGAGGATAAACTAGCGTGTGCTGCCTCAAGGAAGTTTTCCTTCATTGCATTGCGGTTGAGTTAATCCTGGGCTGCAATCAAGGAACCACATGGGATTGCGGAGCTGTGCTGGGTATCCCACCAGATCGGCGATGACGTCGTTGAGTGCTACATACATAGTTAACTCTCGGCAATGGCATATGCTAATGCCGCGGTGCCAAAACGGCGCGAACGGTCGGGGTTTATAATTTAGTTGTCTTACTTGAATTTGCATTGAATTGGAGCCTCGATTTCGTGTAGTATTATTTATTCAACTTACTACCACATTACCACTTAAACTGACCAGAGCATCCAGCCGTGTTCAATCGCACGGTCAAGCCAGCTCAAGAACCCTACCTTCTTCCCCTTTGCACGAAGAGCGTCATGGCCTCCTCTCAAGCCCTCGAGGCCCTCGGCCACGCCATCTCCGGCTCCTTTGGCACCGCCACGTCCACCGCCGCCCTTGCGCCGCTCGACCTCGTTACGACGCGCCTCAAGGTCCAGCGGCAGCTCGACGACCATACGCAGTACGCCGGGGTGCTCGACGCCTTCCGCAGCATCCTGCGCGAAGAGGGTGTTGCGGCATTCTATAGTGGCTTGGGAACAGACGTTGCTAAGTCCATCATCGATTCATTTCTTTTCTTCGGGTTCTACAACCTCCTGCGGCAGCGCAGTGGCCGGGCACCGGGCGTACTGCGGGAGGTAGCGCTCGGCATGCTCGCTGGCGCCGCGTCCAAGGCGTGCACGGCGCCACTTTCCAACGTCGTAGCGAGACGCCAGATGACGCCGCCCGGCGACGAAGAGGCGACGCGGTCGGTCGCGCAGACGCTCCGGGACATGCGCAGGGAGGGCGGCGTGGGGGCGCTCTGGGCGGGTTACTCGGCGACGCTGGTGCTGACGCTGAACCCGAGCGTCACAATGCTGCTGAATAGGAGGCTCGCGGAGCGGGTGATACCCATGCTGGAGGAGGAGATGGACGTGCCGGTGGCGTGGGCCGCGTTTCTGCTAGCCGCACTGAGCAAGTCAGCAGCCACGGCGTTGACGTACCCTTTCCAGACAGCTAAGACGATGCTGCAGATGCCGAACGCGGGGTCGGACGAGGACGAGGGCCTGGAGAATAAGGAAAGGGAGAGGAGGCGGAGGAGGCGGAGAACACTATGGGCCAACATTATGGCGGCATTCGATAGGACCATCTTTGGCATGATTCTGCGGCTGATAAGGACGGAAGGGATAAGGGCACTGTATGATGGCATGGAGGGCGAGCTGCTCAAGGGCTTCTTTAGCCATGGACTCACGATGCTAGCCAAGGGCTTCTTCCACCGGTTGGTCATTCGCGTCTGGATCATGTCCCATGCTCGACGTCCACTCAAGGCCTCAGTTTGAGCCGTTGCCACGGCATGACATTTACGTCTATGCATTACGTATTATGTATGTTCTATATGCGTGTAAGAGAGTTCTTTTCGGGCTAGCATTGGAAAGCTACGTTTGTTCGTTCCACAGTATTGCCGCCCCGCGCCGAGAAGCCCGTGCCTTCGGATTTCAACGCAATCATACCGCTTGGCAGCGTCGACCCGGACGCCGGCCCGTCAGCCAACCACGCCAACGGCGTATCGCAGACAAAGCACGCCGCGGGCACGTCGGTTGTTGCTCCCTTTGCGGGCTGCTTCGACGGCGGCTTCACGAACTGCTTCACGCAGTTCAGACACAGCACGTGCCCGCACTTGACGGCCATGGCCGGGCTGGAGGCGTTGGTCAGCGCCTTGCGGCACGACGGGCAGACGCGCGTGGTGGTTTCAGGCCTGGATGGGTCGGGTTGCACGTCAAAGTGAATGGTTATGAGGCTCTGCATGGTGAGCGCGTGAGGGCTGTCACTGGGAGACGCGGGGCACACGGCGACGGGCTTGGTCTTTTTTGAGGCTTCGAGCAGTCTGGCGTCTTTAGTAGCGTCGGGCGTGAGCGACGGTGTCCAGAACGATGGCAATGATAACTTTGCGGCCTGTTATTGTGTGTTAGTGTGGAATACGGGTTACTTGAATAGTTTTGGGTGAACCTTTTCGTCTTCAATAGCCTTCCGAGCTTTTGTACGGTCTTCTTTGGCTATTCTTTCTAGCTCATCCGCATCTAGCTCGAATTTTCGCTTTCCGTTCGTGATTCTTAGTGTATCTTCGCGATTTGTCTCGTGCTTTTCGTCTAGTTTCGCGACAGGTCGGGCGGCGGCGCCAAGAAGTCCGGCCTGGGTGAGCTCAAAGTCGCGTATTGCCCTGCGCTGGTCCTCATCATCGTGGGCGGCCTGCGCCTGCGCATTGTCGCGTTCCGCCTGCCTCCGCGCCTTGTCGGCGCGCTTCATGTCCTTCTTCTGGGCGAGCATGTTGGCGAGCGCGCACTCCCGGCAAAAGATGTCGCCCCGCGGGCACGACACCGGGTCCCGTGCCGGTTCCAGGCACAGGCTGCATGAACCGAATGACAGAAACGAGTCGCGGTGCAGCCGCGCCGAGTTGGACGCCCAGTTAGCCTTGGCGAGACTGCGCTCGTATGAGGTGAAGACGGCTCTCGTCGTGTTTCGTTTGCCTGGTCAAAAGGTTAGCAGGTTTCCCTCGGATGTCGGTTTGAAAGAGAAAGCGCATACTGTGCGACATGATTTTTGAGGCCCACGAATTGTCAATTTCTGGGCCGTTTCCGTGATACGCTCTGTGCAATATTTCCTGGCTTTTTTTTTTAGAAGGATATTTCAGCAAGCTGGTTGACTGGGGGAAAAAAGAATCACCCCAGCTTGTGGCTGTCACCGTGGGGTCAAGCTTGCTTATATTAGCCTAGTTAACCTCGATCACCCGCCCATCTCGAAATTCTACCACTTTTCTTGACAGCTTGTTCCAGGTGCAATCACACGCCAACCAAGGACCAAGCCATTGGCTGCGTCTGAGGAAGAACCCAGCATCCCTCTCATAATGTCTACCTCATCATCACCTTCACAAGCGCCGCTGCGCCGTGGCCTGGGCTGGCGCTTCGGCTCGACAGCCGTCATGGCTACCATCGGCGCCGCATGCAGGGGTTTCCTCTACGCCTTCAACATCGTCGAGGTGACGGGCCTGCAAAATCTTCTAGGGGTATTGGACAGGCGGAAGCTGCAGGGAAAGGATCGAGGCTTGATTACCGTCTGCAACCATCTTGCAGTGTGCGTTGCTCACAGCCAGAGGCGTCATAATGTAGCTAACCAGGTCACAGACTCGACGATCCTTTGATTTGGGGTATCCTTCCTATGCGCTATGCATTTGATGTTGAAAACCTTCGATGGAGTCTTGCAGCGCACGATATCTGCTTCAAGAATGGGTAATGGACATGCGCCCAACTATTAAAGACAACAGCTGACAGGACAGTCTGACATCGGCCTTCTTCAACCTCGGCCAGACACTCCCCACGCATCGATTATGGCATTCCGAACTCGGTGGCCTCTACCAACCGACCATGACGCAGGCGCTCGGTCTGCTTTCCGGTCCTTCGTCGATCCCGAAAATCACAAACCCGACCTATTCCACAAACGGCAAAGATGCCGTACCCGCGCCGGGCTTTTACACGGCGAACCGCAACGCCTGGGTGCATGTTTTCCCCGAGGCGTGTTGTCACCAGAGTGCTGACAGTAGTCTGCGCTACTTCAAATGGGGCGTGTCGCGCCTCATTCTCGAGAGTGACCCGGCGCCCGAGTTCGTGCCCATGTTTGTCGACGGCACCCAGCGCATCATGCCCGAGGACCGTGGGTTCCCGCGCTTTCTCCCCCGCGTGGGTAACCGCATCCGCATCGCCATCGGCGCGCCCGCCGACACGGACGTGCTCTTTGGAGCGTACCGCCAGCGTTGGCGCCGGCTGCGGGAGAACAAGACGGAGGAGGAGCTTAGGCACGGCCCGGAGGCGGTACAGCTCCGGACAGAGCTTGCCAAGGCAGTGCGAGACGAAATTCTCAAGATGCGCGCGACGCTTGGTCTACCACATGAGGAGGATGAGACAGCGGCGCTGGCAGAGACGTGGGATAAGGAGCCGAACAAGCGCAGGTTTAGAAGTCCGGTGGATGGAAGTCTTGTAAATAGACATTAAGCAACTGTGCTTGTGTAGTTCTTTGCTGTACATTAAATTAGATATTTGCATAGACTGTATGCATAAAATGCATGCATAGATGGGTGGGCAATTGGCAGTCACGTCAATTGATCCGCAGAATAAAACAATTCATTATGTATTCCTGTTTTCCTGTCTTTAGTAATGTCACCGGAACTCCGTTCCGCCCAAAGCCTCGCAAACCGCATGCCGCTGTGACAGGAGCGGTTTGGCCGAGGTTCTCATAAACATGCTTGTAATCAATGCAACATCTACATCAGTGGCTCGCACTGTGCCTTTCTCGAAATCTATCTCTAATAGCCTTCGTAGCCTGGCACCGGAACTTGCTGGTAGCCCCTAACTCCTGCCTGCGCTGCCGCCTGTGCTGCCTGCTGTTGCTGGTGCATGACCAGGTCGTTGAACCAGGGGTGCTGCAGCGCGTCATGGGCGCTGATGCGCAGCTCGGGTCGCAGTTGCAGCATTCTCTGGAGCAGGTCGATACCAGTAGGATCGATGGCGGGCAGAAGATTGCGCAGGTCTTGCGTCGCGTACATCTGGAATTTGTCGAATTTGTCACCGTACTCTGGCAGTTGCATGATGCCGGGCCAGGTTCGCTCTGTCGGGGTGCCCATGATGCGGAAGATGCGAATAATTTGATCTTCGTTTGTCGTGCCCGGAAACAGCGGGCGGCCAGTGTACATTTCGGCCATGATGCATCCAGCAGACCAAATATCGATGCTCGTGTTGTAGGTGCGGCTGCCGAGAAGCACGTCAGGCGCACGATACCAAAGGGTGACGACTTCGTTTGAAAAGGTATTGACGGGGATGCCAAAGGCACGGGCCAGGCCAAAGTCGCCCAACTTCAGCAACCCCTTACTGTTGTAGAGGAGATTCTGCGGCTTCAAGTCTCGGTGAAGTACCCTATTCTGGTGGCAGAAGTCGATACCCTTGAGGAGCTGATACATAAAAGACTTGATGGTGGCGGGCTTGAGGGCGCCGCGTTCGCCATGGGTATCCATGTAGCGCTTCAGATCACCATCCATATGCTCGAACACCAGCATAAGTTTGTTCTCGGTATGGATAACATCGTGAAGGGCGACTATATTCTCGTGCTTGAGTTCTTTCATAAGAGAAATTTCGCGGATCGCCGTGGACGGTGTGCCTTCTTCGGAATCGAGGTGGATTTCTTTGAGCGCAACGAGCTCACCCGTCTGGCGGTTCCTCCCCTTGAAGACCTGCAGAACGGTTGTCGGTGATGAGCAAGGGAGCTTTCGGGAATAGATCCGAACATACGTACCGTCGCATAAGTTCCCTCGCCCAGTTTTTCCAACTGCTGGAACGAGCTGGGGTGACGCTTGCCGTCCATGGTTATCAGATGCCGTGATGTATGTATACCGGGACGGCTCTGAAGTTGTGAGGTGAGAGTATTGTTTACTCTAGCAGTAACAAGGTAAATCGGGCTCCCTGCACTCGGCGCATATCATCCCGCCACCAACTTGCTCGTCGCTCCTGGTGTTGCCCATAAGTGAGTCAGGGAGGGGCACACATGCGCTAGACGGTGATATCACAGTAACCGAGCACGTTTCCAGTACCTTGCCCCAGACAGAGTGCTGGTCTTCGGTACCTCCAAATGCTACGCTGTGCCAGTAAAATTCAAGTACTCCATACCTCCTCCTCAATCAATCCCCCAGCACCACACCAGCTGGCGCCACAACACTCCGCATCTCGCGACTTATTAGGTATGGCGGGGTCACGTTGCCAGTCCATGTGGTCGCGTTATCGTGCTGTTCATATGCGATCCGTCGACTCTATCTAGCATGATTCCTCGTCCCTTGTGAATCTTCCATCGCCCTTTACGTTCCAATACCGATGTATCTGGGCCTCTGCCTTTGACAATCCAAAATGCGGCCCGTCCCCAACTCGCGAGGGTCTCCCGGAGCACGCGGCGATTACACAGACTCCGCAGCTAGCCAATCCCTCGAGACCAGCAGCTGCTTCTTGGTCAATGAGGTCGAAATGGATCTCGAATTGGGCCCTGCCAGCACAGTGCCCCGTGGACGCTCTATTTTGAAATGTCAACCCGCCGTCCAAAGAATTACCTCGCCGTCGCCAGTGCCACTATCACCGGTCGTTAGCTCGACAAAGGATGCGGCAGCCGAGAGTTCAGCTCCCAATACACCTCCCATGTATGGACTATCACGACCCGAATCATCTTTATCCTTTTTATCATCGCCACGAAATTTCTCCAGCTCCTCGTCTGCCATCGACCGTGACGGCTCCATCGAGAATGCTATAATTACGCCGCAACACATAGAAGCATACCGGGGCCTACCGCCCAGCAGTGCAGGGAGCCCTGTACCACAATTTATAATGCCGAATCTTCTCATTCCTCGCCGTCGGCCTTTCACAGCTGTTGGACGGTCACTGGGAAAGTTGCGACTCCTTGTCTTGGGGTCTCCAGGTTGGTATGCCTTGCAGCTCGTCAGCCAGCCAACTAACATATCCAGGCACTGGCAAAACATCCATAATTCGCTCAATATCACAATGCTGTGAACATATCGTGCACATTGACGCCGTGAATACGCACTTCAACGGTCCAGTGTTAGAAATCCATGCCAGCACACGTCCCTACGAATGGTGGCGAACAGAAAACCCATCTGAGACGCTCAGGCGGCGGAGATCATCCACCTCTGTTGAGAGCATCTTAGACCGAAATCTTTGCTTTCTGGATTTCACGCCACAAGGTTCTGCGAGTACGCATCATGCTGTGGATTTTCTCGAGTCGACTTTGACTCCGCTCTTGGAAAAGCAAATGGGCGATGCCGACCTAATTTCTCTTCTAAGCAACGGCAATGAGCCAATCGTGCATGCAGTTTTATACATGCTGCCCTCGACTGGTAAATCCTCCAGTAACACGTTTCATGGATCCTACTAACTCAATTCAGGTTTAACGAGGGAAGATGCGGACGCATTAGCACGCCTCCAGAGCGTTACAAACCTCATCCCCCTACTTGCACGTTCCGACGAGCTTGACGAACCAGCCATCGAGGACAGCAAGAAGAGCCTCCGAAATGAAATAGAAAGCAGGGGCATTGACGTTTTCTCATTTGCCCCCATGGGTGGATATGACGGACACGCCGGCATTTTCGCCGTTTCAAACGCCACCCAAGCAGAGAACGATGTGATGGATGCAAGCATCCTCATGGACTCTGCTTACATTGAACCCCTACGGCAAACAGATCTTAGAGTCCTTGTTGAAAATATATTCTCGCTGGAGGGCGCATCACGCCTGAGACACTCGGCAGCTGTCAAGGCTGTCAAGTGGGCACATGAACAGCATCGATACCATCCGTCCGACTCGGCCCTAACTCGGCGCACTTTTACTTCAGGCTCAACTATCACAATTGACCCCTTCTTCCAAATGAAAGACTGGTGCCGGATAGAGGCGTCTAGCTGGGCCCAAAGCTTACGGCACAGCTTAGACTCTGAGCGCATTAGGCATTCAACCACGTCCAACCAGCTCATCGCGCGTGCCTCCGGTACAGTGGCACGACGCGGCCAACATGGGAGCGGTCGCAAAAGACGGCATACACACCACACTTGTGATCAAGACCCCCTTGGTCTGGTGCGATTGGCAGCGCAGGTCAGGACAACCGGCGCGTATGCCGTTGAACTTATCGGTGGGATTGGGGTTGTCGGATATCTTGCACTCTGCCTGATGAAGCCTGATCTTGCAGATCGGAATATTCGACTGTTTTCGCCATCTTTCTTCGCCGTTTAGACTCTGACTACAGTTGTCATTTTGCACATTTTATTGGCTACAACGGCTTTCTGTTAAGATACCCTTCACCATCTACTGTTTTATCATCATATACACTATGAAACATATCCCAGTTTTCTCCTAAGCTCCCACCAGCCCCACGTATGTGTCAAGTAAATGGATATTAGGCCGCCTTCATAGAAGCATATCGACACCAGAGTAATGCCCGCTCGGATCATTCGGCAACGTATGAGTTCGTTATTTCAAGTCTTCTTCCTGACTCACAATTCCAACAGCCTGGGCGGCTGCCTGAAGGTCGGGTAGGTCATTTGCTGCCTGAGCCATGTGGACGTAGCGCACCACGCCGCTTCCGTCGACAGCAAAGGCGCCGCCAATCTGCCAGCGGGTGCCGCTCTCCGTAGGGCGGTTCCAGACGCCTTCGTCGGTGCCCAGGCGGTATACAGCGTAGAGCACCGAGGGGCCAGACATGTGCCACACGCTGCTCAACCCGAGGCCCCATTGCGCGTACAGATCCCGCGCTTCGTCGATTACCACATCGGTCGACCAGGCGCCACCGACTTCGGGGATCCATTTTTCAGTAGTTTCGGTGGATGAGTGCGACACGGCGATACAGTGAAGGCCAGGCTGCTCGTGGGAGAGCTTAGAGAGGTTCTTGAAGACCTTTTCGGCGACTGTAGTGGGGAGGTAAGGTTACCACTTCGAATGTCCAATGTTGTGCTGTGGGAATCTGTAGGGTGGCTTACAAGGACAACCGCAGTGGCGAAGGAAGACAATGACGGTTGGCTTGCCGTCAGGCAAGGGAATCCTATTGGAGCTCGGGGCAGCGGCGCCAACCTTGGGCACCTCTGCAATCTCCTTCTTCTCCGGAGTCTTGAGGGACTCGATTTCGGCCCAGAAGCCGCTCTGACGTTGTGGGGTGTCGGCGTGGGCGCCAGAATTTTCGGTAGAATCAGCCATCTTTCGATCCATCAAGAAATGAGACGTGTGGTTGGAAAATGAGGCAAAGCATTGTCTCCTCGTTTGCCACAGCTTGTGCTGATAGCTATATAGCTAGCTTCCCCGTGATGTTGTCGATTACATCGACTAATGCAAGTTCGGGTATGACGCCAAACTTAGTCAGCCAACCAGAGCTCAAAGTTTTCTCGATCGATCGTCAGCTACCCTACAGCTGTTCACTTATTGCACAATTACCTACTAGAGCAGCTGCCAACAACGGGCTGCGCGGGTCGGTACTAATTTTGCTTGTTTGGGTTTTATTGGGTTCCCTTGGGCATGAACCTTCAGGCCTCCAGACACCGACAGACATTGAAGTAAATTTCTCTCTCAGTACTGCCAACATCCCCGTTTTGAACACGAGCACTGCCCCGCCATCATGAGAGAAATCGTCACACTGCAGCTCGGCCACCTGAGCAACTACGTGGCCACTCATTTTTGGAATACACAAGAATCATACTTTACATATTCAGACACAGAAGAGCCGCTTGTCGATCATAATATTCACTGGCGCGCTGGCGTAGGCGCGGATGGATCGGATACCTTCCTCCCACGAACTGTGGTGTATGACCTAAAAGGTGGATTCGGCTCGCTGAAAAAAATCAACGCGTTGTATGATGTTGACCCTGACGCGGATGTAATGACGAGTGCCCTGTGGTAAGTTGATATTGCTTGCTATCTCAGCCTTCCTAGAGCTATGTCCCGGTAAATTCTCAACTAACATGACCAGGGCTGGCAAATCAACCGTACACAAACAAGAACCCCTCCAACAGAGTGCTTACATACAGAGTCTCGATGCGGGGAGCACACCAGATAAACCAACTAAATCCCATGTTCGGTACTGGTCAGACTTTTCTCGGACGTATTATCACCCCAAATCGCTCAATCAACTCTACGACTATGAGCTTCACTCGTCCATCCAGCCGTTTGAGCGATTCAGCATGGGTCAGGAGCTGTTTCATGCCCTAGACAAAGAGCAAGATATAGTAGATCGGGACTGGCGTCCATTTGTGGAGGAATGCGATCAAATGCAAGGTATCCAGGTTATTTCTACCATTGACGACGCCTGGGGCGGGTTCGCATCGTCCTACCTCGAGACGCTACGAGACGAGTACCCGAAACAGTGCATTTGGGTCTGGGGCATACAAAATCCCCTGCTTGACAGCGCTCGCGAGAAGCGTCGGCTGCGACTTACCAATGCAGCCTTCAGTATAAGTGAGATTGCCCAGCAAGCCACGACGCTTGTTCCTCTGTCACTCCCCGAGCACCGCTTCCCGCGCTCGGTCAAGCTCGACTGCGGCTCACCGTGGCATACGTCAGCGCTGCTTTCCGCAGCCATGGAAAGCGCAACGCTGCCGTCTAGGCTCCTACCCCGCGGCGGTGTGCAGCGGGTGTCTCTGGATGATATTTCACAAATCGTCAACACGACCGGCACGCGGACTCTAGCTGGACAGCGGATGGGGCTGGGACCTAACGACGCTGAATTGGAGGGGGTTGATGGCTTTGACATTGATCTGCTCGGCATTAGTCGTGTGGAAAAAGACGACCTGGACGGTATGAAACGAACCTTTGGCAAGTTCATATTGTCGCGTGGTGAAGGCGAAGATCTCGGCGTGAAGGATGACGACGAAAAGGAAGCCAGGCCTCGCATCGGTGACCCTGTGCTGAAGAGGTAATTAAATACTGCCAACGGAAACAGGAGAAAGACAAAGGCTAATATGAGAGAAGTAGATTCACTACATCTCTTAGATTTCCGATGCTGGACAGCTACCCCGATATCTTCCCGAACGAGACGGGCCAAGAGAGCATCTGCCTGCAAACGGCGATCTTCACGGACCAGAGCATCTCGACGCGCATGAAGACGCTTAAGAATCAAGTAACATGGGCCGTCGGAGTTGACGAAAGAGAGCAGCTGGCTAACTCACTGGCCGAAATCGGCGATGCGTATCATGATGACTGGTCAAGCGGAAGTGACAGCGGGGAGGATGACTAGAGACGATTTGCCTGGAAGCAAGTCCAATTTACTTCGATGCATGCTGGGGGCAAAGCACAGATAAAAAAATCAAATACGCTGCATTTCTGTTTGTGTGCCTGATGACGACTATCTATCTAGTGACAACTTCAACGTGGGTAGTGGTAGGAACCCAGCGGAAAAAAACACTGACGCCTGTTGTCTCGCCAAAAGACCAACGGGTTAGCCCCGAATACGACCGGGTGTGATCTTAATACATGTTTTTGTTCCATCATTGTGATGGTGATTTTTGTTTGCGCCCCGCCCGGTTGATGCTGATTTTCGGTATGCTGTCCAAACTTTCTGAGTAGCCAGGAAAATTCTCAGGCAGGTGGAATATAATGGGGAGGTTGCCAAATATTTGAGGCTGTAAATTTCTTCGCCATCATGCCCTCGTCATCCCATGTGTTTTTCTTGTCGCTTTGTGCCGCTCGCTACGGCTGTGTACAAGCACTTCTCATAAAAGTCAGCCAGAAATGAAATTGAATGAGGGGTTCCCCACGGGTCAATGTTTGCACAAGATGCCCTCAGCAGGGCACGAAAGCTGGTATCTGCTTTTCAGCAGCAGTGTGAAGTCGCAGTTCGCGACATCTCATGCTACTAGCCGGCGGCGGCAACAGAGGCCTGCTGTCGCTTTGCGGGAGGTTGGTTTTCCTGTGATTATATTAGTGCTCTGTTCACGAGGGAGGAGCATACTTTGATCGCTTGGTTCATCGCATAGAAGATTGCGAGTAGCGGCGTTACCTCGGCGGCACTACGCTTCTTCCCGTTGGCGCCCTTGGAGGACTTCTTCTGAGGCTTCTTTTCATCTGCATCAAAAACATCGTCCGGAAGGTTGAAGCTTCGCTAGTGAGTAGATGACCAAAGTGAACAATTGTGGCAGAACTTACTTGCGCACGTGCTGAACCCCAATTGACACCAGCGGTTTCAGTTCATCCTGATACTTCTGCCATGCAGTGCATAATACTTTAAATTCGTCGACTTGGTATGACAGATCAAGAGACTTGGCGCCTAGATTGCATCGTTAGAGATGGTCTTCCAAAACCGAGACGTAGCGCACCTTCTTCTAGCTCGAGACCAATGTAATGGGTTGTGGTAAAGACTTCGGACGGTTTTTGCTTCTCTGCTTCGCCCTCTGGTGCCTGATCAGGCTCGCCGTCCTTCTCGCTGCTCCCAGTATCCAGCGTAACGTCATCGGAAACCACAAAGTCGAGGCTGCCCTCTTGCACTTGATCGATTTGCTTCTCGTTATTGCAAATATGCCTTCTTGAGTAGCCTTTGACAAATGGATGCGCAAGAGCAATGTGCGGATGCTGCTCTAGTTTTTGCACAAGCATCCGGACCTTGGACTCGATGTATCCTGACCATACCTTGTGCGCCTCCTTTGCCTTACTTGCGGAGACCACTGAGATATAGTATTTATATCCCGTTGTGAAAAAAGTGTGCTTGACGAATAAGTCACTCCAGGACTGCTTTCCTACCATCACCTGCTCTGTAATCTCCAGTCCGCGTTGCAGCTCCCGTTTGATTATGGCCATTGAAGAGCGAGTAATGTTGAAGGTGGCGCACATGGAAGGGTACGCTGGGGTAATGATGGGCATCAAGTGGAAGGAATCACCCTTGTACACCTTGGGGTTCCAGACTCGGACCGGGAGAGGACCATTCTCAATGGGCTTGAGCAAGACCGGCTGCGGCCATCGCCACTGGCTCATGACAAGAAAGAACTTGTTAACAATGACGGAGGTGGCCGCCTTGGGGTACAGCTGACAGACCCTGGCAACGAGCATAGCCCAGGCGACACCACCTGGAAACCCCATGATGTTTCCGTATACTGCTCGGCGCTGCGCCCAAAGCTTTATAGCCCTAAGGGCCAGCCTGAATGTACTTTGTTCTGGAACCAGTGATAGAATCTCATCCGTAACTCGGGTGCCGTTGAGAGAGCGGAGCTCAGCTTCATCAAGACCGCGCAAGAAACCAGAGTCCTTCAGGTCCTGGAAATCGGGAGCAAGTTGCTTCTGAATGATACGAGAAAAAATCAAATCGATGCTGATGCCCGAGTACTCGAACTTGATGATGGGTACGAATGCATCCGTGACGGCCGCAAGATCGGTAATCGAGTCTTTCGGTGCCATCTCCACGAGGAGATCCGGAAAGTATTTGAAATAATCTTCGCGCGTGACGTATTTCGGTGCGACAATCAAGGTATCGATATCGGAGCCAGGACCAAAGACTCCCAGGCGAAAGCTGCCGTAGGTAAAAACCTTGCCCCGTGCATTCTTTATGAGAATGTCGTTCTTCGGTTCCTTTTCGCGGGCAACTTTCTTGACAAATTCATCCGTAATCTTTTGAAGCGACTCAAGAACGGTATATCTGTTGAAGTAAAAGTGGTTAGCGTACAAGCCGAATCAAACCCGCTGACGCGAAAGTTGGGTTCGCACCTCTTTTGCGTATCGGAGGGGCTCTCGAAAGTCTTTTGACGGCGAAGCTCTTCTATCAAAGATTCGCTAACCCGCTTCTCATTCTCAGTGGGAAGCGACACCGAAATGGGCGGGGTGACGCCGTAGACCTGCTCGCCGCTCATGGTTGCCTAAGCCAGCGTTTGGCGACAGACCCAGCGGTTTCACGGCAGACTACACGGTGGTGATAGATGGAAGTTGTCCTGCCAATGGCAGGCTCCCCTTTACTGCCCAAAGAGACAGATTGCGGGCCTGCTGGATTTGCTGAGCTGGCTCTGAGGGTGGCGAGATAACGGTGTGATAGAAGTTGTGGTTGTCAGAGAACAATAATTGGCAGTGGCTGCGCGACGCCTGTCTCGCGATCTGTTTGGAAACGGGAATAATACTTTTTCCGCTAGGCGGAGTGTCCATTAAAACAACGTCGGTACAAAGGGAGACAGGGTGAGATACACAAAGAGTGGAGGGAGGTACAAAGACGCCTGCAAAAACTCACTGGTAGCTGAGAGTCCTCATATACCACCTTGAAGTAGCTTTAGTGGGGCACTATTGTACTCATTCTCATTGTCATTTTCTTGCCCTGTACTCAAACGCGAACGCGGTGCCCTTGCAAAGGGATCTTTCAAACCCGAATTCTCGACTGCCACCTCTATCACTTCTACTAGCAATGCAAAGTCGCGCATGAGCTAAGTATTCTACATGGCGCGGAATATATATATATTTCTCTACCGAAAAAGTTGACTTTGTTCTTTCGCCTACGCCTACGCCTACGCTAGATAAGCGTCAAAGTTGCCGCATTTCCTCTACACCACCAACATCTTGCATCATGCCGGTATCCTCGAAAAGAGCTCAGCGCGGCCGTCGCGATCTGCGCCTTGGGAGAGATGCGAAAGCGATAAGCTCTACAGATGCAGAAATTGAGCCTTCATCATCACCAACCCGACCCGCCAAGCGTCGCAAGAAGGTCGTGTCGCCACAGCCTGACAGAACATCGTCCAACATCGACAACGATCCCGACCCGCCCACCGACTATGACCAAATTGTGTCCCAGGTCACGCAGCAGCTAAAGGCAGAAGCTGTGCAGGCGAGCAAAGATCACGCGAATGCCATCCACGTGGCCAACGGTGATGGTGTTAAGGCCTATGCAAAGGTTGCCGCCCAGGATTGGACATTCTACATTACCAAGCTAGCCGTCAATATTGGAAGAGCTCCTGAGGTCGCTCAAGCTGTGGAGGAAGATGACGAAAACCAAGACCACGTACACATTGACTTGGGCCCTAGCAAGATGGTCTCACGAGCCCATGCTGCCATTGTCTTCGACTCAAAGGATGAGAAATGGATGCTCCAGGTGAAAGGGCGAAACGGCGCCAAGGTCAACGGCCAACCTTTGAAGCCCCTCGTCAGTCACCCACTGACCAGCGGCGAGGTCATTGAGATTGGCAACGTCGAGATGATGTTTGTGCTACCGTCAGAGATTAGCCCGCTCCATGTTCATCCTGCATTCCTCCAAAGGTGCGGTTTGCCGCTCGAAACCACCGGCTCCGACCGCCAAGCAGCAATCGCACCGGCTCCGACAGACTACAAGCGACCAGGCACACCTCTATCGACGCGACGAAACGATCTTAAGTCGCCTGCAGTAAGCACTCCTGCTGTCATCATCGGTGCCAGCGGTGTCGATCTCAGCCTAGATGAAAACCAGCACATAAAGCCACAGTATAGCTATGCGCAAATGATCACTCAGGCGATTTTAAATGCGCAGGATGAAAAGCTCAACTTGAACGGAATATATACTTACATAATGGATACGTATTCTTACTATCGCAATCAGCAAGCAGCAGGCTGGCAGGTAAGAGTCACTCATGCCCCCAACTCCATCATACTAAATCATACTTTGACTAATTCTTGCCAGAACTCCATCAGACACAATCTATCGTTAAACAAGTCTTTTGACAAGGTCGCTAGATCCACGGATGAACCTGGCAAAGGCATGAAATGGCAGATTGTTCCCGAAGCCCGAGAAGAGATGGTCCGCAATGCGTACAAGGTTGGACGGGGTGGCCATCGTGGCTCCTCCGCGCCATCTTCACCCAACCAACTCAACTACATCACGCAAGGACCAAGGGATATGGCTGGAAGGGATACGCCGACTGGGAGGAAGCGTCGAGCCTCACCTCTTACCTCCCCAGTCCCGCGATCCTCTCTGCGCATGTCTCAGTCAACGCCGAACCGTGCCGATCGCCCAGGGCTGAACGCGACATTGACTGCGGATGGAAGCCCATTGCCAAGGCAGCGAAAGACGATGGATGCAGAGTCATCGTTCGCGGGTTATCAACCGCAATCACCGACTTTGACGTCATCGTATCAGGACGACAACTCGGCATTTGTTACACCTGCGCCGCCACGTATACACCCCAGGCTTGCACCTCCAAGCACCGCGCAACGACCAAGTCAGCACATGCCAACCAGCTCGCCAGCACCGTTCTGGAGGTATGCCGATATAGGGAGCACGCCGCTCAAGCCGATGGCCCCCTACGAGAGTCCTTCCAAGACAAGAGGGACTATGCCGCCTCAGAGCAGCAGTCCGCCTCCTATGGGCAAATCACCTCCCAGCAGCCCAACGCGGCCTCAACTGCCAGCACAACAGGTCGTGGAGGAGCCTAACACGGCGGAGGTAGAGGAAGAAGGGTTCGACTTAACAAAGTAAGTGAGCTGCAACAGTCACTCTATGAACGAGGGAGCTGACAATCTACACAGGGGCTTCCAAAGCATAAGTGCATATCATGCTCCGGTAGGGCGAGGGTTACCAGTACCGACAACACTGAAGGGAAAGACTTGATGGCGAGAATTCCAACAAGACAAACGTATATTTGATGATAAAAATGATAAGAAATGAAGAAAATGATCCCCACAGTATTTTGCATCGTTTTCATGTGAACAGTTCCATAACCATAGAATGTGCTGCTCGCTCGAGGTCACTATGGCGGCCTCTTGTCCTGCCGTCCATTGAGGCAAAACTGGATTACACATTTTACCGTAAAGGCGTAAAGGAGATTTGAGTTTGTGCAAATACGTCAGGCGTTGTCTTTCTTCTTAAAAATCACATTAGCCAGTTGATAAGCACTTTTGGTTCGGTCAAATTCACCGAGCCTTGTCGCGCTAAATTCCTCCGGCGTATTACAAATGTCAACAATTAGGGAATTTGCCGAAACGCGAAGGCGCGAATACACCGAGGATCAGGCTGTGCCAAAATCCCCGAACTGGTTCACCAAACCTCATCGTGTAAGTCGGGCTATATAATGAAGAAGGATTCAGGTCGTTCAATGATCTTGCCACTCATCCTTTCATAACTTATTCATTGCATTCATATTCCTACATCATCATCATTCTATTCTTTTACTCTGCTCCCACACTGATATCTTCTTATACTTTCAATATGTCGTCTAAACCTACTGTCGACAACGTCTCCATCATTGGAGCTGGCCTAGCGGGCCTTACGCTGGCCCTCGCCCTGCAGAAGCAATCCATCACCGTCACCGTCTATGAATCGCGCCCAGCGCCGCTTAACATCGGCGGTGCCGTAATGCTCTCGCCCAACGCGCTCAGGGTCCTGGATGCCCTGGGCCTCTACGACACTGTTCGGGCCAAGGGCTACAACTTTGACAGCCTCGAATACCGCGACCTTGACGGCCGCCTGACGGAGGTTCAAGAATTCGGCGGCCTGCACAAGTACGGCTACCACGGGCTGCGGATCTACCGCCATGTTCTTATCGACGAGCTAGTCGCGGCTCTGGTCAAGGCCGGCGTCACGGTGGAATATGGCGCCAAGTTTTCCCATGTGGAAAAGGATACGTCGGAAGGCGTGTCAATTGCGCTCATGGACGGGAGAATAAAAGAGACCTCGCTTCTTGTTGGGGCGGACGGCATCCATTCGACAGTTCGCAAACACCTCTATCCGGACCTCGAGACCACATTCATCGGCATGGCGGGCATCACCGCCGCCGTACCCACCGCGCAGCTCAGGCTCCCCGAAGGCTACCACATCCCAGTCACCATCGCCTCATCACAGGGTGCCTTCGTCATTGCTCCGCAGCAGGTAGACGGGTCCGAGGTGCTCATAGGCAAGCAGATGCGCCTCGCGCCCGCTGAGCGGCAGCTGGGCTGGGGCCGAGAGTTCGTCGCAGACAAGCAATCGGCGATTGCGTTCCTGCAGAGCGGCAACGAGCTGTTTCCTGAATTTGTGCGCAACGCCACGTCGCGCATCGACCCGGCCAAGGCCAACAAGTGGCCCTTCTTCGCGGTGCCGAAGCTTGACCGCTGGACGTCCGCGACGGGCAAGGTTCTCATTCTGGGCGACGCGGCGCACGCCATCCCCCCGTCCGCGGGACAGGGCATCAATCAGGCGTTCGAGGACGTGTACATACTGGCGCTAATACTGGGCCAAAAGGACCGGATTGAGGACGTTGCCGCGGCATTGCGCTTCTGGCAGACTTACCGCCAGGCTCGCGTCGACAAGGTACTGGAGCTGAACAAGCAAATTGACCAGCGAAGGATGCCTTCGACGGATCCTGTGGTGGGCGAGCAAAGTGGGCTCACTAAGCAGAGCTTTGAGCTGGAATGGCTCTATAACCCGGACTTTAAGAAGGATGTGATGGATTGGGTCGAATCTTCAAGCCAACCAGACAAGGTCTAAAGGAAAAGGGGGTTCTGGTAGCTCTATAATTTGATCTATGTACCGTGCTTGATCAATTTGGCCACACTGAGATGGGCTCTTGTTAGCGACAGGCTCCTGAGTGAAGATGGTTATTATTTTCGACTTTGCGCCAAGCCAGGCAAATAAATAGTTAAAAGTACATCGAAAGTGGTGTGTCAATAGCCGGCGAGACACAAGCCCGCCAGCTCATCATCATGGCCGTCCTCGTCCTTGCTCCATCAGTCAATATCCATGCGAACCTATATACCCATGAAGATCGCCCAAAAAATGTGCACCCATTTAACCTGTATACTTTACATTTTCCCAACCGTCTAACATGTCAACGCTATGCAACACTAGAATGGTACAAACGCCTACGCGGCCTAGCCTCGCCTCTTGGGGTTGCCTCGGCCGGTGCGCTTCTTGGACTTGCCGCCCTGATCGCCTTCGATAAATTTGATCAATTCATCGATGCTTCGAGAGTCCACCTGAGAGCCGCCACGATGCTGGGGCGTGGGAGCGATGGTCTGCGAGGGTGCGCGAATGCCGGACTTGATGCGGCGCTCTTGCACATCCTTCGCGTGCTTGGCAATCGACACCGCGTTTTGCGTGAGCTGCTCCAACCAACTTTCGGCCTCCTTGGTGTTCTTATCATCCGCACCGAGTTCGCTTAAGAATATGTTGTAAGATTCGCGCATGCGGTTCACAGCCCCCTTAGAATCATGATCAAGCGCCAGTGCCTGCGCCAGCTGGAAGAGCAAAGTTGCAGAGTTGACAGACTGCTTTCCGAAAACGGATTCGCACACTCGGAGAGACTCCTCGAACCAGAGTCGAGATTCGTGATATTCTTTCAGATACTGCAGCATCACTGCGGCGTTGTTGATGGTTGTAATGGAGTCGGGATGCCCAGGGCCATAGATGATCTTCCACAAGTCCAGAGCATGTTTGGAGAAAACAAGGGCGGATTTGCTATCCCCAGCTTGGTGAAGGAAGAGACTAAGATTCAGGTAGTTTAGAAGGGTCTCGGCAGAGTCCACGCCGACGGTGCGCTCAGACACGATGATGGCCTTGCGGGCGAGCTCCACGGCGGCCTCCTTGTCGTCAAGCTGGTAATACAACATAGAAAGGCTGTTGTAGACGCGGGCCACCTCAGGGTGCAAGATGCCATAGATTTGTTCATGAAGAGACAGCGATTCCAAAAGCAGTTCTTGACCAAGCTTCTTCTGGTTCTGAAGGATCGAAATTCTGCCAGCTTCTAGAGCCTCCTCAGCCAAAGCACTGCGTGGGCAAGAGTGCTTAACAATGGGAACAATGTCAACGATGTCATCTGGGCTGAAAGTGGAGACGGGAGGCTGCGAAGCAGCAGGGGAACCATCCCGGATGCCCTTCTTCTTCTTGCTCTTCTTGGAATCTCCTTGGGTCTGGCTGTTGACCTGAGCGGGTTCGTTGGTGCCATTGGTGGCACCGGAACTCAAGGTAGAGTCCTCAAAAACGTACTCTTTGGCCTCAATCTGCAGCCCCAGCTTCAGGGAAATTTCGCGCAGCAGCTGAATAGGGCGTAGAGTCTCAACCCACTGAGATTCCAATTCATATCTGTATCGCTTCATAATTTCCTGTTCCATATCACGGCGCAGGCTCTCAGGCGTGACATCTTCGAAAGAAAAGTCCGTATCCTTGTAAAGTGACCGAAGCTGGGCATCGACATCGCTGCGAGGCTTAGGGTTAACCTTGTGGCCCAGAAGGCAGTTGAACAGGTGAGCAATGCAAGCTGGGGTAAAGGCGAGAGGCAGTGCGCGGAGGTAGGTGGCCGAAACGTGCTTGAATGCACGAGCTACCATGTCCTGGATGCAAATTTCACGGAGACACTTCAGACGGCCATCAGTAGCAAGCGAAGCTACTTGACCAAGGTATCTGATGTTGATACCCCGCTTGTGCAGGAGCCGGCTAAGAGACTGTCCGTCCATGGGGAAGCTAACGTCGGAATCAGACAGCTCGCGAAGCAGGCCAGGAATGACCTGCTCCCGCAGGTACGAACAGGCAGCTCGCACCTCCTTCTCATCAGCCTCCAGCTCCGCTGTCTCCTCAGGAGTCTGCGGCACTTGTCCACTGAATACATCAGGGTTAAGGGAGAACTTGAACTTGGAGAGGTCAGGCTGCCAAGTGCCGTTCTCCTTGACATCCCCAGGCTCTCTCTTCTCACCATCTTCTCCCTGGGAGGGGTTCTCCTTGGCATGCTCTGCAACCTCCTTATCGATCCACTGCTTCATACGGAAGCGGCCAAAGGAATCTACCAACTCAGGACGCAGTACAGTCATGCGGTGGGGGTAGCTGCTGGCAGAGTCCTGCTGCTTTGCCTTCTCCTCCAACCAAGGGATGTCGAAGGGCGTGATTCGGTACAGGTCCAGAATATACTTGCGACCGTCGGTACCCATCAGACCCTTGGTCTCAACACTGGCCTCCAAGTCGAATTTCTTTCCGTCCTTGTCCCATACCGCATGAGGTTTCACCTTCAATGCCTTTGATAGCTTGCCAAATGGGCCAGCGAAGCGCTCATCAGCCGCGACGATCTCTTTACCGTCAACGGCGCCATAGTCGATCTGGTTCTCGCCGGGTTCGCGCTGCTTAAAAATTCCAGGCACAATACTTTGGCCGACAATGCGCTTGCCGAGATAGTCAACAACAACAGTAGCAGGAGTGAAGAGGCCATCGATATCAAGCTGGTTCACCAGCCGTACACCAGCAACATCCTTACCAGTGGCAACTCGGGCCGCCTCATCGCCTCCCTCAGATGTGAACGTCCCGACGCCATCAGCGCCAAAAGAGAAGAAGATATTGTTGTAGACGAAGATTTGAGCATCAGTACATTCTGTAGGGTTCAGCGGCGCGATTTCGCCGCGAGCAACCATTACGGCGCCCTTTGTAGCAGCATCATTGTAGTCTGCGAAGAGCTTCGAGACGAGCCGCTCTCGAAAGACTCTGTCCTGAACCGTCTCCTTGGGAAGTTCCTTGGCGGACTGGAATTCTTCGTTCCAGTCTCGAAGGGTATCAGTGTTATCAACGCCAGCCAAAAGGTAAGTCTCCTGGGGACGCGTAGCATCTGGCACATGGGCACAAAGCGTTGAGTTCGGCGACGGGACCGCCCAAGGAGCAGCGGGGATCGCATTGGTGATTTGGAAGGTAGAGAGGGGGTCCCTGGTGTTATTGTACTCCTGCAGCTGTTGGAATGTCTCGTTGAAGGATGGCGAGATGAGCCCAATAAGCTCCAAGAGAGAGTGGGCAGCTTGACCCTTGGGCGCCGGGCGCGGAAATGGGTCAAATTTCGCGTTGGAGGACTTGTTGACATAGAACCCAGACACATGTGCAGTAATCTGAAATTGTTCGCCTTCGTTCGTCGTTACGATGAGGTAAAGTAGGTGACCACGCTGTCGCAGGTGACAAGGAGGAGGGTTCCATGTCGACAGAGCAATAGTCTTGACAGTCTTTGGGGCAGTCGCTGTCTGCTCGGGGACAAGGCTGGCCAAAGGAGGGGTCCCCTGAAAGTCGTAAGCTTCTTTCTGGGACTCATCCTCCTTAGGCTGCTCCTTGGACTCCTCGCCAGGTTGCTGGGCACCGGCACTGGCAGACTCAAAAAGGGAGGTACCAGCTAGTACACCCTGGGTGGTATCGACTCTATCGCCAGCAGCACCAATGAGCTCACGAACTCGAACCAGGTGAATGCGTGCCTCCTTTTCGGTGTAAGGGTCTTCGACGAGGTGGAATTCTGGATCCGGTCCAATGCCGGGGATTTCAGCAATTGGGATAAAATCCTGGACCTTTTCACCCTGATATTCGAGGTGGAAGCACGTGTATCGGAATGCGGCGGGGAGGTCGATGATGGATTGGCGAACTTCGTGGACCTGTTCTTGGGATGATACCTATTGCGCTTGTTAGGCCTAAATACCATCAGATGCACTCCTGATAGACTAGATTTACCATTATTTGCATCTTCGAAGGTTCCGAGCCCGGGAGCATAATCGTGACATTAAGAAGGGCTATTTGCGTATAAGCAAGGCGAAAGACAGCAATGGCACGCGACAGGCTTACCGTCGGCTCCGGCACCGATATCGACATCATTTGGAGCTTCCAAGGCAGCATTAGCATTGGGAGCTGCATCAACTACACAATTTCAGCTCAAGTTAGGCATTCGCAAAGGTAAGGCAGCGTGACCAAAGTGTTCCTTACCGGGACTGTCTTGCGCCACTGGCGCCGCGTTCTCAGCTGCCATCTTTTCAATATGAGCAAGGAAAGAAGAGAAGAGAACCAATTAGCAAGTAGAATACAAGAGGATAAAAGGAGAAGGGATCAAGAAACAAGGGATCTGGCCGCGCTCGACCAGGAGGGTTGGGCAATTGAACTGCTAAAGAAAGGACAAGAGTGCGCGGTCGATCTGGGGGAAGGAGAAAAAATTGGGCGACAGACAATTTGCCGGTACACTGGAGGGTGCGGGTGGAGTACTTCTGAGCGGCCAGGAGACCCCGGCTTTTTGTACTGTCGTGTTTTGGCCAAGCGAATGGGATTTTTTGCCCACGTATTATCGAATTGACCAATTGCACTACTGCCTACTACGAATATTGAGCCCTTCTGTTTGGTTGTTGAGCCAGCCACTCTTATTGAGAAGGAAATCTACATCTGTATGGACGGAGCTCAGACCCGAAAACAGCCGCGATCCCAGCTGGAGCCCCGACGCTCGCCTCGACTTAGCCACTACGCAGGTATTTATCTAGGGGCAAACAGAAGAAAAAGCAGAATATTGAGGAAACGGGGTTAATGAGAAGGGTAAAAAGAAAGGGGACGGTAAGGCTAGATTCAGAATAGAGAGTTTCATAATTGCCCAAATATAACGGCAGAAAACGCAGCAAGTATTCTGCTTGGACGGCGACTCAGATGTCAAAATGGGGAGCATGCGGCTAATTAGTAGAACAGATGAATAAAGAGGCGGCATAGGTAATTCTAGGAAGGCTCTGGTTTTCTTGGTAGTAGTTATGGATAATGCAGGTATGCGTCAGCACCTTATCAATCTCTGTGACACACAGGAGAAGTTGGGCCGGCACGAAGCGGCTCGCACTGCCAGGGCCAGGGTTTCCTGGATCTCGCTAACTACCTACGTCGCTATGTTGCAAGTATTGGACAACAAAATAATAGAGATGCTCGATGTTTTTTGTCGAAGGGTGATCTGCAACCGATTCTGCTGACTACTAAGTTACTTGACCAATCTGAGCAGCCTTCTTGTTCAGCGTCAAGTCTCACTCTGGGGGTAGTTATCGTTAGGGAGGTCTGTGGCGGTCCCGTGCCTGTGGCTGCCCACTTTCAAGCCAGTCACAAGCCCCGGCCATACTGTCTCACAGCCAAAGACGTAATAATTAAGCTAACTCGGGTTACCCTGGCTTCGGGTTGGACAAACCTGCCTTTGTCCGCCCAACGATTCTGGCGTGCCTCTGCCTTCTTCCTCTCCAACAACCCCGTGGTTTCGTGAAGTAATTTGGTATATGCACATTTATTCTCTCCGCTATTGCTGATAGGAACCACCCAAGATGGCGTCACGCGCGGCTGTTCCGTTTCTGGTGGCTATGATGTTGCTGACTGGTGTCTGCAACACGCTGCTCACCAAGTACCAGGTAAATAGGCAAACCAGCCAACTTCTCCCAAGCCTTACGCGAGAGAGAAACAAGAGAGGTTGCGGGGGTTTTGTTACTGACGTGCGCACATCGCTTATAGGACATGCAATGCGTACGACACTGCGATGGAGACCCCAACAAGCGGAAGCTCTTTAATCAACCCGTACTGCAAACGGCCCAGATGTTCGTCGGCGAGATGGGCTGCTGGCTTGTCATTGGCCTCATGGCACTCTACAGTCGCTTCTTTGGAAATGCCGCCGCCGTGGCAGACACGGAGTATCAGGCCATCAACACTGACGAGGCCGCCGACATCGGCCCCGACGCTGATGCGGGCGCCGACGACGACGACCGCCGCAAGGGCAGTCTGCTCAAAGGATTCGGCATCGTTCTGCTCGCGCTACCAGCCGTCTGCGATATCTTGGGCACTACACTGATGAACGCTGGCCTGCTTCTCGTGGCCGCATCTATCTACCAGATGACTCGTGGTGCCTTGGTTCTTTTTGTCGGGCTCTTCTCGGTCATCTTCCTGCGCCGCCACCTCTTCCTCTTCCAATGGCTTGCGCTTGCCGGAGTTGTCACCGGTGTCGCCGTGGTCGGTCTCGCGGGTGCCATCTGGCCCGACGAGAAGGTGCGCAACACCGGCGAGGCTGTCACTGGTGACGACGCCGACGGTCTCTCTGACGCGGCCCGCGCTATTGTCGGCGTTCTCCTGATTGCCGGCGCGCAAGTCTTTACTGCCACGCAGTTTGTCCTGGAAGAGTGGATACTGGAAAACTCACCCATCGAACCTATCAGGGTCGTTGGCTGGGAGGGCATCTTCGGCTTCCTTGTGACAGTCGGTGGCATGGTGTTTATGCACTTGATTGTCGGCCGCACCGAGGCAGGCCGCTACGGCGCCTTTGACATGGTCGAGGGATGGCGCGAGATGACGCAGTACAAGCCGATCTGGCTCACTAGCCTGTTAATCATGATCAGTATTGGGTAAGTCCAGTATTAGGGCTACGTTAATGGGGCAAAAATTGGTTAACAAAGAAAATCATAGTGGCTTCAACTTCTTCGGTCTATCGGTAACCCGTTCAGTCAGTGCCACGTCTCGCTCTACTATTGATACCTGCAGAACCCTGTTCATTTGGGTTGTTTCGCTGGGCTTGGGCTGGGAGTCCTTCAAGTGGTTGCAAATTCTCGGTTTTGCCATCCTCGTCTATGCCACCTTTATCTTTAACGGTATCGTGAAGCCGCCGCTGAAGTCTCTTTGCCCTGACGATGAGGTTGAGCCCCTGCTAGCAGAAGATCCTATTGAGCATCTATAGATGACCAGTGTGAGACAATAAGAGGAATACGGGCGGGCGTTGGTATACTTTATTTGGTTTTGGAGCATCGTCAAGGCATATGGATCTGGCACCTGGAAAGCATTTGTAGCTATTAAGTGTGCATTTATAATTGACGCGGAGAATACGGTATAGCTGTTTGCAATTTGAAGAAGTACGCTCATTACCTATATAGAATGCCTATGATCTCTAACTAACCGAACGCCAAATAATCCAACGCTGAATTGGGGGCATAGAGACTTTTGAGAAGTATGTACTGCTCATTGCCACCCGTTTAGAGGAAGACCACAGCGAAGAGGCAGATTGACCAGACAACAAACAAACAACGAAGGATTAAAAAAACAAAATCACATCGAAATTCCGACCTATCCAGAGAGTAGGTAGGCTGCGCGACATCAAGCAACGTTGCATAGCAACTCGGCCTCGAGGATGAATTTGCCTTCCTTATACTTTTGAGAAGTTTCGTACGCTTTGTCATATTTCCAGCCAACTATGGCTTTGCATTGGCGGCAGGAAATGTCGCAGACAATATGCCGTCCGGTGGTCATGTTACGCTCGCTCGGGTCACCGGTTTCGATGTTGACAACACTGTGGAACAAGTATGCCTTGCCATGCTGGCCCCGAAAGTTCTATAAATGTGATTGTTAGCATGGCAGAAAACCAGCGGATTTTTCTTCATGGTTTCCTCTGCCGGCGCCGACAGAACAGCTTGGCCACGGACTGGCTCGGCCTCGCTGGCCAAGCCCCCTCTGCTGCCTTGCCGTGCCTTGTCGGGTGGCTCATCTGCGACGTACCCGACTGATGATGTCTTCGTGGTTGGCCAAGTGCGCTTTGCAAGTTTTGCAGCCATATATCTTAGCGCTGGTTAGATAGGTATTGTATGATAGACCCATGTTGGTTCGCGAGTGCGGCTGCTGGAACGGGCTGAGTCCAGAGTTGTTCGGACGGGCGTAGACGGTGACGTCGTGGCTGATTGAGCGGTTGCGTGTTGTATTTGTCGTTTCCTAGCTTCGCAGTCCGTTTCGAGAGACAGGATGGAAGAAACTCTAACTTGTCTTAGTCGGTAAGTAGAAGGAAAGGCGAGGGATAATGAAGGGAGGTTGCATCGGCAGAGTTCGACAGCGGGCAAAGTTAGCTGGATTATTTCAGATGCCAGTCACGGTCTAGCACACACATTCATGTGCACGAGACAGGCTTACGAGTGTTTGTCACTGTTGTGGGTCGGCCAGTACCACGTAGCGCCAGGCCGGCTTCCGCTTGCTGGTGGCCGAGTACGAATGACAAGTCCAACCAGTCAAAATCTATCTACCTTAGGCACAACTCACTTACAACATTCATAATGCCCTACAATCGTTCTAGTAGAAACTACCAGGTTTGAAACAAATATACACTCGCCAGTCAGGGCCAATGCCTGATGGCTTGCCCGTGAAGCTTCACTCCATGGTTAACTACCAGGTAGTCATCTGCCTCATTCAACTAAGGAACTACGCACCTGATTCGCCTTCCCTAGCAGTCGCCGCGCGTTGTCTACTGCCGCTTGCAAAACCAAGGGGTCATTATATATAAAAATCAATTTTCTCGCCCAAATTACGATTCCCTACTATGATTAGCTACATGCTCTTTTGACGTCTCCTTCTCACCGTGACCCTTCTTTATTTTCTTCTTCCTGTTCTTCTCTTCGTCCTTATCTCCCATGTTGTTGAAATGGTAGATGCCTCGTTCTCTATCCCTTGCAAGTAGCTCCATGTCGGCTTGGCTAACCGGCACACCCTCAACACCCTTGACAGCTTTGCCTTCGAAGAACATGACGAGCCCTGCAATGATGGCCACGATGCAACCGAGCGCAACGAAGAGGCCTGTCGACCAGCTGGGCCGATTGTATCGATTCATTCCCCACATGAACCCACAGAGAACACACTGAAGTAGCGTGTTGCCCACCATGAACCAGATGACGAAATCGAGCTTCCACGGCGCTGTAGCGCGGGCTCGTACACCCGTGAGAGGGGCATCTGGGATCTTGTCTTCGGGGTAAGGAATAGGGTCGGAGTCTGCCTTGCTGGGTCGGTTGGCGACGTTATCTGGGCCGAGGGACGGCTCCAAATCGGTGGACCTCTGCAGGCGGAACCATCCTCGATGAATACCTGCCAGCCGGCGAAGGCCGGCCTCTTGGCCGCCCAAGCGATATTTTAAAAGAAAGTACAGGTCCCGGAAACGCCACGGCGCCAGACCAAAACCCGTAACGCAGAAGAGGGCATTCAGAATCTGGGAGTCAATCTCGATCCAAATACGCCGAGCAGAGTTAATGTCATTGCAGTTCGGATGGCACATTGCCGGCGCTAATAAAACCGCGAAGTCAGTACACAGAGAACAAGTGTCATGGCAGAAAGTTGTTGCTGCTTACAGGCGTTGCAGAGGAGCAGAAACAGCATGCCACCCCATGCCACAACGTTGAGCCCATATACCGTAACAAGGAATCCAACGGGGGTGATAAAATAGTTCCAAAACGTGATGCTGGCATCTCTCGTGGACTGCCAAAACGAATGCTTGGGCGGAAAGTGGTATCCATTCGGGAACGCTGCGGTGGCGGATGGCTCTTCCGACTTTGCAGCGAATGGTTCCGAAGGCATATATGGCGGCTCTTGTTCCTCTGCCACCGAGTGTATCGTGTTAGTTCGAATGGGACCTGGCGATGGTCCTTGCGGCTGGTTCGCCGAGTCGCGGCGCTCGATGGACGAGCTTATAGTGCCTCTGGCAGATCGTCCCGTGAGCATGGAGGAAGCAATTCCGCCCGTAGCGGCCATGAATCCTTCTGGAGGTCCCGATTCCTCAAATGTGATGGATAGGCGTCGTAAGCGACTGCTGATAGAAGACGATGCGGTCGGTCGAGTGGCAGTGCCACGTTCGTCCCTGTGGCTTAAGCTGTGCGTGACTTCGGTGGTCTCGTCGCCCGCGGTTGGGAACGGCTCTGTGCTTTGCTGCGAGGCCATTTTGAAGGGGGGAGATCAACGCATGACCGGTGATTCTTGCTCTGGCTTCTCTAGGATGAAGAAGGCTGACAAGGAGCTATTTGGGCTGCGCGATTCGTTTTGGGTAAGGTTCGTAGCTGGATTAAAGTAGGATCTTACCAGTCCAAATGTTGAGTGGGGCGATACAGCCCAGCAACCACAAGCAAGATGATGCGCAACGGTCAATGGGTTAAAAATATCGGAAAATGACGTTTGAAATGATGTAAAATAATGTTTGAAATTCTTTAATGCTACTAGATTTTCGTTTTCTTACGATTTATTCCAAGGTGGCTCGATGAAAGTGGAAAGAATACAGGCTATACGAGACGGAGGTAAGTGAGTAAGTTGGTATGGACCTCGCACACCACAACTATTGAGCCACATTCGTCTATTTGCTGCTTGCTCTGACGCTGTGATGAAGGCTACTTCACAAAGAAATGACCCGACACGGGTGCACAAAAAGCTCAAAAAAGTTATTGCGGTCGAGGAGTCAAGAGAAATCGCCACCTGCCACTGAAATGTCCATCACGGTACATTGCTGCGCGGCCCCACCCAGTTGACTAGGTACCTACATAGCTACCTACCTACCTACCATCCAGGTTGGTTTCTTAGCTGCGCCGCCTCGACTTTTCAACATTGTCCTACGACAGCGATATCTCACACTCCCGCGAATCTTGTACTCCTACTCATTTGAAATACGCTTACCATGCCAGGAATACCTCCGCCTCCACACCAGCAGCCCGACAATGTGGCCATTACCGTCATGAAAAATTTGCAGGACCAGCATGACTGGACGGAGCTCGATTTCATCTACACTCAGGCATCATCTAGGGCTCTGATTAGAGGCTTGCCCACGAAACGACTATATCTGCACCCAGATGACCAGGTTGCAGCTCTCGCGCAAGAGCAAGCTACTGGCGAGCGAGTACTTCAGGAAGCTATGCACGAAATCGTTCTCCCGGTTCACCTGTCGGAAAAGTGGTCTCTGGCCGACTTTGCGGCTGTTTTCGATTCGTTAACCAGCACTGGCACACGCGAGAAGAGGGTAGTGCTTGCAACACTGCACAATGACTCGACAGTAGTGTATTACATCATGCAGGAGGGCATGGTGAAGCCACGGCAAAACTAGGCCTGAAGTCAACCGCCGCCTATGGGACAAAAACGATCTTGTGAACCTTCATTTTGTCAAACATGTCGTATCCGCCGACTGCATCGGACAGTGGCATAATGTTGTCAAACATGAACCTGGAGAAAGGCTTGCTGTCAGTATGCGTTTCATCATTGTTGGCCAACCGGTTAGCTTACTCGACGTCCTTCTGCTTCTGTTCGAGTAGAGCAAGCGCCTCAGGGAAGATGGAACGGACTGGGCACCGCCCCATTTGGAATCGAACATTCTTGCTGGTCTTCTGTCAATACAGGGGGTGTTACATGGCGGGAGTTGTTTTACTCACGCATAGCCATCCGCACCACTCCAAGGGATCTGTTGATTGCGATACCAGTCAGTCTGTGTTGGAAGTCTCCATAATACCAGAGGGTGCATAACATCTTACCTCGGCGTTGTGAATACCAATGCTACTCATGGCACCGAAAGGGCGCACCAGGTCATATGCAGTCTTGAGCGCGGGGGATAAGCCAACCACCTCGACGACAAAATCTGCACCTCGGCCGCCGGTGGCGTTTCGAACTTGCTCCTGCATCTTGTCAATGCCATCCTTGAAGTTGAGCGGCACAGCGCCAAGGGTCTTGGCCATCTTCAGACGACTGTCGACATTGTCGACCGCGAACACGTGTTTGGGGTTGAGATGAAGAGCGCAGATAACGGCGCAAATTCCGACTGGACCACAACCAATTACGACAAAGGTCGACTGCGAGATGTCTACCTTTGGTCTCAGCTCTACGGCGCTCTTTACTCCGTAGTATCCGGTAGGAAAGATGTCAGCCATCAAGACCAAGGCCTTGTCGGAGATGGACTTGGGCGCCAGGATAGCGGTGCTATCCGCCATGGGGATGCGTGCATACTCGGCCTGGCCACCATCGAGAACGGCAGATCCAAACAGTTTGCTGTGAACACAACGAGAAGTGGCTTCGTTTTGGCAGTAAAAGCATTCACCGCTTTGGGGAGTTAGGATCAGGTGAAACGGACGAATCTGGATCGGAACGCACCAGCAAGCTGTAAAAGGAGATACCACCTTGTCGCCAACTTTGAGGGTCTTGACCTGTGAACCGGCTTCCACCACGACACCGGTGAACTCATGGCCCATGATGAATCCAGTGCCAGATGGCTGGTGCCCACGGTAAACGTGGAGCTCGCTACACAGTCGTCTCAGCGGATGTACGGAGAATGCATGCCAGCGCAGCAGGGAGGCAATGCCGAACTTACGAGCCGCAGAGAGCGGTGGCCTGCACCTTGATGATGATATCGCGGTCATCCCTGACTAGACGTACACTTAGCCAGGCAGGCCGGATAATCGGGGTATAACAGCAAGGATAACTTACCTCGGGGTACAGGGCGGTCTTGAATGGATACTTTTCGGGGGCCGTCGAAGACGACGGCTTTCATGGTGGCTGGGATATCCATGGCGAGGTTGATTAAATAAGTCGAGCCAATACTATGTAATAACGGCGGCCTTAAATGACGTCGCGTAAGAGCATAGGAGCTTGCTGCTAAATTCCAACAAGATTGTAATGAGGCTTAAGTCTCGGCAAAGCGTCTCCTCCCCGCTAAGCGTGTGTGGGCTGCAATGGTAGGGGCGGACGTTTGCCAGAAGGGCCGACGCTCGGCACAGAGAGGCACTGGCGCCGTGGAATATCCGAACAGTCCGAGCAAAACCTGGGACGGCCGAAAACAGTTACCTAACCTACATATGAGGCTGAGTTAAGAGCGGTCGCGGGAGAAGACCACTTCCAGCCCGTGTGGGGGTTAGTTATTAGAGAGGCGAAGAGTGCTTGACACTTGATGGTGATGTAGAACAACATCGACGCTAAAGGTAGTGAGCGAGTCGCTGTCTTATGCAGTGTGAAAAAAGCCCCCTTGATGCGTTCGCACTTGTGCAAAATGCTAGGATGAGCCAGGCAGCACCGTTCTAACACTCTAACTAGGACATGCGCTCCCCAACCCAGAATTTTTTTTGGTTGCAGGCTGCAGAGCTGCGCGATAGATGGAGTGTAGCTCGTTTCAACTTCCCCCAAATCATGGATAGACCGAGAATGGCGACCTTTTATTAACTTGCGCTGGGCTCGCAACGCACTGACAACATCGCAAGAGGCTGGCATCAAGGACCGGCCTTATTAGGGTACCTTGAATATGGGGATGTGGACGACTGGATGCTGGTTCGCCGAACATAGCCGCAGGGCCTCCCCAGCGCGTTCAAACCCTGCGTTGTTCTGGAACAGGGGAAGCCGATGTTGACATCTCAAGGATCTAGGTACCGAGGTGTATCCGAGCTGGCCAGAGATTGCCAACCTATGCCTGCAACAGAAGAACTGAATAAGTCTAGTCCTCAGCGCGGACAGAACCTGCTTACACTTTCGAGTACGGATACGGAATACAGTCGACCAGAAGGAGTCGCGCCTCGATCAAGATTTACCTTGCCTCACCAGCTCGAAGACGGGAACCCCGAGCGCCGTCCGAATTTCCCGTGAATAAAGAAGATAGTGGGGGCGGCCTTGGGAAAAGGTTGCAGTATTCTTTTTTTTTTTAAGGCAGCAACACAAAAGGCGTTTTTCTTGGATCATTCGCAGTCACAAAGGTGGGAGGGGGCCTGGGCGTGAACCGTGGCGTGCGCCTTTCAGCTAACTGGGTAATTGTGATGCCTGAGACCTTGTTCCATCGCCTGAGAGAGACAGAAGCTGTCCTTGCATCATCACTGTCTGGGGAGGGGATAACGAGAGGGGCAGTTACTGGTCGGCTGTAGGAAAAAAAAATCACGGCTGATTTTGCAGCTGCTCCTTGAAAATCTGGACCACGCGAGCTATGACCAGCAGAATGGGAAGCTAATTTCGAAGGTGGAGAGACAAGATGAGGAATTGCTTTTTATTACCCTTCTTTTCCTTTCAGGCAGGCAAGAAGACCGGTGTCAATCTGGTGAGCTGGCTGACTGACTGGTTCTCTGAGTTGCACGGCAGCCATTGTTGCAAATGCCAACACTTTTTACGGGTTCGCAACTATTCGTAGTTAGGTTAGGTAGGTAAACGTGCATACTGTTTTTGTGGTGGGATGCGGCTCACTTGTCTCTCCCTGCGTCCTTGGCCGTGTCAACTTGTCATCAAATGTCAATCGCACCGCTGCGGATCAGGTGTGTAGCACGGCTCACGGTCTCTGTCTATCGACGGCAGATAAATATGACATATGTACAGGTTGAAAAACATCCGTGGGGTTTGAGGTGTGCGGAGACGGGCGACAAGAGCGGCTCCGAAAAGCCAACAAGACCGAGTAGCTAATGGGAAGGCGTCTGGGCCGGGACTACATAGTTACTACGGAGGTGTGGCCAAGCAGGAGAGCAGCCCTCATCAGGACATGATTGGGGCGGTCCTGGCTTTCCGAGGTGGCCAATTCGGCCGTGCTGATTGATTGTATGCATGCAAGTCAGTGGTCGGATTTTCAGTGCGGAGGCTCAACAGAGGACCAGTCCGTACTAATCTTTAGCACAAGAAACTACCTAAAAGCTGTAGATGCGTGAGGGGGCCTGGACGCAACTTGTCTAGCTTGGTAGTTGACCTTGTAACTCGACATCAGCAGGTGCATTGCATGCACGGCCAGATCAAAGCTAAAAGGCCGTGGACTGTGTCGGCCAACAATTTGCATTTGAAGCTAAATAGGCTGCTGAAAGTTAGCTCGCGTACTTATAACTGGGTAACGACGGGGGAGCCCGCTAAATTATAAGAGAGGGTGTGGGAGGGGGCAGATGGAGGAGCCTCGTCAACAACGACAATGGCGAATGACGATGAAGAAGATGTCAACGAGAGGAAGGGTACATATACGTTTTCCTCCGAAAAGCAGTGTTCCCCCACAATCTAACGGAGTGCCTCCCCGCTCTCCCAGCATGTCCCTGCAACGCTTTTAGTCAACTTGACCCCAGACCGGGGGTTTTGCGGCAGGCCCATTGTCCCTTTTGCCAGGCTGCCGCACTGGGTGCCTTGGCGGCGCTGAGAGTTCCATCCTCTTTGTTGAGTGGCGGCTTATTACTTTTAGTAGACAAGGAGCTTGTTCTGTGCTCCGTTAGGGATCGCGCTTGGGCTATTTACTGCGGCTCAAACATAAGTGACAGCATTGCTATATCAACCATTTGGGTATTTAGTTACCCTTAGGGAGCGCCATGTACATTGGTCCATAAAGAGAATCGATGTACAGATTACATGGTCACCTGCTAGCCGCCAAGTCGCTCTTGGTACTTACAGTTGCGAGCTTCGGAGAATGAAGAAGAGGAAAAAACGCAGTTGTCTGAGCAGCACTTAACTGGCGACTTCCGTCGCTGCCACTAACAGGCGAAGCTAACCGGCTGGGGTTTGTCTTGCCTGGAAATGTGTTCCGACCACAGTGACCCTCTTCTCTCTCACACACTTTCTTCTCTCACCTCAACGCGGGGTGGTCTGTGGATCAGATTGTACTTCGCAAGTACTTGGTAATGTTTCTGCTCGCTTCCTAGCCGTCGCTCGCTACTCCCTAGAGCCTCTTTCCCCAAACTAATACCGCAAATGGCCGGCTGGACGGCCCCATTCATGCCGCTCTCCGCTCACTGGATTCTCGAAGAGTAAAAGAGTGGGAATGATCGGGTCCAAATACATTCGTGGCGTTGAAACCAGGCGACGGTGGTCCCCTCCCCAGACCAGACTTGGGGCTGAAAGGACTTGCGGGAGAGGGAGTACAAGGCCGGGCAGGGCCGACACCGACTCTAACGAGTAATCCCCAACTAACTTAGTAACTAACATGTACTGGCCAAGTAGATATCCATCTGTAGCCCGCATTCTGCGCCGCTTCGACGCCAGTGTAACCAAAAACTGGCCCCTGCTAAATAAGTTAACTCTGTCTACCCCGGCCGGCCAATCCAGCCTTCCCAGCCCTCCAGCTTCTCCATCCACCTGGAAAGAAGTCTGCAGTCGAGGCAAACCCACTAACCATGGTCTCTCCCCACACATCCATCTAAGCAAACCCATTCCGTTCGTGTGTGCAGCTTGTTGAAGGCTGCAGCCCATGTCATGTACCTCTTGCCCAGCATCCGAAGCCGCATTGGAGAGACATGCGAGCCGCGGACGCATGGGGCAGCAAAGTCATGCATCCAACACCAGAATGGCTTAGTCTCTCCATCTCATCCAGGCATGTACGGGGTAGTGGTAGCTATGGATGGAACGAATCCACTGCTCCTTGGACTGGGCCGGCAGAGTTGGCCAAGCTGCTCGGGAATGAAAGCTTGTCCACTACCCCAGTTCTTCAGCCATTGCCTCGAAAGACGGGGCCGACTTGTTGGAGAGCGAGCATGTGTGTTCTCCATATAAGGACACAGAGCATTGGAGTTATTACTAAATTTACCTTGTACAAGGGCAAAAAGGCCGTGCTTTTCCGCAGCCATGTGTGGAGGGGGAGGCAGGGAAGCCCCAGAAACTTGACTGGCTGATCCGGCAGATCGAGACCATGTCTGGTTATCCGCCAACAAGGGCTGAGAAAGGGCGATGGAAGAGCCGCTCTATTCGTTGGCCACATGGATCCCCCTCCCCAGACCCCAAACATCAGAGCACATGGATGGCAGGTGTACGTAGAGTCTCAAAGTAGCAGTGCGTAACGGTACAGTAGCATTGAGTACCTGCTGCAGCTGTTCTTTGTTGGCCTCATCATGGGCAAAAGTAGGCTGCTCCCTAGACCGGGCCGCACATCAGGGCTACTCCGTACATGACATGTAGGCAATATATACATACGCCTGAGTCTCTTCCTTTTGCCTAGCTTCCGGGCCCTGGAAGCAAATCTTATACTCGTTACGGGCTTGCATAAGCTCGGATACGTAGCCGCGTCTTGCCATCTTGTTTCCTGTCGGACTGCAGTACCCCATACTCTTCTGTACATGCAACACACACGCACCCCATCCAGATCTACCCACGTTCGCCTTGGACTCCACGACGCCTTCTCCGGGGCACCCACAGGCAAATCTCCTTGTTTTTTCTCCCTTTCCCCTCCCCTCCTGCATTCATCGTGTCCTTCCTTCAAATCCTCCCCAGCGTCGGTGTTGCCCAGTTTTGTGAAGCAGAATACAGCCCGTTTCATCTTGACCAACCCCAGATGGTACACTAAAAACAGTCTGTGATACAGTAGCACGCTGTCTTTCACATTCACGGTACTTCTTCCTGGGCTTGCCTCCTGTCAAGTACAAGAACGGACCCCAGGGCTGGGTGATGGACAGCACCTCGTGGAAATTCTTCTTGCACACCACCCACGTCACCACTGAGAACCACCAATCAACCACTCGATTAGAGACGCTGCACTCCCAAGACACCCATTACGGCGTGTTCTCGACGCTATTGACCATACTTGCTCTTGATCAATCAGAATCATTCAGCCTGCTCCCCAGCCGAGTACTACTTCTGGCCAGCGCCGTGTTCCTTGCGCGTCAAGGTTTGTCTACCCATGGAATTTGTACAACAGTCCTGATTCGTGTGTTTCTTCGACTTGCCGCCGGCAATAGACTGCTCATCAGCCTATAACGAACAATCAAAGTGGTTATCCAGGGTGTAGTGGTCCGTTGCTTTGCCCAAGGGCTGCACGTTCGAGCCAACAAGTCCAAACTCGCACCCATAGCATACCCGTTCCGGTCATCTCCTCCTCGTCCTTTCGGGAAACTGCAAACCAAGGCCACCTCAGACTTGACACTGACACACGCCTTGGTCACTGCGTTGGCTATCTCTCAGCAAACAAATCTCAAATACTCACAAAGGCGTCATTCGAAATATCCAGAAAACAAAATCCCATTCATTGCTCAGCAACTGAAAGGACATGACAAGCCAGTCTCGACTGTTCCACTATACAACACCATGACAGCCGTACAACAACAGTCACGACAGCAGCCCGTTTCTCTAGGTCTCGATCCGGCTGCATATCGGACCGTCCCGGCACCATCACAGCATCGCGAGCATCCGAATTCCAAATTCCACCTGAGTCCTGGCGCCGTACTCGAGTCTCAACAAAGTGGGAATAGCCCGGATCGAATTCCACGCGCATTCCTTCCTTCTGGAAGTGACGCTATGAGCAGCCCCCGGTCAGCAAGCAGCCGACTTCCAGTTGCACAACCACTTCCTGATGCAAGAAGGCACCCGAGTCACCGAGAGGCTATTTCGTCATCGCCTGGCCCATCACTCTCTATGTTGGGCAGACGGTCGCCATCTATGACTCTGGAAGGCAGGCATCGTCACAGGTCAACTAATTCGCGAGATCCAAGCCTGCAGCACTTGGCAGCGGATGCCCTTCAGGTCGTGCGACCACCACAAGATCGAAATATGTCGTTGCCTCAGCTTACCAACGATATCTCCATCTCGACGCGCAAGCTGTCCTTGAGGGATGAGCTCTTGCCAAGCTTCTCTACCCTTCCACGAGGCCCTCCCGGCCCCAAGTCCGGCATCAAGTCATCCGAAACTCAGTCACCGCCGCCGCTGATGTCGACCGCGAGGGGAGAGTTGCCTCCCCTTCAAATGGATTCGCCTCGGTCAGAGAGCCTTAGCCAAAGCTTGCCGTCTATTCGATCAACATTTGGTGACATCAATCGGATCCCGCCTATTGAGCAGGACACCCCAGCATCACCTCTTCAAATTCCAAAATGTCCAGTTTCGCCACCAGGCACAGCACCTCGTCTCCCTCCAATATCAGCGGGACACACCTCGCCGCTCATCTCACCCAACGATTCATATCATAGAAACTTGCCGTCACCGCACTCCATCGCATCCCCCGGCGGTTCATATGGGTACCCTCCGCCGTCCCTGCACCGGAGCCCCAGCTATGATATTTCCCGAGCGGGGTCCGACGGAGACAGGGCACATTCGCCCTCGGCTTCAACACAGTCTCACCTGAGTATTGACAGTATTACAAGTGGCCCAATTGGCTCATTTGTCTGCACGTTCGATGGCTGCAGTGCGCACCCGTTCCAGACGCAGTACTTGCTGAATTCGCATGCCAACGTCCACTCTTCTGCCCGCCCACATTACTGTCCTGTCCAAGGCTGTCCCAGAAGCGAGGGCGGCAAGGGGTTCAAGCGCAAGAACGAAATGATTAGACACGGCTTGGTGCATGATTCTCCAGGATACGTGTGTCCTTTTTGCCCAGATCGTGAGCACAAGTATCCTCGTCCGGATAACCTACAAAGGTACCTGCGGCGCTTCCACGACCTACCGGGACAATCTGCTAATGTATTCCATCTCAGACACGTCCGTGTTCACCATTTGGACAGGGACAAAGACGATCCACTACTACGAGAGGTCCTATCTCAGCGGCCAGACGGCCCGAATCGAGGGCGAAGACGAAGGGGGCCTGCTGCATAGCACAACACAAAAGCCTCTGCTACTGGCCCATGATTCAAGTCAGGCTCGGACAACTCTTCTTTTTGGGCGAGTATGGCATATTGCGAGCGAGACAGTACCGCGATGCCGCTCCTTTTCTCATATTTCAGCATCGGGGATTTTTTATGCGCCTTCATTGTCTCTAAGTTGCTGTAGCTATACAAGCTGGCGTTGGGTATTCGATGTTGACGATTTTTTTTTTGAGGCCGACGATACCACTGAGATGCGGATGCGATTCATGACAATGTATGTACTCTTGTTTCTTCATGCAGCTATATCCAATATATTTTTCTCTTACCATCCATGCTTTCACTTCATCAGACCCGCATGTAAATGACAATGCATGGCACGTATAGTCTAGCAGCTTAGCGACGAGCTGATTACCAACTCTGCCATGGGCCAACTTGGACGGGAGAGTCGCTGAAGACGTCCATTTCGAGGGATGCCAAGGCATTGGGCACCCCAATCGTCTCAACAACAAGCCACATTTGTCCTGAGTGCGTCCGCTCCGGCTCGAGATCAAACTCTGGTGTTCGCAGCGCCGCTGTGGACTCGACAAACTCACCGTCGCCAGACTCGGCAATAACGAGCTGCTGGGGACCCCAACCATGCACGATGTAGACGCGGATCATGGGCGAAGAGGACTGGCGCACCACCTCGTCTCTCGAGCCTTTGGGACTGACATTTCGTACGCAGACACTGCCTCGGGTGAGCCAGGAAACTTGGATTGGGGCACGCATACGCTCCTCTCGCTCAGTGAGAGTCAGCGGTGGGAGGGAATTGCGCAAACGGCCAGCTGCGTCGGCTGGGATATCCTCCAACTCAACATTTGCGGTGGATGATACCTTGAGGGCAAAATCTGCTGTCTGGTTCGCCTCAAAGGTAGAACAAACCAAGGTATAAACGCCGGGGTCAAGCTTGGGTATATTGGCAACGGCACACCCTTGTCTGTATTCTCCCGACGTTCCTGCTAAATCCTTGACACGAATAGAGGTCACTCGTTTCCCAGACGCCCAAACAAGGTCGACATGGACGTGGACATCTTGATCATCGGTTGACAGCAGAATAGAAACGGGCCCGGACCGTGTTGTCGAGATTTTATACTGAGGGTTGATGAAGTAGGTAGAGAGGGATGAGTTGCCTCCTGCAGTTCGTCGACTCCACTTACCTATCATCTCTTTGGAATGTGACATTTCCTCTTGCGCCTCGCGCACTTCAACAGGGAACTCGGAGAAGACGGTGAGGGTAAATCTATAGCTCTCTAGGGGCAGTTCTTGTTGGTCCAATACGATGGTGTATTGTTTGCCCGGCTCAGTCTCCAATCGAGCCAAGGTTTGCGGGGAGTCGACATAGGGGCCGCGATACAGATGACCTTCACTCGTCTGCACACGTTTGCCGTTGGTTTCGAAGATGAGGATGCTCATGTACCCAAGCTGCTCAGCAACCGCGGCCATGGAGTCTCGACGATTCCGCATAATGACCAGCTCTTGATCAACGAAATGGCGACTCACCAACATCCAGACGAGACCACCTCGAGGGCAGCTGATAGAGTATTGGACATTGCGCACCAGTGATGCGGCAAGGTACTTTGGTGGTGTGCTCCAACTGAAGTGGCGGTCTTGACGATGCGGGAAGAGTTTTGGGTTCCAGTTCAAGTACATGGACTCGAAATGCTGGGCCACGTCTTCAAACGCCACCCACAGTGTGCCTGAGGGGTATAGCTCTGGTTCCTGGCCAGCGGTTTCTCCATCCAGGCTCATGCCCGCCCTCGGAGATTGTTGCGGCGTGGACCAACCAGCACCGGTCCAAACAGGTCCGTTGCACCATGGATTCTTTATCAGTAGTTTCCGTATCCCGTCAGAACAATCCATGTCCAGCACAGCATAGTCGTGCTCCCCAACCAAGCCCATGACCTCCTCCTCCTCTGCGGAAATACGGCCGGTTCCGAGAGTAACGACAACGTCCTGAGTTTCATGGGCGGCCTTGATTCTCCTCCAGGTTGTGCTCAAATCGAAGTCTTCCCTTTGAAGGAAAAGTTGTTCGGGAATCCAACCTGTAAGCACCCAGAGGTCGGTACCTGAGTTGCTACCTGGGAAGTCGTAGCCACCACGCACTTTGAGATATGCCTTTTCTAGTAGTGCTGGCCAGATGAGTCGTGTGTTCCGTCTGTCTACCACGAAGAGCGTCCTATTTGTTTTCGAGGCTGGTAGTCGGTCATCTACGACAACGCGTCTCCAGCAGCCGTTGAAGTTCATTCTGAAAACATATTTTCCAGATTCTGAAATTCTGGGATAGCCGCTGTTATGGTCAAATGGATAGATGATGGTAGAGAGCACCTATTCATTTTCCACGTCAGTATGAGGAGTGTAGTGAAGACCTAGCGGCGAATAGCGCTTACGGAATGCTTGCCCGTAAGCATATTGATTGCCGCTGAAAGACTGGCTACAACAGAGCAGTCAGTGGTGACATCCTGGACCAAGTTGCAACTCCTTGAGGGTCTCATGAAGGCTCCAGGGTCATTGCCATTGGAATTATCGAATAGATTCTGCGGCCTCTGCCATGATGCGAAATTTTGAGTTTGAATAGGTGACAGGCTGAATTCAGTCCCATCACTGGCAGAGAACAGTTAGCGACGATGTAGGGAAGAGCGAGGCGGAGGTGGCATACGTGAAGAGCTGCTGTCCCGCTTTGCGCTGGAACTCGGTGTCGGATGGGGTCTCTTCCCACGGCGGGAACTCATTTCCATGTAGTAAGGATGACTGGCGCAAGATATCCGATCCATTTGGGCGCAGCGGTGGTATTGACAGCTGTGTCTTCAGCATCTCCGCGTGAGCAATGAGCGCCTTGCATTTCTGTCGCAAGCGAGCGGCATCCTGCTTGTTTGTGGTACTGCTCGCAGCACGCATGTACAGCTCGGCTGCTTGAATTGCATAGTCCAACGCAGCTTTTCCTGTTGAGCTCGCAGCTAGAGCTTCGGCGACCTAATTTACGACGAACCTCAACGTTAGTTACACGTTACAGCGTGGAGCAGGCGGGGTCCTGGTGGCTGGCATTACCTGCGCGTCACTCTCCATGCTGGGTGATCAATCAGTGCTTCATGGCACCTGCTGCAAAGAAACCGCCTGTTAAAACGGTGACGTAGGCGTCGCAGCTCTGAGTATGGAAGAGTATAATCAGATTAGTACATGGGGTTGGGAGGCAATATGATTCGTATAGCAAGCAGTACAAATATTGGAGGTGGGATAGCATCCCGGTATAGGAATATCTCGGTTTGTTAACAAGACTTCGCTGCTGACTCGCCACAGTGCGGGCTTCAACACCAGAAAAAAGGTACTCCGATTGAACTTTACAATGGCATTAAATAAAATTGGGCTTGTGTTCAAATTCTCTTTAAAGTAATCTGCTCACCATGCAACTAGGCGCCTAGTAGTACACCTCTGCGATACTTTGCTAACGCCCCAAGACCACCTATAATAGCGACTATATCTTTGTAATTCACAAGGAGATCTCAGGCGTTAAAGCCAAACGCATTTTAGTGTATTTACTGGTATCAGCTAGTCAGGTGCTACTGTGTTCATGTGTATATCTCCAATGATAAAAGATGCTGACATACTTTACTCACGTCGGGGAGGCGCTGGTGTTTTTGTGTGGCCAAGCCGTGAGGAACAAGACAGCGTTGGCCCAAGTGGCACGTATTTCAATATTTACAGATGGCTTTAAAAGAACACTATAGCCAATGCAGCTCAACGCAGGAGAGCTCAGAAAGATTTGAATGTTTAGTTAGAATACTAGGTAAAAATGGAACAACGAGCAGTGTAATCGTTATCATCGCCTTTTGTTGCTGTAATCACATGTAATAGACCGATTGTTGATAGCCATGCAGGACAATCAGCAGATGGGTAGTGGCAGCATTGCGAACAAGCTGCCCCAAATTCCGGAGCGGAAGCTCATATCGACGCAAAATGAAGACATCATCAGTTGGACTAGAGTGAGCAAAGTATTTTAAATGTTTTACCAGGCCAAAAATATGTACATACGTCAGTCAGTCCCCGTCAGTCCAAGTAACCGAGTGGCTGCGCTAGAAGCAAACAATTGGGACGTAGGTACTCCGTATTATGTACGCGCCTCTTGTTTGCAGAATTTATAACGGAATGCCCACGGGGCACGGCACACAAAGAATGGCCCCAGACGGGCACCATTTTACGATGGCGGCTTGCTTTTGGCGCAAAGATAGGCTCCGTTCCGGTGGACCAACCGAGGTCACTCCTTGAAATCAGAGGCTCAAATTCCACGCTAATAAAACCACAGACGCTAAAAACTTCCCATCTGAACGGGGTTTGGCTGGTTTGGTTCCTCCAGTTCTTACAAGCAATCGACCGCATCAACCTGCCGACTTGGCCCACACGGCTGCGGGACCGAGGTCCAGTTGTGCCTGCGTCGGAGCGCTACGGCTCAATGCCATCGACTCTCGGCCGCCGAGCGAAGATTGCTACTATTCTTCCCTCACTGCTCGAACAACCCTCTGCTGCTATTCAGACAAATACGGCATTTTCCCCAGACTGGCGACGCGACGCATCTCGCCCTGTAAAGTCTGCTGTCTTGCTGCTCCGTCCGCTACCCATCCCGCACATCCGCCATTAGCCGGCAAGTCGCAATGACTGGGCAATCCAAGCCTGCCATTTCGCCCTGGGGAGGCGCCGTTGCCGGTGCCACCGGTGCTGTCCTTGCCAATGCCCTCGTATACCCTCTCGACATGTTTGTCTTCTCCCCAATTCCATACTCTTCAACGTGTGGACATTTCAGGCCGAGCTGAGCTAACCACCCGACCCCGTCATAGTGTCAAAACAAAACTGCAGGTTCAGGAACCGCCAAAAGCCGGCGCGCCCGCCAACGAGAACGCTGCGCCGCATTACTCCTCGACCTGGGATGCCATTTCGAAAATTCTCCAAGAGGAAGGTGTCGAGGGTCTCTATACTGGTATGAGCGGATCCTTGCTCGGTGTCGCGTCCACCAATTTTGCCTACTTTTATTGGTACACTGTCGTCCGCTCCGTATACGCAAACTACAGCAAGAGTACCGCCGCCAACTCAACCGCCACCGAGCTGTCTCTTGGCGCCGTTTCTGGCGCTCTCGCCCAGCTCTTTACAATCCCCGTTGCCGTCGTAACGACCAGACAGCAGACAGCTACCAAAGCCGAGCGTCGCGGGCTGCTTGCTACTGCAAAGGAAGTCATTGAAGGCCCAGATGGCGTCAGTGGTCTCTGGAGAGGCTTGAAAGCCAGTCTGGTTTTGGTTGTAAACCCGGCCATCACGTATGGCGCCTACGAGCGTCTCAAGGAAACATTCTGCCCCGGTAGAACTAGCCTCAAGCCCTGGGAGGCGTTCCGTAAGTCGATATGCCACTCCCCTCATCCGTTCTTAGCCTAATCGAGACTTTAGTTCTCGGCGCAACATCCAAGGCACTGGCAACTATTGCTACGCAGCCTTTGATCGTCGCCAAGGTCGGCCTGCAGTCGAAGCCTCCAGCATCGAGAAATGGAAAGCCATTCAAGAGCTTCGGGGAAGTGATGGCTTTCATCGTAAAGAATGAAGGTCTGCTTGGCCTCTTTAAGGGTATTGGTCCTCAGATCATGAAGGGATTCCTTGTGCAAGGCATTCTCATGATGACCAAAGAAAGGTACGTCCTTAGCGTCTCTCTGGCTGTGCCGTTCTTTGTGCTAACATTTCTGGTAGGGTGGAACTGCTGTTTGTTCTCTTCTTTAGATGGCTGGCAAGCCTTCGTTCCAAGAAGATTCCACAAGCTGCCGGCGCCATTGTGAGCCAAGCCGCGACGAGCGCACCGCTGCTCACCACCAAATAGACGGAACCGCTCTTTGATTTTGCTTCTTGGATTTTTAGAAGGTTACGTTCAAATTCAACATGGTATTTTTTCGTCACTTGTACCGATGTCTCTCCATGTAAACAAAGGAATCAGCAGATGGTCCAAATTGCGTACCCCATGCGATTTTCTTCTTCAAAAACAAATGACTAAGCAGCCAAACTCAGCCAAGCGTGATACACCCACTAATGAGAGAGGACCTGGCAAAAGTCACCAAAATTAGGTCAGCATTTGCCCCACATCCTCGCTAGGGTTTTCGAATTCACACACATTTTCCGCTTGCTTCGCAGCATCGTGAGTTACGACCCATTTGAGTGTATATCATCAAACCGCAGCAATGGCCAGTAAGTGCTACCGAATCGCTGATAAATCTGTAATAATGCTAATATCACGCCAACAGAGTCTAAGAACAGTTCCCAGCACAACCAGTCGCGCAAGGCGCACCGCAACGGGTTCGTTCTTCTCCAACGTTACCGAAATCATTCGCAAATCTGATCTTTCCCACAGCATTAAGAAGCCCAAGACCTCGCGCTACCCTTCTCTCAAGGGTACTGACCCCAAGTTCCGCCGAAACCACAGACATGCCCTTCACGGCAACATGAAGGCTCTGGTGCGCAATATCCGACCAACTTTTCCTACGCCAACTTGCGATCGCTAACTGCTACCACAGAAAGAGGCTAAGGAGGGCAAGCGCGAAGCTGTTTAAACCGGTTCACGGAGTTATAACGGAATAATGCATTAAATGGGATGAAAAACGAGGTTCTCAGTCGACCTCTCCAGTTTGTCTGTTATACTGCTGGTAAATATGTGAAAAAAAAATCATTTCCGACTGTTATTCACCCTCGTGTCTTATCGCATCACGAATCTCCGAATTTTCAGTTCTGATCAAGGCATTTCCGCGGAGGTCACCCCCTCTGTCAACGCGAACCAAATCGACCAACGAAACTACTTCCCTGGCTGCTTGAGCTATGCATTCGTTATGGGTAATCTAGCACCTCAACTCTGGAATCCTCTGCCTGAGTAGAAGACCTCTCCAGAGCGATCAGTTGACGTGCTTGACAGACACGCCGCTTGCAAATCCGTCGATCTCGCAGTCGAAAGCCCGACCAACCATGAAATTCGTAGGCCGTTAAGCTTCAAGGACCTCTAAGCTACTAAAAAAGCTACGTGCTCTTGTTGTCATGATAAGCTCAGCGCGCACTGATACTCTGCAGCAAGCAGCCGAAACAGCAAGAGGGTAGTCGCTAGCAGCGTGTACTATTACATCTAGATACAGAAGCCACGTAGATCCATGGCCGCATAATTGCATAATTGTATTGATGGAACATAAATGCCTCATGAACCACTCCCATTTTCCGGACAAATATGTAGCACGATTATTCTGTCAAACATCCCAAACGCCAGATGTTACGTCCAGTGGCTGGGACTGTGTGGCTCGGGCTCGGAAGCTCAGGTGCATTACCTAAGACGAGCAAGCGCTGAGCTTTGGGCGCACCACGCTGTTTCGAGGTAACTCCACCTCTTTCATGACTTGGACACTGCCCATTTTTCGTGGCTCTTGGTTGTATCACCGACGATATTTCTAAGGGATCGGATTCTGTTTGCCTGGCAGCAGACACCCTTCTTTCATTGCAAGCTTTTTCCATGTTTATTACAGGTACATACTGCATCCGCCCCCGACCCGGGCGTCTAAACTCTCGCCTGACACTTGGTGCACAGATTTTCGTTTCGTTTTGTAACATGCGATAGTCTGACTGTCATCTTCCCATCAGGACTCCTTTGAGGTCAGCAGTTTGCTGCAGGAGCCAAGCAGACTTATCTTCTTGTTAATAATTGTCGTCGTTCTACTTCTGAACACGTTGCTCCCGATACCAACGATATTCGATCGATCGAATAATGCTCAACATGTCCGGAAACCACGTCATCGGAAATCGAAACAGCACCCCTGAGGCGAGCTCAGCGTCTTCCTTGCGGCCTCCTTCATCTAGGGCTGTAGGATCCGCCAGCTCTCTACGGGCCTCTGCAGACATGAGTTCCATATCCGGGCCCGCTCCTTCCAGTCGCATCAGACCATCTTCGGACTTCTATGGCCAGTCGCAGCAGTCTCATGCCCAGGGATCATTCGACACCGATTCACAGGATAAGATTGCTCAGCAGTGGATTGCCGATATTGACCAATATGAGACGACGCTGGAGGAAATGGCCGCTGCAACTCTGGATCAAGACTTCAAGGATGAACTAAGCGCTATTGAGCAGTGGTTTCGTGTCTTGAGCGAGGCCGAGCGTACTGCCGCACTATACGCCCTACTTCAGCAGACCACTCAGGTGCAGATTCGATTCTTTATCCAGGTTCTGCAGCAGATGGGCAAGAACCATCCTATGTCTGGTGTCCTCTCACCCGCCACATTCGATAAAGGTAACGGTCCATACTAGCCTCAGGTGTCAAACAGAAAGCTAATCGGTATCTCAGATCCCATGTCTAATCGTCTGAGCGACGCTATGAATAAACTTGCAGTTGACTCGTCCCGAAATTCGTTCACCCGTGCGTCCGCTACCAGCGCCGCGCCAGGGAAGCGCCACTCCGTCCTTGACTCGTCAACTATAAACGCCATGTTTCCGGACGCCGCGGCTGCTATTGCGACTGAGAAGGCCAAGTTCACGCAGAAAACGGGAAACCCGCCGTCTTCCAACAGAAATAGCACCGCTATTGATCCGCGGTCGTCACTTGCTGCTCATCAAGACTCTCGCGAAGCTGTTGGGGCAGCGGTTTCCCCATGGGGCTCGGATCCGAACAATTCCAAAGCCACTGCTTCTCAAGCAGCCATGGGTCAATTCACGCAGCCTGCGCCGTCGGGCGGCTTAAGGTCACCGCTACCTCAGCTGGGGAACAACGCCACGATTCAAAATACTACGCTCGCTGCCCCCGAGAAGAATCCTTCAGACCTCCCGATGCTTTCTCCTTACAATGGTGGAGGTAGCGGCAATTGGGCGTCTATGGTTAACACGCCGATGACATCCACCTTCAACACTGGCCAGCAACCGGGTTCTCAAGCCGATATGGTTGCAAATGCGACTGCTATGAAGTTGGCTGCTCTCTCCACCGTAAACAATCGATTTGCTCTTGATGATGCTCGCAAATACCGAAGAGCTCGATCAAACGATGCGCCTGGCAATAGTCAAATATCGTCGCCTCCTGCCCACGCTCATGGACTCAACATTCCCGGTGCTAACGTCGTCATGATCAATGAGCATGGGCAAGTCCTAAGCCGAGAGCAAATTCTTGCGCTGCAGGCTCAGCAAGGGCTCGGACTTGGTAGCCGCGCGCGACCTAAGTCCCCTGGTCTTCCCATGCAGCAAGCCATGGGACAAATGCAGTTCGCGTCACCCCAGCACAACGGTTTCCTGAGTGCGTATGATGGCTCCGGTGTCATGAGCAGCAGTATTCCTGCGGTTAATCTGGGGCAGCTGGCCCTATCCGGACACGAAGGCTATTTGTCGGACCACTCAGATATGGTTCGCGGTCGGTCGCCGAGAGGTCGGAGGGGTAGCTCGAAGCCACCGGAAGATCCCACGGACCCGACTCTACTCCAGGATATCCCAAGCTGGCTGCGCAGTCTTCGCCTACACAAGTACACGGACAACCTGAAGGACATGAAGTGGACTGATCTCATTGAATTGGATGACAAGGCGCTGGAGGATCGTGGAGTAAATGCTCTGGGTGCAAGGAGGAAGATGCTAAAGGTGTTTGAGCAGGTGAAGGGTGCGTTCAAATCTCATACATGCTGACACAGACTCGTCGCTAACTCATGTACAGATGCTAAAGCCGAGGGACGCATTGGTTAATGCCCATTCTGCAGGTACAGTGTGGGCAGAGAAGTGGCACATTCAAAAGACAACGACATATGGTTCCATCAACTAGCATATGACTGGGGAGTGTAAATTTGAGACGGCCTGGACAGTGGTAAATTTTAAACCCGACTCTAGATCTGAGTTTTTGAATGGAAAGATGCAGCACCTTGCGGGTTCAGTCGCACTATCGTACATGGTTCTAGGAGTTTTAATCAACTTGACTATCTGTCAATGACGGTGGCATGCATCCCTATATGAACTCTGATGTACATATGTTTGTAGGCACGTACTACTAAGGTATGTATGTAGGTCACTTATTACCGCCGAGTCCCTGGTGGTGTGATGTGCAGCATGTTGGCGCAGATGTGGGTCCGCTCAGTACCAGATAATACCCTTTATTCAAGCGTCCGTTTACACACCTCAACCAATTTCAGTTTCACCTCGCACAGCACAAAGGTAGAGAAGACGTCAGCAACTTAGCGCGCTACCTTCGTTTCAAATCAGGCCTATCCTCACATCATCCGGGGGGAAAAAGACAGATACGCGCTGTGTCACGCACGCGATAGATGCGCAGCGGCACCCGTGGCATCGATCAGTCGCCACTCACGACCCTTCGTCGTGCTGTGCATTCGAGCATTATTTATACTTATACTCTCTGTGCTTGGTTCTACAAGGTCCGAATCGCCAAGCCGGCTGCGCTGAAGACGCGATGGCAACTCTTGCGCACGATGACAACTCCGATGCCGACTCCGACCTTGAGGAGCTTCAAGGTGATATTGCGAAATTCGACGAATCTGTCCGTGAATTCCTGGCTTCTCATGAAGGAAGCAGGGACACCCAAACTCATGATAGACCAACTCGCGGAGGGAGGGGCTCCCGAGGCCCAAGAAAAGCAGCAAAGCCTCGAGGCGATATTACTGCTCGTCTATCCAGGGTAAACCAAGCTTTCCTGGCTGGCGATTATGATCGCGCGCTGGAGCTTGTGTCTGAGGTAATCAGAATCAACGCAGAAACATTCCAAGCATGGACGGCACTCGCCTCAATCTTCAGGGAGCAGGGTGAGCCGGATCGTGCTCTCGAGGCGATGAAGTACGCTGCCCACCTGCGACCAAAGGACATCAGTGGCTGGATGTCATGCGCCGCATATGCACTCGACAATGTCGGGGGCAATGAAGAAGCAAATATAAAAACAGCGCGGCTGTGCTTCTCAGCGGCTCTAAGAGCTGACCCCCAGAACGTGGATGCAAGGCTGGGAAAGGCAGCTGTATGCCACAGCCAAGGCCACTATCTACAGGCGATCGTGGAGTACAACTACATCTTAAGACAAAGGCCTGAGGATCTTGACATTGTTCGAAAGCTGGCAGAAACATGCGTTGATAGCAAAGACGGCCCGACCGCAACTGCATCCGCAATAACGGCTTATCGTCGTTTCTTCGACCTTGTGATCCCGAATGGACCGGGTAACAGATTCAAGGGACTCTGGTACGATATCGGCATCTTTACAGACTTCCTTGCGTCAAGCCGTAGCTACCGTGAAACGATCAAGGAACTCAAAGCCCTTGCCAGATGGATGGTTGGTCGAGCATCAGAGGTATATTGGGACGACCTTCAAGATGACGACCGTGAATGGGATCTGGACAACTGCAGAAGAAGCCAATGTGACGAATTCTCTCGGTCATCATTTCCACAATCCCTATTTGGCGAATCATTGCCACTTGACCTCAGAATGAGGCTAGCTACTCTGCGTCTGAGACTTCTAGACAAGAATGAGGCCATGGTAAGCTACACCAAGAGTACTTCATCTATAACTGCACGGCTAACACTCACCAGATGCACCTAAAACATCTCGACCCCTCCGCACAGGCTACTAGCGACTTCATTACCGAATTTCCGTCTGTCGCATATGATCTTGCCGAGGAGCTCATGAAAAGTAGTGTTCTGGATATCGCTACAAAGATGTTAGAAGTCTTTCGAAATTTTTCAGAGACTCCAGATCCGACTATATTGTTGCAACTTGGAAGATGCTACAATTTGACGGGAGAGCAGCCAAAGGCCGAAGAATGCTTCCTTGCCGCCATCGAGGCCGATGAAGATTCCATAGCTGCCCGTATTGAGCTGGCTAATGTATATGAAAACGCCAAGGAAGGGGAAGAGGCACTCATATTGGCAGCAGAGGCCATGGCATTGCAAGATGCACAGACTCACCAAGCTGACCATACAAGCCGTTCGGCCGCTCGCCCAGAACAACTACGACGTCGTGTTCCAGGAAATCAGCAAAGTACTAATGATACTGCGGAAAACAAACAATCGCACGTCCCAAGGCGCTATAGACCAAAAAGACTGGCGGGTGTCGATACTTTGCGCCAGGGTGAGCAAATACGAGCTATCAAGTTATCGAAGCAGTACGATATCGTGAGAGATCTAAAGCTTCGGATTTCGGAAGGACGACTCGATCTCACTGCAGAATGGATGGATGCATCACGGGAGTTAGTTGACGAGTTTAGATCGCTGAAGCGTTTCTACTCGTGGGACAAGTACCTCCACTTCCTTAGGAAAACGCCTACATCCATGTCGGCGAGTTCAGAAGCGCCGCAGAGTGACCTATCGCAGCTATACGAGCGCCTAGCAAGATGTAAGTCTTGCTCTCATGTATCGAGAAGTATCGCACCTTGGGCTTACAAATATACAATTAGCTGTCGCACCCCAAGGCGACACCAACGCGGCTGGCATGCAACCAGGAATACATCAGGGTATTTCTTTCGAAAATTGGCTGAATATTTTCCTTGACTATGCAATTGGGCTTGCCATAAACCATCAACGTGAAGAGGCATACCAGGTGTGTCAAGCCGCCAAAGACTCGGTAGTCTTTCGAGCTGCAAACCAAGAGTTCCTCATTCACATCGCGTGGACTGGTAAGAACCTTTCCCCCTTACACAGCGGTTGACGAGTCCTAACAAATCGAGTTTGTGCGATTTATACCAACGACGAAGAAAGGTGTGTTAAAATTGCCCGGCATTTGATGAGAGATGGTGTCATGTCTGATGCAAATCGAATGTTTGCTTTACTCTCGCGGCTGTGCCAGTCACCTGTCTCGTGGTACACCTCGGGCCCGGCGCAGAAGTTTATTCTACGGCAGATTCGAGGCATCGACAACAGCTATGAAGAGCTCTTTGCGACGAAATTTAATTCATCTGAGGCTGGGGAGGCCACCTTTTCGAAAATCGACATGGATGTATGCTTGCTAATGCTTTACGGCCACATTTTGTTTACATCGACGAGCTATACATATGCCATCAGTGAGCATCATATGCGAGAGCCTATCAATAGTTGTCTAATCGTGTTTCGCAGGTTACTTTTTACGAGCGAGGTCACTCGATCCAAGTAATCCGATGGTAAATCTCAGCCTGGGGTTGGCGTACGTTCATTATGGGTTGAAAAGACAGTCGACAAACCGCCAGCATCTGCTTCTACAGGGGCAAGCTTTCATCACCCAGTATTTCGAGGCAGGCGAAGGAAGCGGATCGCGGCCGCTTGCTGAAAGATATTACAACACCGGTCGCCTATTCCAACTGCTAGGTCTCAGTCAGCTGGGCTCTAATCTCTATCTCAAAGCGACTCAGGCCAATAATGGGGAGTATCGCAATACCGACATTGACACTCTGGTGGCCGTCAACAACTTTATGTCGTTTCTGGCTGTCGGTAACAAAACCGCTGCATTTTCCCTATTGAAGAGAGAACTAGTACTGTAAAATAGATATTTTCTTCGGCAGTGACAAAACTTCCTTGGTATTTCTCTTTTAAAGCCACCTTGAGGGCAAGCAGGTAGTCCCTACCAGGTCAGCAAGTCCGGGGTGTAGGCAGACGCCCCTTGAGAAATTGAGTCTACTACGATTCTAGAAGTAGATATTCAACGGACAAATTTAGTGTAGATAAAAAGTCATGGAGTGTAGAAAATGACAGAAAGAGGCGAAAGAAAAAAAATTATTATCAAGGTGAAGTTATAGCCCCCGCCAGACGAACCTCCCAACGTTCCACCAATTTACAGGTACCGTTGTACCGGCGCTACTACGGTGACTTGACAGATCATCCACAAAACGGGGGCACCTCTACAACCTGAACCACCAACCTCCAGTAAGGGCAAAACGGCTTGCAACGTTTGCATACGGAAGTCGCAGATGGATCTTGTGACACCGTCAATATGCCGATTACCGTCAACTCACGACGAATCGCAGCGACTACACTATTGCTTCTAACTATAGCCTCCGGTCTTCATGCGACCGAGCAGACGACCCAAGCTACCCAAGCTGAGACGACACCGAGGTCTAATTACGGCGGGCCTTTAACTGGCACGAGACAATGCGAAGCGCGAACAATAAATTACATTACGCATTCGCTGCCGCAATCATGCCTCACCAGCAGCTGGTCAAGCGCAGCGACCAGCACGGAAAGTACGCTGCCGCCATCCACAAACACCAAACCATCGACAGCCAGAGAGGATGACAGCTCGACTGTTGCCTATGCAGAACCGATTGAAACCAAAAACACTACATTAAAGGTCAACGAAAGCTCGGAAACAGCAGATACCGACTCGACGGCCGAACCATTCATGTCCTTCGAAGACTGGAAGGAGATAATGCTGCAAAGAACCGGGCAAGACCCGCAAGATCTGAAGCAACGGAAAGGCTCAGATTCTCAGAGTGATGAACGTCAAAAACTTCAGTCATACTCTGGAAGCGATTTGGGAGATGAGGGTGAAATCTCCTTGAATTTCGGCGGATACATGGAGAAACCAGAGGCTGAACATGGTTACGATGGCGGAAAGGAGCACACTAACGAGTCGCCCGCCGAAGCTGGACAATCCGCCCTTCGCCGCAACAAAGATGCGGGCAAAACTTGCAAAGAGAGATTTTCTTTTGCGTCATTCGATGCCGGGGCCACGATCCTCAAAACTAGCTCCGGTGCCAAGAACTCCAAGGCTATCCTAGTCGAGAACAAAGACACATATATGCTTCTCGAATGTGCAACACCCAACAAATACGTTATCATCGAACTGACGGACGATATTTGGGTTGATACCATCGTCCTAGCCAACTTTGAATTCTTCTCTAGCATGATACGCCATTTCCGTGTCAGCGTTAGCGATCGATACCCCGTCAAAATGGAAAAATGGAAGGAACTGGGGACGTTTGAGGCTAGAAACTCACGCGATATACAAGCATTTCTGGTTGAAAATCCCCAAATATGGGCCAAATACCTGAGATTGGAATTCCTTACTCATTACAGTAATGAGTATTACTGCCCCGTCTCCTTAGTTCGGGTCCATGGATCCCGAATGCTTGACAAGTGGAAGGATAGTGAGACCGGGACGGATGATGACCATGTGGCCGAGATTGATGGAGTACCAGAGAATGAAAGCGCTGTCCATGAGAACTCTTCCGAGCCAGCTGAATCCCAGGAGAATAACCCTGCAATTGCAGACGCTGACAACATTTGCCCTGTCGAAATTGCGCCTTCCTACTTGCCTTTGGCGATATGTCCTAGAGCAAAGCCTTTGTCCATTGCGAACAATTCCGTTATCGGAGCAGAATACGTGAGCAACACACAAAACGGCAAACTTGGCGGAGAAGAAACAATCGAACCCGAACAACAAGTAACTTCAACTCCACTAGAAAGTCCAGGCAACATGGCAACCTCCTCTACAACATCTGAGACCCCGAAATCGGTCAAGGAATCAAATACGAATCCCGAAGATGAACGAATTGACGACAATGCGTCTTCAAAAAATACAAGATCTACCACGGCGGCAACAACGTCGTCTTCTTCTTCACCTGCGGCCGCCGCAGGCAAAAACCCAGTTGCTTCCGCCTCCAATAGCAGGTCTAGAGGCAATGCGACAAATTTTGCCACCCCGTCACCACCAACCATGCAAGAGGGCTTCTTCAACTCCGTTACTAAACGCCTACAGCAAGTGGAAGCGAATCTGACATTGTCGCTTAAATATGTTGAAGAACAGTCCAAGCATGTACAGGACGCCTTCCAACGATCTGAGCAAAAACAGATCTTGAAGATATCTTCCGTACTCACGGACTTGAACCAGACGGTTCTAGCAGAGCTGCGAAACTTCAGAGATCAGTATGATCAGATTTGGCAATCTACGGTCCTAGCACTAGAAAGCCAAAAAGATCAGTCGCAAAGAGATATACTAGCGCTTAGCTCTCGACTTCACGTACTGGCAGACGAAGTGGTGTTCCAGAAGCGCATGGCCATTGTGCAAGCCGTGCTGCTGCTTTCTTGTCTATTGTTGGTCATCTTCTCGAGAGGCGTTCCGATCCCATATCTCGGTCCCACCTCGGACCAAGGAATGGGTACAAGCGAAGCATTTGCGGAGATTTTGGCCTCGATGCAGAGACGCGACATGTTCCCAGCCGGATCGCCCAGGTTCACGCCCACGACGCCGAAACCTTACGCGGGAAGCTCCCCTACTGAGCGACCCATGGCTAGCACTCAGTTGGGCTTGGATGAGTACGGCTATCAGCGTCCGTCGCCTCCTCTAACGCCAACCAACGAGCCGGCGAATGTCAGGCCAGATTGGCAGACAAACAGCCATTCCTCAGCCATACAAGCAACAGGGTATGACAAGGGGTCTTGGTATATTAGCTCCCGTAAACCGCTACCATCATTACCTGAAGATGGTTCTTCTCCTGTGTCTGCCTGACCAACCTCCATCCAGACTGTATCCTGCGCTGCATCTACTTATGTCAGGGCGCGAGGGCTCGTAGCCCAGAATGACCTGTACGATAACTTCATGATAGCGATGGTTTAGAGCAATGATTTACTTACTTGAATAATTACCGCAGCGATCTGGTTGACTGTATATAGCAAGTTCCTGCATCATTACATTACTCTTATCCTCTGATCCCCATTGCAATTAGCGATAGATAGCAAAACAAGCTTCCTCACGCATACAACATCCGCTTTTGCCCCCATTTCAGCTCATGACTACATTGTTATAGAAAATTACTAATTTATTCAGCCCTCTCGCTTCCGATGTAGAGGTGCTGAATGGCCTCCAAGTCGTATTCTTCGAGAGCAGCTAGTCGAGTACCTCGATCGTACTGCGAACGTCTACGACGCTGCTCGTCCCGGAAGTGCTGTCCAGCGTTTGGCGTAAAAAGTCCTATAAAGGTCAATTCTGTGGAGGGTGGTGAGCAGACGTTTGTGGTTACTGACCGACATGCTCTGCGTTTTCGCAGCTGCGCTTCATTTTGGACTGGTTATCTGGTTCTGGGAATTGTTCTTCCTGGCCTGCCATTTCTGGCATCGGACCGTTTGAGGTAAAATAGAGCTGTCCGACCGCATCAGCAATTTTTTTTTGGAACAAAAGACTGCATGCTCTGCCTACTTTTGGTCGATAGTGTGCGGCCTCCAACATGACGGAACTATTCCGAAACTTCTGAACGAGACAATCTTTGCCTTGAATAGCTGTTGGAGAGTTAGCATATATGTGACTTACTTGCCTACCTTCAAAACTAACTGGCGTAGGAGACCTCAGCCACCTTGTCGCTTTTGAAGCAGTTCCTTGTCGCTTCTATTAGCGCTCAATCTAAGCTGACGACGGAAACAGACACTCACCATCGTTGATTGCCACGTGCCTCAACAAACTGAAGGGTAATAACTTAGCCTACGACAAGTATTCCTTAAAGTTTTAGCGAACTCACATCGATAATATCTAGAGGCTGCTTTGGCGTCAGTCACGATTGCTCTCTGGAGTGTAAAGCAGGTGCTGAACTCACATCAACAAAGTTAATAAACGCGTATCCAACACTAGAATATGTCAGCATACACGAGAAACTTTCATCTGGAGTATAAAATCACGGATGTACTCACTTGCAGTCGTTCGCGAAATCGATGCGGAGATACATGAAGTCATATTTTCCCCAGCTGGACTCGTCGATAATTCTCTTCAGCATTGCTTGGTCTACTTTATTCGGTATATTTCTTAACATTATCTGCAAAAGTTAGAATGTATCCATTCATTTGAAGTCAGAAAACTTTAATACCGTAGTTCTAACATCAATTCCTTCACGGATTCGATGGACATCAACGTGGTTGTGATGACTGTTCGGGTTTTGGAAAGAGCTCCTGTTTACTCGCGCCGCATGCTGTCGCCGATCCAATCTACCGTAGGTTGAGTTGGGCCTCGGCGGACTATATCCATTATGGACAGTGAGTGCCGGAGATGGAGGCTTTGGATAAGCTGCCGAAACTCTCTGATAAGACGGTGAAATGGGGGTTGACAGAGTTGCGACATCGGCGCCCGGCCCACTGGTGATGAAAGAGTTCACCATGTACGGAAAGGTAGGGGCATATTTAGGCTGTGCAATTACCGGATACATTGCAAGCGAAGTATTCAAGCAAAGATTTGTGTGGGAAATCGAGCTCGGTTTCGAGGAAGCAGACCCGTATTCCCAGCTCGTGCCTGGGCTGGAGATGCGAGCAGTATCACAGATCCGCACACCATTGCTGGCTGAAGTTGTGTCTTCTTCCCGATATGCTGCAAGAACAATTCTTATGCCCTAGATGAAGGTCAAATCTTGTCCCACGAGAGAAAAAGCACGTCTGCCAAACTTACGCTCTGTCCTGCTGATGTTTGCGCTTGGGCGAGTGCCGTCTTCGCTGCCAAAACATCACAGTATTCTACAACGCCCCTAAATGACCCATCTCTATACGTCATTTTCTTTTCAAACGCAAATATTTCTCCGTGAACTCGAAGGTTTGTTGTGACTTCTGCGGCAACTTGCTCGGCGCTGGCGGCTGACCCTGGTGGCACAGTAGCCAAGACCACCAATTGGCCACTGTCTCGAGGTAACGGGTAGAGCTCTGCGGCGGAGTCCTATTTCAATTTTCAGCTTTAGAAGTAAACTTAAGGGGTATTTGTTGTATCGGAATCACTTACAAGGACTACTTGCCAGTCCAACTTGGAGGAGCTCGTCTGACTTTGGAAAAGCCATGCATCTCGGATATCCTCGAAAAAAACTCCCACAGTGCCCTTTCTTTCGAGGATTCTGTTGGCTCCGTGGAATACTCTAGAGTCTTTTTCTAGGTCCTAGTTATTGTTAGTAGTGCGGTTTGTCTAACTCGGAGGCACATACCTGAAGCCAAAAACTGATCTGCTGCGGAGTGATGACATGCTCTGCGATTACTTTCAGCCATCTGGATAATCCCATGCTTTGGCTCAACATATTTGCCGGTACTTGTGTATCTGGATAATCGAAGTTCTCCATCGAAATGCGGAAAGGGTTGAATGCAGAAGCAGTTGGGGATAACCCGCTCTTCGAAGCCGGGCCAGGCGTAACGAACGGGTCATTCTCTCGTTCTCGTTGTTCATCTGGCCTGAATTGGACAATTTTCTTGTCACCCCGATGATCATCATCACCAATGCTGCCATTGATTTTGAAAGACTCCACGGTTCGTTTGATCGGATCACTAGGGGATGGTGCCGTCAGTCTGGTATCTGGAGAACCTGCGGACGAGTCGCCCTCTCCCGAAGGAGACGGGGATGAAAAGGGCATTGTGACGTTCTTTGGGTTAGGGATATGTGTAGGAAGTGTTGATACGTTTGCGTCTGGACTCTGATTTCCCAAATTCGTAAAAGATTGCATTATCAGAAGAAAACCTAGGGTGTGCGTGGGAGGACGTTTGTTCGAGGTTGACGGGCCGTTGCACCTGGCAAGATTCGGCAGCAAACCAGGGCAGCGCTCAACGCACGTGTTTTCTCAGCAGCTACAGTAAACGTGACCAACTGCATGGGCATTTTTATTTTTATTTCTTTGGATCGGTTGCTAATATCTAGGCAGGTGGGTAGAATTGATACTCTACTTGCGGCTTCTCTGTTGTCTGCTACCTTGTTAGCCTTGCTCGCCCTCCTCGCACATTAACCAGTGCCAGGCATACCTAAACGAGAACCCAACCAAGCACTTACAAGTAATCTTGGATAACGATTCGTTAAAAACCGTCAATTGTGCTGTCTTTTTCCATGTATCACCTGCCTTGGAGTAGCTAGTGTCCACTCCTGCCTACCTGCTGCGTTACTGGCACTGAAGCCACTCAGAGTTCAACAATCAAGATGCTCATGTATATATGTAGGTTTTAGTGTGTAATTATTACCTTAGTACCCAAATCCAATTTATCTTTGTTTGCAGATCTGACCAAATTAGTTGCTGGACATGTCGCTTCACTTCTCGATTCTGCGCCCACCTACCTTGACAGCCCGACCGCCAATGCGACTGGGGCTGCTATGTACCTGGCTACAGTTAAACAGCCGAACAGTTCGCGCTTCTATATGTTGAGTAAGCGTACGAGCCGCATGACTCCATAGAAAATGGGAGTTGACTCTATGCTGTTGGATCGATGATGAAATAGACAGCACGGTGTTGAACCACCCAGAGATGCCCCTTCTTCTAGCTTGGGGACTTGTCGCGGAGAGGTGGGGCATTTCGTGATCAGCCACGCGACTGGCAATCGCTTGCAAGCCTAGCCTTTGACAGCTGCAGTGACAGGTATCAAAGAGGGTAATAAATCACGACAAGATGCCACGACGAATAGAAGCTATTGACGACTATGCGTTCGCAGTCCCGCAGGTATTTTTGCTCCAAAGTCTGAAACGTGCTGCTCCTTGCTAACTACCATGGACAGATCATTCTGTCGTCGTCAGATGGCGAGTTCCTCGACCACCTTATACCTGTTTTAAAGGATGCGTCAAACTCCCGCAGAACCCCGGCGCTGATTCAATGCCTCAATCAATACACAGAAGACCGCGAAGCAGATATCGAACGAATCGGAATGACGAAACACGAAGAGTTCCTAGACTCCGTCAATCAATTACAGAATGTCCGCGAAGACGCCGTTGCGCTTATTGCTGAGATCTTAAAGCTGAACCAATCTATTCAATCGAGTACTGAACAGCTTGCGGAGCAAAAGAGCGCGCTAGTAAACACAAAGGCCGTCCGACAAAACATCTCGGACGCCTCGGACGCTCTTAAGGAGTCGCTCAAGGTGCTCCACGCCGTCAACTATGCACACGATCTTGTTCGACGGAAACAATACTATTCGGCGCTTAAATCACTCGAGGATCTTCAAAATGAGCATCTTGTCCCAATATTGCAAAACCGCTACGCCACCCAGCACAGGCTTGCCGACGCGATCCAGAAGTCGATCCCTGCTTCCAGGAAAGCGATTTCCGAGGCAGTAATGGCTGACTTGAACACATGGCTCTTTCGCATTCGAGAAGCGTCTCAATTTCTCGGTGAACTTGCTTGGTATTATACCGAACAACGGCGGTTACGACAGAAGAAGAGAGTCGAGGAAGATTCATTCTTGTCCAATTTTAAGCTGAATTCGTCCATTGAGCTTGTCTGTGACGAGAGCGAAGAGCTCGATGTGCTGGACAATGAGGAGCTCCAAATCGCATTCACTCCCCTTTTTGAAGCAGTTCATATTCACGAAGCCTTGAATCAAGCAGACCGCTTTCGTTCAGAGTATGCAGCCACGCGACGGCAGCAAAAGGACTTACTCTTACCTAGCTCGATCGACCTATCTGTGGAAGATGAATCATCACTCAGCAGTCTCTTAGAGGGTATTACTGGATTCGCTATCCTTGAGAAGGCCACCATGCGACGTGTTCCGCATCTACGATCTACCATTGAGGTGGAAGAATTATGGGAATCGATGTGCAGCACAGCCATCAATGTAGCCTCGAAAGCACTGAGTGACGTGACGAATGCTGAAGTGTTGCTCAAGATCAAAGGCATCGTTGCTTTGTTTATTCAAACAATGGAGGTATGGAGTGGCATTTTCACGACCGTACTCTATCTAACCATCTTCCAGGGATATGCATATCCTGTCTCGACCCTGGAGACTTTCATGCTCACGCTCTTCGATAAGTACGCCGAGCTTCTCAGGCGCAGATTTAGTGACGATTTTCAAGAGGTACTAGCCGCTGGCATTACATTCTATCCTGCAACTACTACTAACGCGACGCGTAGATCGTATCAACAGACGACTACATGCCCATGGCAATCAATTCGCAGGAGGAGTTTGACAAGGTTCTCAATGTCAGCTGGTATACGCCGGAACAGGATGTCGAAAGCATCACGTAAGTACACATCCACCGGTTTACACATCCGCTAATAAAATTGCAGGTTCCCTTGCGTTCTCCCTTTCTCTCAAATGTACCCTCTTTGTTGCATCGACATTCAAAATTTCCTCAACCAGTTCTATTTCTTCTCCGATGATCACTTTCAGCATTCGGATGTCATTGACGAATCATTGCGCAAGGTCAGTCTATCCCATTCGCGCTCTCGCGCTCTCGCGTTTTCTACTTTCTACGTTGCTTTGTATGAACTGTCCTTTGCTAATTTTTGGCACTCCTTAGTCCCTCGATAAACTTCTGACAGAAAAAGTCTGTCAGTCTCTTGTCGAAAGACTCAGCTCTCAATACCTAGGTCAAATTGTTCAGATTCTGATCAACCTAGAGCATTTCGAAACCGCGTGCCAAGAGCTGGAGCTCCTCCTCATAAGCGCAAGGTCTTCCACGTCTGCCGGCGGACCGTTGAAACTTGGTGCCACTGAAGAGTTTCGAAATAATAAAAAGACGGCGGAAAAGCGAATTTTCGAGCTTGTTAACTCAAAGATTGACGACCTTGTGGACACGGCTGAATACGACTGGTAAGATGCGGTGCTGATGGAACTGGTTGCAGAATCTAACCTTTATTCAATTCAGGTTTACGACAACGGATCCATCGGAGCCCAGTTCCTATATGCAGACACTCACTCGTTATCTGTCAAATATCATGAATTCTACCCTTCTAGGCCTGCCTCGAGAGATCAAGGAGCTCATTTACTTCGACGCACTTAGTCACACTGCGAACAAGATATTGGTATGAACCCCGCCTGTCAGGTCATTACTCTGCGAACACTCTGACTTTTTGCCATGACAGGCATTGCCACTATCTAATGAAGTTAGATTCCTCAGCTCAAGTGCGGTATTAGCCCTGGCCCAAGATGTCCGCTACTTGACAAATTTTGTCAGTAGCCTTGAGAACGGCGAAATGCTAAAGGAAAATCTGGACGAATTGCAGCAGACTGTGAATCTCTTGCAATCAGAAAATCATGACGAATTCTATGACATGTCGGTGCGAAATAAAAAATATAACCGCGTGGACGCCCTCAACGGACCTATTCTGCTAGAGAAGTATGCTCTCCTAGTGCGTTTTATTTCGCGTTGAATATGCTAACAATTTGCAGACTCAACAGCAGTGCCGCTCAGGCATCCACCAGGAGCGCGCCGCTATCCAATCTCTCTTCTAGATTTGGAATGATGAAATGAAACGTACGTAATTGCCTGTGTTTAATAATGAGCGATTTTATGTCGTCGCAGTGCCTCTGCACAGATCATATGAGTGGCTGGATGAAGATACTATCAAGCAACAAAAGAAAAAATAGCAACCGAAACAGAGAAAATTACACCAGATTGCCAATCATCCATTCACAAAATAACAGAACCCAGCGAACAAGCAAAAAGCACCTTTGTTTGGCTCCTGTTACCACACCTGAGCTCGCTGTGATGGTAAGAGTAACCTCCTCATTCAAACTCCTCGGATGTCATCTGCGCCTTGGGGCTTATTAGCAAAATGCCATAGAAAACGTTGTGACCGGCGGCCTTACTTGTTGAGCTTGCATGCCCGAGTACGGGTACATGTTCTCCATTTCTCCGTACATTGCACCCGCCGGTTGTGCTTGGCCATACGCCGCGGACGGTGCTGTAGGAACTTGGCCAGCATAAAGACTGGGGTTCTGGCGATAATCTTGCTCATTTGCGATTCCGTGTCCACTCATGTATTCAGCTCCCGCCATCGGATGTGAGTTGGGTTGCGCCATATTGGCAGGCATTCGACCTTGCGCGCCGCCAGCCGGTGCGGCAGATTGTGCAGCGGCTCTCTTAGCATGAGATGCAGCTTCCTCTCTCGGTACGATGTCGATCAAGAAATCGAACATATCTGATTTGGCCAGCGCAGACGCAATGTCAGAACGTTGGAGCGTGCGACGCTTATTCTCTTCGGCATGAATCCAAGCTCGCATAGTCAATTCCGTGATGAAAACATCGCAACCCTTAGCAAAGAGGATCGGTGCCTCGGCAGAGATCATTTTGACTTCAGGGTCAGCCTTCATTACTTTCTTAATGCGTGCCAGAGGCAGCTGGTGAATTTTGTAGTCATGCGTCTCACTCTCCAGGTGAGTTATGGTTTGCTGCCAGTAAGTCGTCAAAATGTCCTTGTACTGGCCAGTGAGACCTTGATGGACCTGCAGACGTGCGTGTCAGTATCAATATTAAACAGGCAGCATCACGAGGTTGACAAACATTCGCCCAGGGACCAGTATACAATTCCGCAGGCGCGAAGCCTTGTGTAGCCAGCTGTCTTGTTATTAGAGGATGAGCGTGAGAACGAAATAGCCTTTGCACATACAGCGGCGCAGGCACCTAATACGGCGGTCGTCAGCATGATGAAAAAAGTTAGGCCAATGATGACGAGGCACTCACCATAATGGCCGCCTTGAGTTGTGTCGTAGATGGGCGCGGGGCGTCCTTGCTGTTGGGATTGCGCCGATTGGTTCTGTGAGTCCATCGTCGGTAAGGTATGCAAAGACTGCACTCTGCTGGTTCCCTCAAAAATGGTGCCGTTGATTTTGCTTCTCACGATGCTCGTCCAGACTTCAATTGGACAGAATCTGGCAGATCTATGCGCGTATCAGAATATACCATGCATGCAGCGAAGAAGCGATATGGCCCATCCGCGATGTGTTTGGCTTAGAACAGTGCTCGCGCTGTCGCCAACCGCCTATAAACTCCGGCAATGACCCGTGGCGCACAGTGCCTCTGTCGCCTGCCGCACAGTCCAACTTGCGAAGAATTGGCTCAACAGCGACCAGGAGCACACACTGTGGATCCAGTGCGCTAAAAAGACAGAGAGGTTCCTCGGCACGGTGAATACTAGTCAAAATACAAGTTCGATCCGCTTGGTTGGGTCCATACCTACCTAGGTTAGCATGGACATACATACATACATATGGCCTTAAGTACCTAGGTATCTACAAACTGGTTCCACCTTTGCCTAATCAAAATATCTTTTGCTGTGCAGAGAAACTTTTTTCTTCTACGCTTCTACTCTGGACAAGCTCAAGCTCTGTTCGCTTTTCCCATCCACCACACCGTAACCTCTACTCTAGCAGCTGGCTGGCCGGCGATAGAGCTGTCCGCTCACATCATGGCTAAAATAAGCAGCCAGCAGATATCTGAGCTCCTACTTGAAGCTGAACAGCGCCTAGAGGGAGCTTCTGCATCGACAGTTCCAACAAGCGATGTTGTCGTGGACGAGGCGCAGGCTGTTCCCCCTGTCACTGCTGCAGTGCCAGGCGGCAAAGAAGGATCTGTTCGTATTGCACAACATTATAAGGCCAGCGGCTCGAAAGCCAAGGTATGGTACTCTTTTTTTTTCCCACGCGTCTTCCTTTCCCCTCTTCCCTTTGATAGTGATGAGAAGGCACCGCTTACGGTACCCTGACACGAGGTATCGTCCGTTTTGGATAAACGCCTCGTGGCTCCATGATTTCTTATTATCATAGTTACTCTGAATCATTGTTTTTGGCCGCTTTACTTGGTGACAACAGTCCTCGCAACGCATTGAACAAATCAACAGCCAGGGTGTTTCAGCTGCTAACGTGGGAACAGGACTCCGCCGGCTCCGACTGGTTTGACCTCCCCAAGACAGTTCTAACTCCAGAGTTCAAAAGAGACTGGCAAGTTCTCCGTATGCGCGGCTTGCTAGACCCGAAACACCAGAAAAAGGCTCTGAGGGCAGAAGCTCCGAAATATTCGCAAGTTGGCCAGATCATCGAAGGCCCTACCGATTTCTTCAGCGCGAGGCTTACTCGAAAGGAAAGACAACAGACTATTTTCGGCGAAGTTATGAAAGACCATGCACGCGACAAGCTGAAGTCGAAGTATGGCGCGATCCAAAAGAAGCAAATGTCTGGCAAGAAGGCGTTTTATCAGGAGCTTGTTGCCCAGCGGCGAAAGGGTCGTGGCTGAAGCCGGTAACTTCATTATTACATCTGAGGTCAGAAATAGGTTCCCATGTCGCCCGTGCTGTTTGTCGCGGGATCGCGCGGAACCCACCACAACAAGGTTGTCACACGCACTCCTCGCCCTATGCGAGAAGCTAGGTCACCAGTCGTTGTTCAAAGAGGGCGGGCAGCAACGAGACTCCGGCCACTTGACTCACGATGCATCCCCGTGAGCGCTCGGCCTCGTAAGCCCCCGCAGAGCCATGCCCAGTGGGATTGCACAAGATTTGATCACGAATCAGTCCGCGACAGCAATCACGAGGCGCTCCATACCTGACGGGTGAAGTGGATCTCATAGAACTTCAACTGGAAGAATATAATGTTAATCATAATGGATCGCTTTTGTAGGAAATATCTGCTGAATCGTGTGAATTTCCGCTGGGCGGGTGCTTTTTGTAGCCTCGAATCTCGAGATACCTATGTATGTATGTACCTAGGCTGGGTGGGTCGGTCGGCATGCGATCCTTTAATTGGCTAGGGGCAACTTTTTCATTCCCCTTGGGACAGAGGGTTGCCGATTTCACCTTGTCACCAAACACGCGATCACAATGCGCCGTCATATTACGCGACAGTTGGCACAATTCCAAGTATGTAGATCAGCTACATCGAATTTACCTTGGCACCTAAGCTAACAAGCCCAAAGCCTGTCCTGCAACGGATCAGGCCGACCGAAATAGCCTCCAGGTTCGCAACAACGCCCTTGAACTCCCATGGCCCGTTACCAATATATAGGAGACCCTACAGTACCGTCTATCAGGATGAATCGACGTCGAGAAAAATCTCTGTCGCGGCCCAACCTGGTCGGGATGACGAGCTACGCAATCCTCGGTCGGCGCAAGCTATCCACCTCAAGCCTCTCCGCCGCACTCCAAAGCACGGCGTTCCTTCCTGCGACCTTCAGCTTCGGTCTTACAGCATTCAGCCGCTTGAATTCTTCTCCGATTTTGCCCTCCGAGCCGCATACTATCTGGGCCTACCCGCGTTCGGGCCTGTGCCTCTGCCACGGATAACGGAGCGGTGGACAGTTCCGAGGGATCACTTTATTTTCAAGAAGTCGCAAGAGAATTTTGAGCGCAAGACATTGCGCCGAATGATCCAGATTCAGGATGGAAACCCTGAAACCGTGCAGCTATGGCTCGCATATCTTCGAAAACACCAGTACTACGGTATTGGCATGAAGGCGAATTTTTGGGAGTTTGGCTCTACACAGGTGGAGAACCCGGTACAGTCTCTGGATGGTGGTTCTGGGGAACTAATGGCTGTTTGGGAGCATCTCGGTCAGACCAAGTCGTTGACCGAGGAGGAGGCTGAGGAGATGCTCAGCCGAGGCCGCTTGGGCGATTCCCTGTGCGTGTCGCGTGCCATGCCTCGCTCGACGCACCCAACCGCATGAGGCAGCGCTTTGCCTCCAGCAACTTTTCCAGTCGCGTAGCTCCTTAGCTCCTTCGCCGTGATTTTTTTGCAGCATCTGGCGACCAGCGATGCTATTTGTATGATAGAAAATTATGTATACCTCGAAACAGGAGCAGGGTCGAATTCCCCCGCAGCTTCTTAAGTATTGATCGATTCAGTGCCTAGGTGGTTGGCGATATGGTGGGTGGATGGGTCGGCCACTCACTCGCAAGTTTTCGCTCCCCCCTCGTCTTTTCCCGTGCTGTTGCTAGTGCATGTATCTGTATATGTGCACACTTTAAAGTTTTTCCAGACTTTTTTATCTTACTTCACTGTGTCGTGCAGTTGCCATCTAGTCGAGGGCGAAAGGTTGCTCGTGGTGGGGCCGCCAACCCGATGCCTTACCCTGTGCTTTCGTCCTGCATCGTGAATCACAATACATATCTCATGTTGCCATCGCAGCTTCTCCTGCGCTCTTTCTTTTCGCTATCTTGTGCGCATTAGTTCCCCTTGTCGTATTTTTTTTCTTTTTCTGGCACTTCTGGCTCTGCTAATGGTACTGTGCTGCTTTCTATCACACCGGTGGTACCCCTCACATCCACGTCGCCTCGCACAAGTCTGTTGAGGTAAAGCCATGACGAGGATGGTATCCCACGAAGCTTTAACGCTGGAGCGAATCGAGCAGGTAGGCCCCATATCATACCACAAGGCAAACCAGAGTACGCCACCTGACACACGGCAGTTAATCATATCACTGTACCAACCAAACCCGCCAGAGGTAATTGCAAGCACACAGGCGGCACTGGCGCGGATACAGAGCCTACCAGAGGCATGGACGCTATCAAAAGAGCTGCTCAGTCGTCCCGACGAGAAAGTCCAGTTCTTCGGGGTGCTCACAATAATCATCAAGCTCAATACAGAGAGGTGAGAGAAACGGCCGAACATGCGACAAACGGGCAAAACCTAACTCGGTACATAGCACCCCCGCCGAGGACGAAGGAGCCATAGAGCTGCTACTTTGCCTCATAGGATGGTACATTGATCTCATAAGTAAATGTGGAAGTCGCCTCGTGACAAGGAAGCTCGTCTCCGCGCTGTCGACATTTTTTCTCCGATACCATTCGATATGGCCGCGCTTCCTGGATCACATTGGAGTTTGTCTGGCCAACAACCAGGCATGTCGCCCGAACGCTGTGGACAATAACCTGCAGATGAATCATGTGCTAGATATCATAGGACAGCGCCAGATTCAGGCTTTGTTATGGGTAGCCACACACATCGTAGAAGACGTTATGCGGCTCGATCCGAACTCTTTGAAGAAGTAAGTTAAGTCTCTCCCCGCTAGAACGAGATAATAACCAAGACCGAAAGCGCTACCTCGTATAAGGCAGTACTAGATAACACAAACAGTTTCACAACGGTGATGGCAAAATGCTTCCAGGGCAAAGGCGTCCCTGCCCCAATTCTCGAAGACGGCATTAAATGTCTACAGGTACGGATAGAAACAAACGCATGGAATTTCGAGCAGGAGCTAAATTATCGCGTAATTAGTCCTGGATCATGTTCACACAGAAGGCACCAAATCAAGGAGTTGACGCCATCAGTCCGGTGAAGCCGCTGCTGGGAAATGTGATTGAGCTTCTGGCAGTTGATGCCGTTTATGACGCATCAGCAGAGCTTCTCACCGAAGCATTGTCTAACAGCCCGTCACTCTTCACGTCAGAGCACCATCATCTTTTTGAAATGCTCTTTAAAAGTCCATGGGCCGTCGGGTTCTACCAACGAATGAAAGACGGGGACTTTGCGTTCGAGTCCATCCAATTTGCCCAGCTGCTCCTGGCGTTTGTCGAGACAAGAATGCCCCTGCTTGTGCAGAGCTGTGATGCAGACAGCGCCGAGATCCTATCGCATCTTTGCGACCTCCTTCTTGCCCGAGGCCACCCAGTGGTGGACGATAGAATTTTTGTGCCGGTCGTCGAATTCTGGTCCTCATTCGCAGAGACGATACCAGATTACATGCCAACCAACTCTAGCGGAGAGCAACGGTGGAAAGCTTCTGCATTTGAATTGCTGCTGAGAGCATGCTCTCATGCGCAGCAAAAGATCATTTACCCCCCCAACGCAGAAGTTGCAGCATGGGACTCAAACGATAGAGCAGGCTTCGCTGACTCGCGAAAAGATGTCGTTGACCTGCTCCAGTCAGTTTATGCCTTAGTAGGACCGCAGCTTCTAGCAACATTCGCTGAAACCGTATTGTTTTCACTGGGAGAGTCTGAATGGATGCGATTAGAGGCGGCTGTCTATTGTCTAGGAGGCCTGGCCGACTGTTGTCGAGATGACGATCGCTGCGATGGCTTCCTGGCTTCCGTCTTCCACTCACAGCTCTTTACAATTCTTCGAAACGGACGAGCTTCTGTGCCAATACGAACCCAGCAAACATGCCTTCAGCTAGTTGAGCTGTACACTGAATATTTCGAAAGAAACCCGACGCTGCTTCCGTCAGCGCTCGAGCTATTATTTTCTACCCTTAATGATAGAGCTATGGCCCCTGCAGCATCAAAGTCAATCCTGCGACTTTCCTCCTCCTGCAGAGCTCATCTATACACGGGCATTGATGCTTTTTTGACAGCATATCTGCACGTTGTAAACCAACAACAGCTGGACTGCACAACTAGCGAAAGAACAATCGGAGCATTGTCTTCGGTTGCTCAGGCAATTCCTAGTTTGCCGGAGCGATGTTCCAAATACGGACGGATTTTGGAACTCATTGAAATGGAGCTGCAGAGATGCAAACGTATTGTCAGCACAAACGAAGGGGACGGAAGTGATATATCCCTACTGGTTTGCCCGGATACACCGCCGGAGGAGAGTATCAGTCTTCATATGGCTCTCAAGGTCTTGAGGTGTCTGGTCGGCATGGGAAAAGGTGTGCAAGCGCCCGCTGAAAACGCAATTGATCTCGAACATGAAGTACAGCCCGGCATTTCAGAGGATATTTCTCTACCTGGAATTCAACGACGGGTTGTTACCGTTATAGTGGAGATTCAAACAATGTTTCCAACCAGCAGCGAAATTACAGAGCAAATCTGTAATGCACTGCGAACAGGTTTTTCTGAAACGGAACCAGGACCGTTCGTGCTTCCCCCGTCGGAGGTTGCTCAGTATCTGACCTCGCACTCGTTCGCGACGCCACGAGTCGGCCTGTTCATCGGCACCGCCTGTTCATTTGCCAGTTCAGTACGCGGAAAAAACAATTCCCACAATATCCTGTCCGCGGTAATGGTCTGGGTCATTGGGCTGCTGAGACAGTTTCCCTTCAGAAGAAACCCATACGCTGATACGGAGACCGAAGCGCATATTGATATTTCGGCCGAACCAGAAGTTGCACAGAACGCGATAGAAATTTCCAGCCGAATCCTAACAAAGGATCTGTCTGTCATCCTTAATATTCAACCGGCAGAGATCGCCGAGTTCTTCTTTCTATTCGCATTGCAGGCTTTAGATGGAAGCGAGCCTCTTCCTAAGGCAGCGGCAGCCGAGTTTTGGGTATGTTCAAATCCCACAAACGTATTTTTTTATCACTGTACTGATTATAATTAGGCCGCATTTGTCAATACCAGAAGCAGCGACGAGGGTCTGCAGAACGCGCTGTCCATTGCTATGAACACACTCGGCCCGCTCCTTTGTCAAAGCATCGCGAGAAACATTGGAGGGAATGCTTCTCGAAGCGAGTTGGACAAACTTAGCGAGCCTTTGAAGAAGCTGATCAACCGACACCTGAGAGCGAAAGATTGGCTTGAAGCTGGGTTGAATCATCCCTCGTTCCCGAGCGCAAAGGTTTCGCAGGCTGAGAAAGCACTGTTTGTAAAGAAAGTGGCAAGGTTCGATCACCTCTACCGCTACCGGAATTGTAAGAGATGACAATCACTGACGTTTTGCTAGTCTCCGCGGCGCCCGTGCCACCAACCAAGTAGTTCGTGACTTTTGGCTTGCAGCCAGAGGAGCGAACTTTTCATATGCAGCATGAAGGGAGGGCTGAATTCAGGGATAGGCAGCTGGTTAATCTGAGAGCAAAGTGGTGTTGTACATGCGATCTATGCGGCTGTTGATACAAGTAAGACTACACACCATGATACTAGCGATATTACAAGCCCATGGCTTCCCTGACGAGGTGCATGGTCTCCTCTGCACTCTTGCTTGCCTTTCTCCCCCCCTCCTCGGCGACGTGATCGAGATACTTGATGTCCTCTATGAGTTTGTTGTAGCGTCGCCCAATGCCGTCCATGCCTTTGATAACAGCTTCGGAAACGGCCGCTTTCAGCTCTCGTGGGCTGGACTCACTGTAGTCTGCGGCTAGTTGCGACGCGGTTTTACCCTCTGGACTGAAAATTGACAAGATATCTAGTAGATTTGAGATGCCGGGCCTCGACTCCCTTTCATAACTGATGCCTGGAAGCGAGTCTGTCAGGGCAGATGATATTTTGGCATGGATTGCGTCCGCATTGTCGGTTAATAAGATGCGGGATCGCTCTAGCGGATGCGATTTTGACATTTTCGAGGTTGGGTCTGTGAGAGACATCACTCGGCATACTGGTGCTGTGTAGACGTCTCCGTTAGCTTTGGAACCGTAGGTGGACGAACCGCTCAATCTTACAGATAACAACCTCAGGATAGACGAGACAGGACCCATAAGCATGATTGAAGTTGGTAACACACTCGCGGGCAAACTCAATGTGCTGTTGCTGATCGTGACCGACAGGAACATGAGTAGCTCTAAGAGATGGTGAGCAATTTTCCCAGGCGCAAGTTGGAATTCATTTCGATTTGGTTGACTGACCTGTGAACAAGAATGTCGGCGGCTTGTAAAACTGGATAGGAGAAGAGACCGAGTTTGAGTTTGTTTCCAACGCGCCCATCACCCAACTGCGATGACTCTGCCAGGCTGAGCTTCGACTAGATGACCTATAAGTGACGAGACCAGAAGCAAAAGTTTATACATAGTGTACCTTCCACTGCGTCATCCGAGATAGATACCCTACCGATGCCGTGCACGATAGTATCCACATGAGCTCAGAGTGCCCTGCGACCTTGACAGTTGTTAGCGACGATCTTCCCCATTTACCAAATAAGGACACCTACGTCGGACTGGTAAAACAACGTGCATCTACTTGGATCAATGCCGATGGCCAGTAGTGTAGCCAGCGCCTCCCTCTTTGCCTTTTGCAGAGAGCCAGGCTTCTGTGGTACGGTGATGGCATGCAGGTCAACTATTGAGTAAAGCAGGCGAGTCGACCTGGGTTCCTCGTTTTGTCGTTGAACCCATTGCCGTAAGGCTCCAACGTAGTTGCCCAAGTGTGGGACACCCGTTGGCTGGATTCCCGAAAATATCACTTTCGGCTGTAGAGACTGGGCTGATGAGAACCTTCGCATTGTAGGTGTCTGAAGGCGCATAATGACGGCATTGCAGGATGAACTCTCGTCGCGATGTCTGGATCCCTTGGACAGCTGCGCCATGCAGGTAACGGTGCGGGTGTTGGGCGTGCGTTTAAAATACGCACCCCACCAGCTTTCCGTTTCCACCTCGTCGTATCTTCTTGAGGCAACACCAACCAAATTTTCGAAACGGTGCACGATAAGAAATGAAAAGAAATAAGATACTCAAAATATATAAAGCGCTATGATTTATGCCTAGCTACCTAGTCACATTCACTAACTTTGTGTGCCTTCTTCGTTCGATAAAGAATTTCCTGGTCTTGCGCCAAAGAGAAAACAAAAAAAAAGAAATCGAAAGAATCTTCCCAATGGAGCCATACAGATTAAAAGGGATGAGTGGCAAAAAATAATTGATAGCGAGAAACCTTTTTTATGAACAGCGATAGACCCAATATTTGGGAGCTCAGGTTACTATTCGATTTTGTTGCTTTCCTGCGATTGATAGATAGATAGTCCAAGTACGTGGTAAAAAAAAAAGAAGAAAAGAAAACACATCCTGCTGCCCACCGTCTATGAAAACTGGGCAACCCCCATGTAGAAAACACGAAAATAAAAACGGCCACCATTTAATCAAGAAAAAGATGTGAAAGCCAAATAAAAATAAAAATAAAACACCCCAAGGTGCGCGCACCAGCCAACCCAACTATATCTGATATTACAAAACGCCGCTCGAATTGGTAGAAAAATACCATAAGTTAAGGCCTGAACAAACTTTTAGCAATTTATTTGTATGCGCATCTTTCTCGCAGTTTAGAAATATGTACAGCAAAAAACTTAGACGCTGAGACCAAGCTGTACCCTGTTTATTATTACCTATCATTGGAAGTTCATCGTCGACATCTTCCCTGTCATGAGAAATTCACTGGTCGCATTGTCATGCATGGAGGTAGATTTCACTCCTCAAAACATGTTGTTGTTGTTGTTCGTTGCTGCACACACCGTGTGGCAGGACACGCTCCGTGGGCTTGGTACGAAGAATGAAGAACGCAAGCCTCTCGTGGAGACATTGAACAAAACATCATCCTGGTCGTCAAATGCTCACCACTAATGACGCTATACCTCTGTACCTCCCTCGACCACATGCACCACAACACTTCCACCGAACATCATTCATTAGTCAAGTACCTAGCCTAAGAAGTCCATAGAAAGGTCGGATGGGGAATCTCGCTACTTATAACGTAACACGGTGGGAGTCTTCGTCTTAATGTGGCATGTCGAGTGTGCTCGATCCACACAGCAGGTGGTGGGGGAGGGGTACCAGAGCCGCAACTATCCGCAAGCTCTTACGCAAGATATATCATCCCCTACCAACCACGCAGGGCCTTTCCAATGCGACTGCGGCCAGTGGTGATTCCTTGGAAACAACATATATTCCGTTTCGCAAGCCCAAGACGCTGTATCCGTACTTCTGCATCTCACTATACATCAGCATCATTCGACACCATGGATCGTGTAAACACCACACCTCGTCTCGCGGAGCTCCGCAAGCTGATGAAGGAGAACAACATCAGTGCTTACAGTGAGTCCATTTTAAGCGGACTTTGGTCAACAGAGACTAATCCGAGACAGTCGTGCCTTCTGGTGACAGCCACGCCTCCGAATATGCCGCAGACTGCTTCAACCGCAGAGAATACCTCTCGGGCTTCGACGGATCTGCTGGAACCGCCGTCGTCAGCGAAGAGGCGGCAGCACTCTCGACCGACGGCCGATACTTCAACCAGGCTACACAGCAACTGGACGATAATTGGAGACTGATCAAGTTTGGTATTCCCGACGAGATCACCTGGCAAGATTGGGTAGCCGAGCAGTGCAAGGACGGCAAAGCGGCTGGCGTAGACCCTACCCTTATCACACCCGCTGTTGCGAAGAAACTCACAGAAACGATCCAGAAGGCCGGCGGTTCTGGGCTGGTAGCAATCACCGAGAACTTGGTCGACAAGATTTGGGGCAACGAGCGCCCCACCGCCCCTTCCAACACGGTCTTTATCCACCCCGACAAGTATGCTGGGAAGACGGTCAAGGACAAGCTCACCGATCTCCGCGAGGAAATCACCAAGAAGAAGGCCACTGGCATGTACGTTACTGCTCTGGACGAGGTTGCCTGGCTCTTCAACCTGCGTGGTAACGATGTCGAGTACAACCCGGTTTTCTACTGCTATGCCTCTGTAACGCAGGATGAGGCGATCCTCTATGTAGAGGAGTCCAAAGCTGACCAGCCGGTCCGCGAGCACCTCGCTGCTAATGAGGTCAAGATCAAGCCGTACAGCAGCTTCTTTGCTGATGTCGAGAAGGCTTCTGGTGGGAAGTACCTGATTACCGACACCGCCTCGTGGGCCGTCAAGACTGCCATCGGCGGCGATGACAAGGCCGAGGAGGTCAAGAGTTCTATTACCGACGCCAAGTCGGTCAAGAATGAGGTCGAACTGGAGGGAATGCGGGCCTGCCACATTCGTGATGGCGCTGCCCTGACCTCCTACTATGCTTGGCTTGAGAACCAGCTCATTGAGAAGAAGGCTTCCATTGACGAGGCGCAGGCTGCCGACAAGTTGATGGAGTTCCGCAAGAAGCAGGATCTTTTCGTTGGCGAGTCCTTTGCTACCATTTCCTGCACCGGGCCTAAGTAAGACAGGAGACTAAGAAACATGGGAGGCAATCGCTAACACATCCTTTAGCGCAGCCATCATGCATTACCATGCCAGACACGGCAAGAGCTCGGTCATTGATCCCAACGCTGTCTACCTCTGCGACGCTGGTGCTCAGTACTATGATGGCACTACTGACACCACTCGCACCATGCACTTCGGAACCCCGACCGAGCGCGAAAAGGAGGCATACACCCGTGTCCTCAAGGGCCTCATTGCTCTTGACCGCGCCATCTTCCCCAAGGGCGCTACTGGCTTTGCCCTGGATGCTTTTGCCAGACAATTCCTCTGGGTAGGTTGCTCCCTATTTTATACGCCTTGAATATGGCTAACGATCCTAGAACGCCGGCCTCGACTTCCGCCACGGCACTGGTCATGGTGTTGGTTCGTTCCTCAACGTTCATGAGGGCCCTATGGGCATCGGTGCTCGCCCTGCCTACAGCGAGTTCCCTCTTAAGCCCGGCAACGTCATCTCAAACGAGCCCGGCTACTATGAGGACGGCAACTTCGGTATCCGTATCGAGAACGTCATCGTCGTCAAGGAGGTCAAGACGAAGAACAACTTCGGCGGCACACCGTACTACGGATTTGAAAACGTCACCATGGTCCCATACTGCAGTAACATGATGGACAAGTCCCTACTGACCCAGGAGGAGAAGGACTGGATTAATGCCAAGAACAAGGAGACTTTGGAAAAGACCAAGAGCCTTGTGGCAAACGACGAGCTGGCGCTCGCCTTCCTGCAGCGTAATACCCAGCCCATCTAAAGGCGCACAAAAGCCGCAAGGATAAAAGTTAATAAAAATGATGATGTAAACCACGGCTTCCCAATCCACATCCTTAGCACTGGTGATTCGGTCAAGAGCTTGCGGTCGATCGGAATCAGGCTTAAGACGTCAACTCCCATTCTTGACGCAATCTAGGACACCCATCAGCCATGCACAGGAACCATCGGTCTAAAGAAACCAACCTGCAAGGACCCTGCTACCAGACCACCGAGAAAGACTAGGGTGCGTGAGAAGAAGGCAATGACTACGCCGGCCCCGAAGCCTGCGCACATCAATTGGATTAGAGGGTGAAAAGAAAAAGGAAGCGATGGAGGTGCTGCATACCAAGAATGCTGCCACGCGACAGCTGCTCAATAATCCGAGGCGAAAGTCGGTCTGAAGGAGGAGCTTCGCGTTGGCGAAGTCGCCGGGCTCCGGGTGGCCGCTCGAGCGCATCGAACTTGACGGGATTGCGGAGCGCGAAGGAAACGCCGACACAGGCAGCCGGTGCGAGTCCCAAGGCAAAGAGCCTGGCTACTGGTCTGAGCCTTGACATTTTGATAGGCGCTGATTGAATTTGTGAATATGCCTCGTTGTATTATTTCCTGAAGGTGTTTGGGGGAATGTGGTTAGCCACATTTGTGACGTAGTTAGTAGGTAGCAGGTTGTGGCGGGGCAGCTACCTTTTACTAGTACTTAATTCACTGAGTAGGATCCTAAGCTTACATTGCTTTCTTTCAAATACTCAGATGCAAGTTGGAAGGCTCGATTGTCTGTTATAGAGCAATGTAAATATGCAATCGCGGAAGTTGCTGTATGCGATCTCGAGGCGCCCCGGACACCCATACAGAACGTTTAATGCTATGCATTGCGATAAGGATGCAATTAGTATAGTTTGGAACCTGCAAAGGCATATTAAAACATTAAAAATGTTCCTCCTGTATAATAGCAGCTACTGGACATGCTCACTGCTTGGCCGTGATTACTACGCATCTAATAATGCAATAGGTACAACCTGGTCAAATGTGGCTGGTGGACGGGGACTTGGCCAGCAGGTACCTTTCTGCAACCAGATATCACCGAGGTGGGGGATCGCTCACCGATGGGCTTGTACCCAGCACCAAAACTGGGCCAATGTGCTCAGTAATCTGCTCCGTAACAAACGTGGCTTCAGTGACGTCTCCATCACCTTCCGCTTCCCGCGAATAGGACACGATTCTTCTCCAACACCACTCCTGATCGGGCTCATGACAAAATATCCTGTTCCGCCCTCCCGAACACACGCCGCACGCTCGCAACATTTCTTTTTCATCGTTGCTCCCTCCTTTTCTACCCAGATCAGGTGATGGATGGTGCCCGTTTGCCCGTGGAGGCTTGGTTCTGGGAGACACCAGTGTGCACGCGATGGTGGACGACAGCGACGTTGCTGGCGAGTGCGTTGGTCCAGTGCCGCGTGGTCTCCCCATACCAGCTCTTCTACAGCTACCGGGCTGTTTTTTATAGATCACAGGTACGACAATCCCAAATCGAGCCTCCGATCGGGCTGTCGTTAACATCTTCGTGCAGTATTGGCGCCTCGTGACATCGTTCCTCTATTTCGGTCCGTTCTCGATCCATCTACTCTTCCATATATACTTCCTCCAACGATATTCGCGGCTTCTCGAAGAAGCATCCGGCCGGTCGCCTGCCAACTTCGCATGGCTTTTGCTCTACGCAATGGTCAGCCTCATCGTCATGTCCCCCCTCGTGTCGCTGCCGTTTCTTGGGCACCCACTTTCTTCGACCCTCGTATATATTTGGTCCCGAAAGAACCCGGAAATACAGCTCAACTTTCTCGGCCTTCTAAACTTCACCGCCCCGTACTTGCCGTGGGTGCTTATGGGGTTCAGCCTCATTGTCAACGGCAATGTCCCCAAGGACGAGATCATGGGTGTTGTCATCGGACACATCTGGTATTTTTTTACTGAAGTATACCCTCCCCTTCACAACGGATCGAGACCGCTGGATCCTCCGGGGTGGTGGCGCAGGCTCTTTGAGGGTAGGCCTGCGCGCCCCTCGACCGACGACGTTGACGAAATGATCCACGCTGGGATCCGCGAGGCCGCAGTCGTCCCCGAAGCTCGCTAGACACACGTGAACGGCATCTGGCATCTATGGCGCACCACGGAAAATGGAACTATTGAGCAGATGGACACATACTCTGCAGCTATCTTGTTTATCGAGTGACTGTCACCTGCGTATGGCGTTTGAAACATATTGATGGACTATAGAGGTAGCTCCGCTTTGGAGAAGTAAACCACACTACAAGTTTGAACCCGCAGTTACCTCGGGATGGCGGTTTAGGATGCATTGGTAACCTCTACATCGACTATATCTAGCGGAAGAAAGCGTGTAAAGCTGATAAGGAATCGCAGCAGTGATGGCGACATATAAACGCATGGCAATTGGCTCGCGACTGTACTATGTATAAGCTTTGTGGGGTGGCAGCATGTGGTCGGAGGGGCTTATGTAACTGGTGAGCGACCGTCTACAATGCTGACCTCTGACATCAGCGCCAAATTTTACCCCTCTTCATCACATTGCGCCAGACCAAACATGAAGGCATATCTATATGACAACCTGCCGGTAAGTGCTGCGTGGCGAATCACACTGTTGCGTCTGCTAACCTGGTAATTTAGGGCGACCAGCGCCTGGCGCACGACTCCGGCAAGATCGTCGACGCTGACGCGCTGGGCAAGCTCGGCGTGTTGTATTATCACATGCCCGAAATCGATGGCGTGAATGAACTGGCTAAGGAACGAGGCTACAAGAACCGTGATGAGATTTTTGTGTCACCAGAAAAGATGGGCGCGGTTTACGATGAAAAGGTCAAGACCTTTTTCCACGAGCACCTTCACGAGGACGAAGAGATTCGCTACATTCGCGATGGACAGGGCTACTTTGACGTCAGGAGCGAGGATGAGAGCTGGATTCGCATACAACTCGGCAAAGACGATCTGATCATCCTGCCGGCTGGTATTTACCACCGATTCACCACAGACGAGTCCAACGTGGGTGTTCGCCCCCCATATAGATTACTTTGTCGTTAACTTGAAATAGTATGTCCATGCCATGCGTCTGTTTAAGGACGAGCCGAAATGGACGCCTCTGAACCGCGGCCCAGAGCTCAACGACAACAAGTATCGCAAGGAGTACGTCAATGAGTTTCTTTCTCCATAAGAACGGGACACGGCATGCGTTGGAGAAATTTATATTGGGAAGCAGAGGCATAGCGATTAAAATAATAACAGAACCAATGAGAAGTCCCTTCTATTCTACTGACTTTGGGTCGCAAGACTTATGTGAGGGGAGAAGTTGTCGATTCTTGGACCCTACCTATGTACCTTGCCTCCTTGGCGTCTAGGCGGAAAGAACGGCAGCTGGCTAGAACGCGACACTCAACCATTTAACCCATAAATTATTTTCCGCAGCCAGCTAATCAATCGAGCCTTGAGCCTCAGGGCGGCGTTGCCTGGATGAAGCATGGTGGGGCGCCTCTCCACGGCGTTATAATTAGCAGCGTCGCTAAAACTGACTCTCGGCAGTTCGCCCTCCCCAGTTGCCGTTTTCGCGACAACCTGAATCATGCCCCTTTGTTAAATAACCCCCCAGCCTTTCGTTAGACGCCAATGCAGTCTGATCTTGAAGTCAGACTTGTGCGCAATTCGTCGTCCTGACAGTCATCCGGCCCGAGACGGCCACGAAAGATGGATGTCTCTGAGGATGGCAAGCCCAAGCTTCAGCTGCCCGCCAGCTGCGAGCCGCCGCTGAGCAAAACGAAGCCCCTCGTTTGGATCGTAGGTTGACAGCTGACGGTCCTCAATGCACACACATCAACCGCTGACATGATTATAGATTTTCGGCGGCACCGGGCACATGGGACGGTCGCTGGTCAAGTGTGCGCTGTCCAAGGGAGACTATGTCGTTTCGATTGGGCGCATCTTTGAATCCACCCCCGAGGAGATGGCTAACATGCCCGAGAACTGCCTCGGTGAGCTGTGCGATGTACGATCGCGCGATTCGGTTACCAAGGTCGTTAAGCGCGCCCTCGACCACTTTGGCCATGTCGACGTTGTCGCCAATTGCTCCGGTTATGGTGTCATTGGCTCGTGTGAGGACCAGGACGAGCATGATCTTCGAAACCAATTCGAGACCAACTTTATGGGGACGCTGCACATCATCAACGCAACTCTTCCTTATTTCCGACGGCAGAATAACGGCAGGTATCTCATATTCAGCTCCACGTCGGGCGCTCTGGGCGTTCCAGGACTAGGGCCGTACTGCGCGACAAAGTACGCCGTCGAGGGTCTCATCGAGGCAATGCTCTACGAGACGGATGTGTTCAGCATCAAAGCGACCTTGATTGAGCCAGGCTTCGTGCGTCGCGACGAGCCCATGACGAACGATTCAGACAGTCCCCTGCCGAGCTTTGGCCATTTCTTCATCAGGCCTGCTAGCGAGGGGTATTCCGACGCCACGTCTCCTGCTCTGCATGCCAAGCGGATGGTACAGTGGCTCGGTGATCGACAACCGACGAGCGCGGTCAAATGCGCGGAGCTTGTGTGGCAGCTCGCCCACTGCTCATACCCGCCGCTCCGCCTGTTGCTGGGCAGCTATGCCATTGAGAGTATACGCGACAGGATGCGTTCCGTTACGGAGGAGCTGGAGGACTGGAAGCATCTAAACTTCAATTATGCGCCTAGCGAGAAGGATGAAGAAAGCAAAGATGGCGCCATGGATATCAGTTCTTAAACCTTGGGTGGCAGGCCCTCGGGTTTTCGACGACACTATTTCACCGCTACGTGACGCATAACTATACTTCTAGTACGGCGAAGTAACGGGGGATTCTAGAATAATTACCGAATTTTATTTTTACCACCACATTTTTGTCTTGATGCCAGTCTCTCACCAGTGCGCAACGATTACGATTGTGGCCCAATTCTATATGAGAAGCATTTCCCACTTGATATATTTATGTTTATTTTTATTTTATTTTTCAGTTTTTTTATTTTTTCCCTTTTCTTACCCAAAACACACCGTCCCAACAGCTGAAATCATTTGGCTGAAACCACCAGGCACGGGTTCTAAGCGTGGCATCTGACTGGGCCCACAGTCCCCCGTGACGAATGCCAAAGCAGCAGGCGGCGGTGATGTCGTCGACCTGAACTTGGTCCTTGAACTTGATCTCATCGAATCACGCTCCACTACCCTCCCAACCGAAATCCTGGCGGCATGCATGCCCTAGAAATAATACCTGCACCTTTCTAGACTCCCATGTCGCGAGAATCCTGCTCCTCGTGCATTATCCCCTGAATCTGAGCTTCACGCGAAAACCGCCAGCTACCATGATCACTCTACTCAACAAGCGTATGTGCCTGGGCGCCTGCCGCAGCCTGCCCTCCCGGGAACTACGCGTCCCGCGTCCAAGCATCCATCACCCATTCGCGTGCCTAGCTAACTGAGTTCTCTAGCATTTGAGGCTCTCTCGGGCACAGTCGGATCTTCCCCCGATGAGCGTGTGTACATCAGAAGCGGCCGCCTACCATCAAAGTCTAACCGCCTGCAGTCAAAATCATTTTCTCATTTTTGATCTCATACCCGCTCGCCGGCCTTTTGAAGCGCATCCCTGACGCGAAGCCGGCCTACAAAAACCTCTTCATCATTAGGTAATTCCCTCGGAATCGTTGCAACCCGGCGTCTTGCTCACAACACAGCACATCATTGTTCTACCTCGTCGGACTTTTTGACCTATGGATCGGCCTCCGCACCATTGCCATCAGCTCTATCGGTACCTACTGCATCACAAAGTATCTACAAAAAAGCCCATACATGCCATGGCTCGGGTTTCTCTTTCTGATGGCGCACATGTCCATCAGCCATATCCAGCGTCAAATTCAGAATGATCCATCCGTTGTTGATATCACTGGCGCGCAGATGGTACTCCTCATGAAACTGAGCGCCTTTTGCTGGAACATTGCCGACGGCCAAATCCCAGAGGACCAGCTCTCCAACTTTCAAAAAGAACGCTCTCTGAAACAGCTCCCCAGCCTCTTGGACTACACTGCCTACGTTATGTTCTTCCCCTCCCTTCTCGCCGGCCCTGCCTTTGACTACGTCGATTATCAGCGATGGATCGACACGACCATGTTCGATGTCCCGGCGGGCGTCGACCCGTCCAAGAAGCCCCCTTCGCGAAAGAAGCGAAGAATTCCTCGTAGTGGAACCCCGGCTCTGCTAAAGGTCCTCACCGGCCTCGGCTGGATTGGTCTGTTCGTCACTTTGGCCGGCTCTTTCAACCACGAAGTCTTGACCTCGGATTCCTATACCCAGAAAAGCTTCTTCAACCGTGTCTTCATCATGTACGCAACTGGTATTGTCGCTCGCTTCAAGTACTACGGAGTCTGGACTTTGACCGAGGGATCTTGCATTCTCGCTGGTCTCGGCTACAACGGCATTGACCCTGTTACCGGCAAGGTGTCGTGGAATCGGCTACAGAATATCGACCCTATCGCCGTGGAAACGGCACAAAACCCGCGAGCGTATCTTGGTGGATGGAACATGAATACGAACCACTGGCTGCGCAATTACGTCTATCTTCGAGTCACACCGCGGGGCAAAAAGCCTGGCTTCCGAGCCAGCATGATTACTTTTGCTACCAGCGCACTGTGGCACGGCTTCTATCCCGGTTACTACCTCAGTTTCATCCTCGCTAGTTTAATTCAGACTTCAGCAAAGAGTAGGTTCCACCTCTATTGCTTCACTTGGTACCTAGATACACGGCTAACGATACCATTAGACTTCCGACGCCATGTTCGGCCGTTCTTCTTGGATGCAAACACGGGAGCGCCGACCAAGAACAAGAAGTATTACGACTTTGCCAGCTTCCTCGTCACGCAGGTGACCTTTTCATTTGCTACCATGCCATTCTTGGTCCTCAGCTTCCAAGGTTCTCTGCTGGCATGGTCTCGCGTCTACTTCTATGCTCTCGTCTGGACTGTTGCCTCGCTTGCTTTCTTCGCTTCCCCCGGAAAGGCTCTGCTGAAGAAGCAGCTCGAAAAACGACAAGGAAAGGCACATGCCAAACTTGTTAGGTCACTCAGTACCGACAGTCTCACAGGCAGTCACCCAATACTTGGCATTTCCAAGGATCCCCAGAGAGATATCACTGAAGCGATGGAAGAGATCCGCACCGAGGTAGAGGCGCTTCAGAAGAAGTCCTCATAAGCACTTTCCAAAGGGAGTTGCGATTGCCATGTAAACTCAGCAAGGATGCAGTTAATAGTTGACTGACACACCACCTTGGTGGTTGCTGATTGGCCTTCGGAGCATGTTCATCATAAGGATGGCACAAATAGAATTGCGTGAAAATAGAATAATACATTAATTTGCTAAGTAAATTATCCAAAAGAAGGTGTAATAAAACATATGACGTGTTAAACATTTCATTGACGCATCAAATATCGTCCGTCATAAGGGAAAGCTCAAAACGCTGTAGTAGCTTTCGGGGTATAAGCTGTTCGAGAGCGAGCCATAGCATACCAACTAACAGGTAGTGCCAAATAGTCCATGTAAGTCGCCTGAGTTTTCCTTTCCGTGTCCGGCATTATATAGTACAGAAATATGGGACTTTAAGAGCTGCTCCCACAGCAGCGCATCGTGGTATGGAAAAGGAAATGCTTTTGTGTATACATTGTCGAGAAAACAGTCGCCAAATTGCGTGGTGTAGTGTAAAGTTTGAATCAAGGTCGGACAAGAAAAAGATGAAAAAGAACGGGCTGATGAAAGAGATTGCTGGGTTGACGCCAAAAACTGCCAATATCGTAAGCGTGTCGTGCGTCGTATATATCGGTGCAATTCGTCGCGGCATATCTGCGCCTGAAGAAATCAAAGCCGGGTTTGAAGAAATCGAAGATGAAAAATACTGTTGAAATGGAAATGCGTAAGTAGGGCACGGTTTGTTGTGGCAGAGCTCAACTTGATGGACGCTGGCGCAATCATCTCCATCGTTGCTTAACGCCAAGCGCAATCAGAACTGCAAATGCGCCAATGATTAAGAGTCCAATAACAGCCATGGCACGGTTAAGATCTCGCCACCATTTTGCGCGGTTATAGAGAGCAACCTCCTTGGCAAGTTGGGATGGGCTGGCGCCGTCATCCTCGGTGAGGTCGATATGGCTTGTGCTAGGGAAGTTCTTTTCCTCGAGATTTCGGTTGGTCGGAAGTGGTATGAAAGCGGCGACCATCCAAGCTGTTTTAAATAGATGTTAGACTGGACGGACCAGCAAGGGCAACCAGGGGCGTACTTACCAATGGGAAAAAGGAATCCAGACATGAAAAGCACCACCTGTACATTTCGTCGCGCAGTAATGCAGCCTTCTACCGATAAAGCGCCAGCTGGGGGGTCCCAGATTGCGTGAGCGCTTGCCCTGTTGTCCTGTCGCAGGTGAGGTGACCACAAACTAGACGTCTGCTTTTTGAGTGTTCGAGCCCAACTCAGGTCGGGGTAGGACCTCCGGATGGTAACGGGCGGCGGGCCATTGGCAGTGGAGGGAGGTTCTTGCGGGAGCTGCGGAGGGACTCCAGATCGGTCAACGCTGTGAGAGCGTCTCTGAAATGAGCTCCCTGCCGGACTTTCTGTGTTTGCAGATCGAATGGAGTCGCGTGAAGCCTGGTGTGAGAGGAAACGGCGCTCGCCACCGCCATAATACAGCCTTGTTTCAACGTTAGCTCTGATTGAGCTGCGCAATCGCCTCTGAAATTTACTTCCTTACCTTGCCCACGCTGGTATTGCCCAGTTGCTCGCTCTGGCGCTCGCGGAGGACCACAAGTTGCGGTCTGAAGCATAGCTGGCCATCATACCTGGAACCCCGCCTCTACGGGAAGGGCGATACGTCAAGAGATCCCGAAGGTCTGTCAAGCCATCACCATATTCGTCTTGTTCCCCGACAAGATGATAGTTCGCGCTTGCGTCCGACTCATGTCCCTTTCCAAGAGTAGCCAGCGGCCCGTTTTCTGGATCAGATGTTGGTGTGACTTGTCGCATAAGGCTGTACTCGCCAGGCTCTGATTCTCCAGCAGAGATATCAGAACTTGTTCGTCCCATGCTGGTTTCCGCCGCGAAGGGGGACCTAGATCCAGATAGACGCTCGTTTTCTCCTTCAATTTCCGAGAATACAGTTGAGAGGGGAGGCTGTGGAGGTGAGGCTGGAGCAGATCCGCTATGTGAGGGTGCCCTCGTGCTATGAGCTCTCGGAGGATATATCCTGGAGCCAAACAAGGCACGAGCGGCATCGTGATTCATAATTGCGGACCAAGTGGCGAGGAATCTCTGGGACGACCCTCCTTGCGGGAGTTTGACGGAGATGGGCTTGTCGGTAAAGAGCTTTCTTGCCGGGTTGAGAGGCGCAACAATCAAACTTTCCCTAGAAAATTCCGACTTGAGCCTTGATGCAGGCGTGTCGGCGGCGGAGGGTGACGGTGCACCATCAAGCTTGACGCAGTTGGGTTCGCTATCTTTGGTTCTTGGGCGCGACTGACTACCAAGGGAATAATCTGATGAGCCAGAATCACCGAGAATGCGATAGTTCTGGTCACTTGAGGGGGAGAAATTGCTAAACTCGAGTGACGGCTGAGCTTGGACGGTGGCCGCGGGTACTGGTCGTACGATCCTGATGTTCGGGGTGTCAAGATCGGATACGCTTCCTACGTAGGAGCTAGGCACGGGTTTTCGCGGAATAAGCATTGAATTTTGGCGGGCGACAATCCTGGTGGTGTTGGGTGGCGGCAAATGAGCCTTTGTTGGCGTCGCAATTGGCGAGGAGATAGTGGTTTTGAACTCTGGTTCAGGGGTTTGTCGATAGACTTTGCGCACACCGCCAACGAACTCGTAGTTCCATGGTGAGGATGCGCTTGCCGCATTCTTTGCCCTTGACTGGGGCGGCGTCTTCTCATCCGGAGACGTCGGGGCAGATTCATGTTGTTGAAGGGCCAATGTCGAGCTGCGTCTGCCGTAACTAAACGTGACAGATGAGTTCCTCCCGACTGTACTGTGTGTGGCTGTTGAGTTAAGAATCGAGGTCGAGTACGGTGAGATTGATTCGTAGTCGACTTGCGGCCGGAGTGAAAAGGTTTTATCTGAGTGGACATTCACAACATGCCGTAGACGGCGATTTGATGACGATGTTGAGGGCCGTCGAGGCGTGCTAGCTCTGCGCCGATATGCGTCATGATCGGAATATTCGCATGGCGATACCGGGCTCGAGTCTGCCTGCAGGCGGTGTGTCTGGGGCGTGTCACTTTGGTAAACTTCGATGTTCGCTGGAGACGATTGAGAGGTTGAGCCACAGGCGTCTCCGTCGTGGCAATTGGGTGCAGAGAAGTCTGAGCTGAGGCGAGGAGGGCTGTATGGTACAAGTCTGATTTGTAGGTTGCCGCGATCCTGCAGAGGCATCCGTGGGGTTGACATGGCTGAGGGCTGTTGGGCGGTTATGTGTGTGCATTACAATCCCATTGCCCTGTTATACTGCTGCAGGTTTCTGGATTTTGGTTTGAATCTCAGGTTTCGGATCTCGTTTTCAAGTCCAGACAGCCAGCGTTGCTTGTAAATGTGCAATAAATGCTGTCTGTCACTGTGGCGACGGTGGTGATAATCCTTGACGTGTATAATGGGGTGTATAATAGTGGTCCGATGACAGAACAGGGCGAATCCTTGAGCAATGGGTTATTCTGAACGGGGCGAGTATCGTGAGGGCGAATTGAGATTATTGACGGTATGCGTAGTAGTAAGGAGACGTTGCGCGAAATTGGCGGACTGAGTGAGGTTGAAACGGTGAGGCGTATACGTAGTCGGTTAAGAGAATTGAAAAATAAAGTCGTAGTAGTAAAGAAAAGGATGCAAGAAAAAATTGCGAATGAGTGCGTCGAATGAAGATGGTCGAGTTACTTGAGTAAAGTACAAAAAACAATGAAGGAATAAAAGAATGACTGAGAGTGAGTGAGGATGAAGAGGATGAAGGAGAGAGATGGTGTGTGCGAGAGCGAGGCCTGGCACAAGATGCAGGTTGGCGACATGTGGTGGATGGCGGCCAGCGCACACATCACATCGACAGGACTGGCTGGGGTGTGACGACTGGACGGAGTCCCTGGCAGCTGGATGGAGCATCATGACTGGATGCTGATAATGGGAAACACAGTTCGTGACGGCTGGCTGACCCGGGCAAAGGAAGCCAATCCTCGTCCATATTGGAGCAGAGACACCATGCAGGTCCCAGCGGCTGCAGCTAGTGGCGTATGTTTAATAACTTTGTGCATGGGGGAGCCACTCGAGATCCATTCTGGGCAGCCGTTTATTGGGCAAGCCAAGGAAACAGGTCGCAGGCTGGCCAGATGTTTCTGTGCTGAATCTTGCGGTGAGGTGAGCATCCGGAGCAGCTCAGTCGTGTTTGCGGGGGCTTGGACATGTTTCTGTTTCGAGCATGTAGGGATATCCGTACATGTATCCGTAACCGCCTGGATGGTGCCCTGGAGTTAGTGGAATGTTCGGATACCAAGGCTGAAGGTGTTGGAAATATATCGCATGACCTCCTTACGCTAGGTAGCCTCATTCACCCACCCGTGCTGGTGTGCTGCGTGTGCCTGGCCAGGTACAGCCTTCGCCCCTGCCCCTTTGTGCCCGCTGGAGTGGTACGTACTGGATCGGGACAGACTGGACCAGACTACCGCTGTGGATATTGTTTCCTTTTTTTCTTTTTTCGTCTTTCTCTTCCGTGCTTTGTTTTCTTCTTACTATTATCAGCGGCCCTGTGCAACTACCCGCAGCAGATGCAAACCGACGCACTGTCAAGTGCAAACAAGCTTGCACAGAACGATCAAGACATCGCAAATGTAGCCATTCGATTGCAGCATGTCGCAGACATTGACAATTTGTCCAAAATGACTGGCCAAATCGCCTTGGCAAGTTGAATCCTGCGACAAGTACCACCTGTGGCACAACACCTGCATATATCTATGTACTTCGTAGTATCCAGACTCCCAACGCCATGGACAATTCACAAGCAAAATGTGCTATGTCGTAAAAGTCACACTGGGCGCCCAGCGCTTCATGAAACGACAGCTGGTCACCGGTATCCAACGCTGTCGTGGTCCCAGCCAGTCCCACTGCTGACCAGTGGCTATCGAGCCTCAAGTCAACTAATGCAGCGCTATGCACTGCACACTGGGACCTGCATGTACTGTGAAATTGCACATGTCACGTACAAAGTAATTTTAGCATCCAGCGCGTCTCAACGCGAAACGCGTCTTACTTGGGTACAGAGCCACCGCTGATAATGCTGACTGTACGGATTATATCATGACAAAAAAAAAAAACAAATAGAAATGCACAGACAAAATTTTATCTGTGCCATGAATAACTTCCAAGTACCAAGCATAAGATCAAAAATCCACAGTTGGAAACTGATACATATCCTTTCCCCCTACACACCACCATAGTTACCATTCCATCCCATCCTCCCCCAAACCCAACCCAAACCTGCTTCCCCAACCCCGCGTAACCGCGCGCTAGCTTCACCATGAACGCATGCATGCATCTCCAATCTCCATAATCCAGCGTCACCATCAATCTAGGTAGCTATGTCATCAACAGATGCGAGCAAGCAATCCGACCCAAGCGTGCTCCCAAAATCCAGTTACCCATGCAACGCGATGCTGCTCATGACACTCGGTCCGTACATCAGCCTGATCCAAGACCCACACCAACGCAAACTAAACCTACCAACTGTTGCAACTGCCCATGATAACCCTATTTTTTCTGGCAACTATATCGTCGGGACCAAAAGTCAACCACGGCCAAGCTGCCAACCACCGACTTCCCCTGCTCACCCCGCCTACACCGCACCACGTTGGTCGAAACAACCCCCTATCCACGATGGAGACCACAGCCGCTTCTCCAGCCGCCGAGCTAACCACGTTACAGGCATCGGCGCTGATGGTACGCTCTGCTCTTCCCAGCGCACACCGCCACCAAGCTGACACCACACAACCCAGCTGGCATACTCCGTCATCTACGTGCTACCCCTTTATGCATCAGATGCTACAAGGCCCTCCCCGTCACGGTCCAGAGATGACCTCGCCGCCATCCGTGCCCGTGTGCGAGCCGTGACGCTCTCCACCGTCGCCTGCTCCGTCGTCACACTCATCACCATATACCGCCTCGACCAACAGCATGCCGCCCTCTACTTGATGGGCTACTGGCCCGTTCGCCTATCTGAGTCGGCCAAGGCTACGCTGCTCACAGCCATCCTCTTCGCCGGCCCTCTCTACGAGAGCCTCCTTATCGACGGCGGCTGGCGCCATCTTGGCTCCGGCTTACAGCATCTCTGGCGGAGTTGGCCAGAATGGCGCAACATTGTTGCCGTAGGCAATCACCGGCTATATGCCAACTATCGATTAAGAAAATTGATGAACTAACTCGTCACAGGGACCTGTTACCGAAGAATGTCTATTTCGCTCTGCCGTAGTCCCGCTCCTGGTATTGGCCAAGGCTAGCCCCGTTCATACCATCTTTCTCTCGCCTCTTGTATTCGGCGTTGCTCATATGCACCATTTTTACGAGTTTCGCCTCACCAACCCCGAAGTTCCCATCTGGGTGGCGCTCCTGCGCACGGTTATTCAGCTGGCATACACATCTGTGTTTGGAGCCTATGTCACGTTCCTATTCCTTCGAACAGGATCCCTTCTCGCTGTAGTGCTCGTACACGCATTTTGCAACTCTTTGGGCCTTCCCCGGGTCTGGGGCTATATGGAACCGTATTGGCTACCCACGAACACAAGCAGGGGTACGCTTGTGAAGTGGACGATCCCATACTATATTCTTCTGGTTGGCGGCCTTATGTACTGGTGTCAAAACCTATACTCACTCACAGACTCTCCCTTTGGTCTCCTTTGATAATATGGGTAGCAAGCAGCGCCACACAACAAGCTTGGTCATAAATATACAATGTTCACCATGGCTATAAATTACCAAATGAGGCCCGTCTCCTTTTTGGCTCAAACTAATGACACTCTTTCAGGGAAACTATTCTGCTCTATTCTATACAACTGAAAAATGTCAGCAGCGTAATAGGAGCATACCTCCACCACACTACCGGGCATCCTGCTTCACCCCAGGCAGTGACCCGGGCATGGCATAGTCATCCTCATCTCGCCACGACCGCCTCTGGCGCATAGACGCTGGATCTCTTGTATCCGCATGGCCAAACGAGTCCCGACTGCGCATGTCTTCGCGAAGCTCGCGCTCGCTCTCCTTGCCCTTAGCACGGCCCATGGAGCCTGAACCCTCACCCAACGCATCATCCGGGCCTCGTGTATTCTTCTTACGCGGCCAGAGACTCGGGAGAGCAATCTCCTGGAACCGCGGTTCCACGGCCCGCTCATCGAACCATTTATGTAGTCTGGCTTCGACGAGCTGGGCAATTTTTGGGACGTCTTGCAGTCGAGACCGACTTCCTAACAGGCTCCTGACCGAAAAGTCCAGTCGGTAGTCGTCTAAAAAGTTGAATGTCATCATGGCCGGCGTGGACTGGGATGGATTGCTCGGGATGAACGAAATCGAAAGAGTCCCGCTGAACCTGACGACCGACACAGCAAGGGCAACCGGTAGAATGGCCGAAAGCTTCTTTGGATAATTCAAGAGTAGCTTCGTCTCTACCGCCAGAGTGAGCATATCGCTCAGGTCCACGTCCATTCGCGCTTGGAGACGGGTGCCGTCCCGCGCTGCTGTCGCAGGATCAAATCGAATGCCCGCTCCGAGACTAATGCCGTCCTCGTCCACGGGGATTATGCGACAGTTGCTGAAAATCGGGAAATCCTCACCCAGGCTAAGCTCCGTCACACGTATCTCGTCAAGGAAGTCTGGGCGTGAAGTGCCGTTGAGCGCCTTCGTCAGTGAGTTGAGGATAGCGTCGTCGTGCTGTGCGTCGCTGCGGAACTGAGCAATCGTCTGGCCGACCAAGACATTGAACCAGTCTAGGCTCTCTGGCTGGTGGCTATCGACATTGTAATACGTCTTACTCAGAATTGAGCCGATGGTAAGGGCCGGTGGATTGCGGAGGACTGTTGACTTTTTGCGATTTAATCCCTGACCATGGCGGTGGCCCTGAGATCTCAGGGTAAGCAGGGACTGCTTGTGTGCCAGGGTCCTGGAGCGGCGCTCCGTTGCGCGTAATGAGGCCGTGACATCTGGTGAAGGAGGGTCTCCGAATATGAAAAACTTGATAAACGCGGCAAGTATCACAACAACGGAGATCTGTCCGACGATAAATCCTTGGGTGAATGAGAGCCTGAGATACGCGTCAATAAAGAGCTGCTGGGAAGGAGGGTTGCGTGTACTTCTTACGTTGGCTCTGACCGCGCAGGACAGTTATTTGTCGTCATTTCCAAGTCTCGCGCCGTTGTTCAAGCTCGCTGCCTCCTTTGGTCTACTCGATGCCAATGCTGGTAGAGGTGAGAGCTGATCCCCGGCCCTGAAAGCCAGTGACGTTTGGCGGGGCTGGTGCATAGGTGAGTTTTAGCGCCCACTTGAATGACCTCGTTCAGCACTTCTCAACTGCAACCACGACCATTTAGGATTGACTCCCCAATACAAAAGCATTCAATGCGTCGCCATTGCATTGAGGAGCGGCAAAAAAACGACCAGTAGTATGTGGGCACTTTGGTTGCCATGGTTTTGACTGTGCGACGTTATCCTTGAGCATCGTTCCTTCTACCGCCACGAAAGCTCTACCCGCCGAGCGATCTCTGACAAACAACTTAGTCGCCGGGCTCTGGCGATAGGTTGCCATCTGCGCGCCCTATTATGATGAAACAACCAATCGGATTAGCTTCTTCAATATGGGCACCTCTCAAGCAGCGCTCCCGCGACAGCTCCAACCCGTACGCTATCTATGACAGCGCGCGATCCCGTTCTGTGCCGCCGCCCGCACCGTCTACGACGACTCCCGCGACACCAAACAGCACGCCACTGGGCACTCGCACATCAACCACACTCGCCGCTGGCTTGAAGCCTCCCCAGGCCTTGCAACGCTTCGAGCAGGCGTGCCAGCGGCTACGATGGAAGTATCTGGACCTCGAGGCTGCCTACGAGCGAGCGATAGCGCCCTCCGCCTGGGCCTTCACCCCCGATGACGCCGAGCGCAACTTTAAAGTCGACTTTTACGAGTTTTATGCGTGGATCGAGCAGGCAATTGTCCTTCTTCTGCTCGTCTTTGCCGTCACGATCCCGCGGGAGCGCGGCAGCGGCGGAAGTCGAGGCGGCTCATCGTCGCATGCGTACCATCACAACGTTTTGCGAGCGCTGGACGAGGAACCCAATCCGCTACATGATGTACTTGGCAGGGGTGACGTGAACCAGGCTCTGTGGAAGGCCAAGGAGCTGCGGAACCGCTGGAAGGACGCGGCCGAGGGTCGAGAAACTCCGCCACTCAAAATGTATGACCTTGCATGGATTATGGGCACGGTGCTACGAGGTCTGGAGGAAGGCTACAACTTGGCGAAGAGAACCGCGACAGTTGAGGAGATTATCGTGGACAATCCTGATGATAGCGGCGAAGGCTGGGATTGGATGGTAGAGGCCATGGACTGGGAAGCCTAGAGTCTGTATGTTGATGTGCTTGGGTGCTGTTAGGGTGCTGCTTTTCTCCGTGGTGTCCTTTGAGGGTGCTGTTATTCTGGATTTAGATAGATTGCGTGCATGGCGCTTGGATTGCGGTGTTTGGTCGTATCCGCCCCCACCGCCATGATGCGGCCAACAGCTTTACCTTCTATGATTAAACGATAGTGAAAACACCATAATATCATCACCATTATCACCTAATGATGCTCTTCTTTCACATTCTTGAACCTGAGAAGCTCCGGCCATGCGCGTTAAGCGACTGGGGCTTCTTGCCACCGCCCATAAGCATAGTGCTACCCTGTATGAGACTATGGGAAACGATTTACCAGCGCGGCAGTCGATGTTCTTGTACCGTGCGTTTTTCATTGGCCTTTGGTGTCACATCGAGCTTCCACTGTAGAATATAGAGATGATAATACATTGGCAATTCAGCATTTAGTGAAGCTCTTTTAGGATTCGCTCCGCCTGTAAATTGAACAACCCTTAACTTAAAGCCTGCTGTTGGGCCGAGCTAGTTGGCTAAGTTGACAATTCCACATTGATAGCATTGGACAGTCCACGGACGAACTTTACAGAATCCAGAACCAAACAATTATGCACCCAAGTACCGAATAACACCGGAACCCGCTACCAACAAATCTTATTCTCATCCTACTACAAAATGGCTATCGCTTTTTGGTGATATGCCAGTAGCTAGACCCCGCCAAATACGCTTCCGATCCACCCTTTCAAACCGATAACCGGCGCAATTCCACCTCGCTCTGACGCAACACGGCCCGTACCCGAGACAGCCTGTTTCACCTCTTCCACCTTCATCGCCATCCTCTCCCCTCTCATAGCCTCTCCCAACCCCCAACCATCTACGTACGCACCTGCTAGGCTCAACCACAAATCAACATGCCCGGCATCGCCCGTATCGCTCTTGCGGCCTCTGCACTCGCAGCCGCCGTCCATGGCGCCGTGCCCGCCGCCCAGCACCCGCTCGGCAAGCCCAAGCCGCTCCTCGTCGACTCGCAGAAGTTGCAGGACCTCGTCAGCATCGACAACCTCTCCAAGCGCGCCGACGAGCTATACCAAATTGCCAAACTCTCCGAGCCCGACTTCAATCGCCCCACCCGCGTCATTGGCAGCAAGGGTCAGTTCCCATCCTCCATGCCGTTCGTGTCTCGTCTGCTTCCCTGCTAACCAGCCACAGGTCACGAAGGCACGCTCAAGTACATCATCGACACCCTACACTCGCTCGGCAAATACTACAACGTCTCGACGCAGACCTTCCCCATCGTGACCAGCACCGTCTTCGAGTCGCAGCTTGTTGTCGGCGACTCTGTCTACACTGACGCCAAGCCCTTCAGCCGCACACCGGCGACCAAAGATAGGGAGCCCGTCCACGGACCGCTGGTCCTCGTAGCCCATAATGGCTGCGAGGCGGGCGACTACCCTACCGCGGCCGCGGACGGTATCGTGCTGGTGCAGCGCGGCGAGTGCGCCTTCGGACACAAGTCGGAGCTCGCTGGGCGTGCCGGCGCCAAGGCGGCCATCATCTACAACACCGATGACGAGGACGTGAGCGGCACGCTCGGCGACCCCGAGCCGCATCAGGTCGCCACGCTGGGCCTCACCCACACCCGCGGCGCGGCCCTCGCCGACCGGCTGCGCGACGGGGAGCGTATCGACGCCATCGCCTACGTCGACGCTGCCGTGGAGACCATCCACACTCGCAACGTCGTGGCGCAGACAGTCGGCGGTGACCCGGATAACTGCGTCGTGCTTGGCGGCCACAGCGACAGCGTCGACGCCGGCCCGGGCATCAACGATGACGGCTCCGGCTCGCTGGCGCTGCTCGAGGTCGCCGTGCAGCTGTCTGGCTTCGCGGTGCGCAACTGTGTGCGCTTCGCGTGGTGGTCCGCTGAGGAGGAGGGGCTCGTGGGCTCGACCTTTTACGCCACGTCGCTGTCGCCCGCCGAGAACCAAAAGGTGCGCGTCTTCGTGGACCTCGACATGCTCGCCAGCCCCAACTACGCCTACCAGGTCTACAACGCCACCAACGCCGCCAACCCCGAGGGCTCTGAGCAGCTGCGCGACCTCGCCGTCGACTGGTACACCAGCCAGGGCCTCAACCACACCTTTAGTGAGTTTGACGGGCGCAGCGACTACGTGGGCTTCATCGACAACGGGATCCCCGCTGGCGGCTGGAGCACGGGCGCCGAGGGCATCAAGACGGAGGCCGAGGTCGCGCTGTTTGGCGGCGTCGCAGGTGAGTGGTACGACAAGAACTACCACCAGATTGGCGACGACGTGAGCAACCTGAACCTGGAGGCTTGGCAGGTCAACACCAAGGTAAGATAGTGTGTACGCGTGACGGATGGACTGCCTCTAACTGTTGCATAGCTAATTGCGCACACTGTTGCCACATATGCCCGCTCCTTCGAGGGCTTCCCCAAGCGCAAGCAGGTTGCGTCGACGGCCGCCGAAAACGGCGCCGCCTCCAGATTCAAGTACCGTGGACCGTTTGTTCTTGTCTAAGCATAGTTCACAGACACATGTTTGCATTTCGGTCGGTGTTTAGATAGCATGTCTTTTGATCTATCTGATTTTATATAAATAGCGTTCTTAATCGGACATTGGCTTCTTAGCGCATGCGTGTCCCGTCTGTACGTGCATGCATCAATAGTTATCCATAGCCAGCAGGCTCATCAGTGACTGAAGCAGTGCGGTGTCTGATTTTTCCATGGCCTTCTGCGCCCCCAGCACAGCGGTCTCGGCCTCTTCGACTACTGCTAGCCTGCTCTTCAGATCCCTCTTGGTGTCCTGGATGGCGGAGACCTTGCGTTCGGCGGCAGCATGCCCGGCTTTCAGCGCCGCCTTGATGCTAGAGTCGGGATCGGTCGGAGTACCGTTGGTATCGGAAGCCTGGCTGACGCCGCTCACGGCCGCAATTCTGGCCTCGGTGTTGGCAGGCCGCGGAACCTGCCAGAGATGGAGCGCATTGCACTTTGTGAGCAGCTCGATGATTTTGAAATTGTCGCCTCTGTATACTGTGTTGCAAACCTTACGGCTAAGATCTCCGCATGGCGAGGCATCACTGGTTGAAGCTCACTCTCGAGAGTGTCCGGAATCTCCAACACGCCCTTCATTGCATCCAGAGATCTGGCAGAGAGAAGCTGTTCGTATTTCTCGTCGCGAAACTGGTCGAGACTATACGAATCGACTCCCCAGCTTCCCGAAACCGGGCAATACTCTGAAACTAGCTGCTGGGTGTCCAAGAAGAGGTCATGGTGTGGATGGCTTGTGTCTGGCTCTTTTTGTTCGATCGAGGTGTGCCCAGACGAGTAGAACTCATCCATCATTCGAGCTTTGGCGACCTCGTAGAAATAATTGGGAAACGGCATGGCCGAGGTTAAAAATTGAAATCAGAAACTAATTATCGTCAATTGGAAATCTGAGCTGGGGTTTCAGGGCTGCTGGAGCACTTGCCGGTTAGTCATCTTGACGGACTTTGGCGATACGGTTTTCGTTTTTTCAAGAAGAGCCCTTTACTAGATATTTTTCGACGCTTTGAAGAGGGAAAAGTATGTGATGGAAAGTGCGTGCGAACTCAGAGTGTGATGCTTCTTGATGGTAGTAGAGTCCCGGAAACCCAGTGCCGTGGATGGTCGTAATTGGGGGTTTTGATGGAGGTGTACAGAAGAAAGGGACATGCGTATAAGAACGGAAACTGAGCGCGGGTGTGAAAGAGCAGAGATTATGTATATCTGAGGGAGGCGTAAAGTTTATGCCCATTCTCGTTTGCTACTCAGGCGAGAGGTACGTTTGCACCTGCGGCGGTCGAAACTCTTGATTCACACCCCGCCGCTCTTCTCAGCACACCAAATGGGCTGTGAATAACTACAGAGATAAGGAAGTGAATGAACAAAAGGGACGGTCGGATTAACATATCTTCTTTCTGGGTTGCCACGCCTCGCAGTCTGTCGGTCTCTCAACAAAGTCGCTTGGTTCGCTTTGTAGTTTAAGTTTACTCGGCGCGCCTGGCCATAATGATTCGAGCTCTGGAAATCCTCCGAAAAAATATTTATCAATGATTTATTTAAATATTGTCACAACTGCTTACCTGGTAGACGGACGGTAGCATCGACCCAAAACGCGTCCTCCTTGCGATAGGACAGCGGCAACATCAATGACAGAGCACAAGGAGCTGAAAGATAACAACTTCTTTGAACGGGACTAGTGGCAAGTATTCTCCATAGACGATTTTATTTGAGATGACTGCAACCTGTTGGAAGACCACATTGACACTGCGAGGGATATCGAGACGATAACCTCACATGAATTTAAGTGATGCGGTCATGTCTTTTTCGCCTATACTTGCCTTCTAGACGGCGGCTATATAGAAATGAATGCTGCAAAGTTTACAGCCTGCCGTCCTCCGGCGCGCTGGCAGGCTCCGGCTCCGACCCCTCCAACAACCGCTCCTCCTGCCTCGCATCCCACCAATTCTTCTGCGCCTCCTCGAACCGGTTCTGAGCGGCCTGCATCATCTCCAGCGTATCCTCAATCGAATTTTCCACGTGTGCCAGGTCGAACAGCATTTCCTCGCTCTCGTACCCCCAGCCCCCGTTGGCCTGCCGCCTCCTCGCCTGGAGCCTTCTCAGGTGGTGCTCGACCTCGGCCTTGTTGTCCATCCACAAGCGCAAGTTGAGCTCGAGTACCTCGTACATCTCGCGGCTGGTCTGGTAGATGCGCCCGATTGCCGCCCGCTCCCGCTGTGCGCGCTGCGCGGCATCGCGTGTCGCGGCCGCCGCAGCCGGGTCCGTGTCCGCGACCTGAAAGAGCCACATCGCATGGCAGGCCGCGAGCATGTTGACCGCATACGTGACATGGCTGTTGGCCTGGTGCGGAGGCAGAGCGAAGCGCAGCGTCAGCACCTCAGACTTGAGCGGCAGCTGAGCCTTGTAGTCACCGCGCGCGTGGTATGCCTCAGCGGCGGCACGGCCCCGCGCCCAGATATGCTGGTACAGGTCTTGCATCTTTTTCAGGTCAAGTCTCCGGTTGGCCTCCGTCTCGGGCTGCAGAAAGACTTTGTCAAGATGACTCCGCGTCTCCTCCCAGAGGCCGTGCAGCTCATGAGTCTTGTCCACTTCGTCGCTTTTCAGGGTGGTATGGCCACTCCAGTGGAATTCTGCTTTCATCCGGCTCTCTGCAGCTGCAAAGTTCCATCCTGGGTTGACGGGCGGCTGCTCCAGCACCTCCCTGAGAGCGGCCCTGTTGTCACACATCCTCCTTCCTCCTTGGTTGATGGCCAGCACAGTGACTAACGATGTTGACCTTTGCCTGCGGCAGAAGCGGGACTACCTCACGTATAACGCCTTTTTGTATGAATGGCTGAAGAAATTTGAAGGTGATAGGGTCGCTCAGGTTGCTCTTCAATGTCTTTGGACGCTGGATTGCCACCCGAAGTAGACCGCACGGTTGTGAGGGAAGCAAAACAGTCGCGAAAATCTGTGGCCAATCAATCGAGAAGATTCAAAATCTGATTTGTCTGCGGATGTAGTGTAACATTGACACGGTGTTTATTTTGCGACCGTGTTTTACAGTATGGTGCTGGTGCTGTACCACACGGCGGTGCTGGCTGTTGCACGCTCATGCTGTATCCATGTTCTGCTATTTTCGTGGAAGCGGTAGAAATGGATTTAAATGATTTGAGTAGATGAAAAACTACCCTCATTCAAGTTTGGTTGTGGGAAATTCCAGCCTGGTCCCCATCCCGCGGAGGAGAAGGTGTTGTCTGATGGTCGACGGGGGCATAGGCATGACACTCGCCTCACCAGCACTCTGACCTAGTTTCTGGACACAAAGCTATTTACTAAAATGCTATGGCTTGAATATTATTTTCAAGCAAAAAAAGGAAACGGCGAGAAGAGTTCGCTCTATTTCAATGCATCCGGAAACGGACTTGGGAAAGGGGGTAGACTGTGTATTCCGGACGCAATGTTCGCTGTTGAGCTTGGGTACCGACATTACAGTATTTCTCCTCACAAAGGGAAAAGCATAGAGAGAAGAAGTTGCATACGGTAATTATGGAATAGCGCACAGGACAACTCTTTTATATTTGTATAGGCAACACTCGTGATTGCGCGAACAAGTCCTCAGACGTACTGGCACTGAACGCCACTGGCATCGGAAGAACAAGACGTTTGCGGCTGCCCATTAACAGTCACTTCCACAATGATTGCTCCCTCAGGGGTCACAGTTCCTTGACCGCCCGATGCCTGCGCATCGGTGAACTGAACCTGTCCAAAGTCGGCAAACGGCACGCTCCCGCCGCCGGAGAGGAAGTCCTCCACGATCCACTCCGCGTCTGCGAGACAGAGACTCTCGGCCTGGCCTTCAAAATTCTGGCTGGCAGACTGCCCGGTGCTCAGGTTCTCAATGGTCGAGTTGCCGCCGTTGGTGCCGTCCGCGTACACGGTCATGCGGAGCTGATGTCCCGGCTGCACGCTCAGGTCGACGGGGTAGTCGTAGCTCTGCTCGGGGTACCACTCGTACCAGGTCTCGATGCGGCCGTCGCCCCAGACCGTGAATCCGGTCTGGAGGATGGAGGTCTGGCAGGAGTAGCCGTCGATGCCCACCCAGACTGCCGCGCCGGCATTCGGGTCTTGGCCGCTCACGGTTGGAACGGTGGCCGTGCCGGTCACCATGGTCCAGCCTTGACCCTCCTGCACGGCACCGCCCCATGGGGAGTCACCATGCTGTCGGGCCACTGCAGGCGTGCGTATGGCGGGATGAGGAAGGTTGGTGTAGTGAGATGATGGCCACGCCCGGCCAGAGGCAGGGACAGATGATGCACCGAGAGCGGCGAGAAGAACAAAGAAGAACTTCATGATGATAGCAGCGGAGGATATAAGGTAAATCAAAGTATATAAATGAAGTTGGTTTCCTGTTATCTTCTGGTATCTGGTGATCAATACTCCTTTGCTCGTTATATCGGGAGTTTAAATAGTTCACGGCACATCTGTAAGTAGTAGTGGTGTCGCGGTCGAGCCATGCTCGAGACAGTATGATTCGACGAGTGCATCCATCGTTAATAAATTTTATATTGAAGATTTAATTTGTTTGTCCGTGATAGTGAGCTGTACTCCTCCTGGCGGTGCCTGACTGTCTCTTGTCAACCTGAAGGAGGAAGGCTGACGGCTCTGACGGCTCAGAGGTGAATTGGTACAAGTGGCGAAATTGACATACCTTCCTTCGTTGGCTAGTCACGACAATTTATGCGCGCTGATAATATAAATATAGTAAGGCTAGCTGCTACCTTTATATATACATACACTGCCGCTCGATCCGTTGCGCAGCTCTAGCGGATCAACGCTGGCGCTGGCTCGGAAGACACGAATCGCCCAAGATCTCGACTCGCATTGTAAGCGAATTCTGACAAGACACTGCAACATGAAAGCGTAACCTTCTCTTTCCGGAAGATGACTTTGCGTTGTCGCACTCTAAGTAAGAAATACATTTTCCTCGTACTTCTCTGCTCCTCCCGAGGGTGGTTATCGCCTGGCAATACGCTGCTTATATTTTAGTGCTGGATGGCAGACAAGATCGTAAGCGGCGTGTTTGACTTGCCGGATTTCAAATTATTCTGCAATTGTTAGCTTAGGAAGACATTGTAAAGAAGAGCACACCGTTTGAGCTTTGAAATCTATTAAACTAATCTTGCCAAAAGCATGAATGCGCACATTTGTCATTACGGAATCTTGCAAGTCATTGACTCTGATGCCGACTGACCGTGCGAACGACGGCCTAGGTGGAAGGGCTCCTGTCGACCACGCTATACTGCGTTGACATTTCAAGAACTAACGTGGTCTCGTCTATTTCATCTCCAGTCCAGTCTCAACATCACCGTACTGCGTTTTCCACAGGTCGATCAAGTAATTGCTTCGCGGCGCCCAGACGCCCGTGCCGCCCTTCGGCAACTCTTCGTTGACCTTTTGGAGATATGTCGCCGACAGACTAAATAGCGGCTTGGGCGTCATAGACTTGGACGAGGGATCGACTCGAGGAATCGAGACGGTCGCCTTCTTGTCGACCATTTCGTTGATGACGCGGAGAGCCAACCGCGCAGCGCAATCGCAGCCCAGCGTCCACGCGGCGTTCTCGAATCCTATGGTAAAAAACAGATTCGGCACGTCCTGCAGCATTGTGCCCTTCCACAAAAAGGATTTAGCGTAATCAACTACCTTGTTGTCCACAGCGACCGTGATGCCACCCGCGAAGAGGAGCTTCAGCCCCGTGGCGGTGACGATGGTATCTGGAAAGAGTGTCTCGCCCGATGTCAGATTGATGCTGTTCTTCGTGACAGACTTGATTGTATCCGTCACGACGCTTGCCTTTCCAGAGCGCAGTGCTGCAAAGATATCGCCGTCTCTGGCTGCGCAGAGGCGCTGCTCCCACGGGTTGTACCGAGGGTTGAAGTGCGGATCCCACGGCACGCCCTCCGGCAGCAACTTTGCGTTTTCATATCGAATGTACTGCTTGGACAGCCCAGGCCACGCTCGACAGGCCGCAATCATGAAGATTGTCTGTAGAATCCAGCCGACTCGGTGCAACCAGTACGCGACGGCCCAGGGCAGCACAGTGAAGACCACGGACGAGAGAAAGCCACGTGATGGGAGCGGAAATATGTATGTCGGACTGCGCTGCAGCATCGTGACATGCTTAGCTTTATCCGTCATCGACGGCACGATCGTGATGGCCGTTGCACCACTACCAATCACCACCACGTTCTTGCCCTCGTATTCGTAGTCTTTGGGCCAGAACTGTGGGTGTATCACGTCACCCTGAAAGTCGCTGATGCCGGGAATTGTCGTTTGGAGCGGCTCTTGGTAGTCGTAATACCCCGTGGCCAAGTAGATGAAGCGACTGTATAGCACAACAGGCTCTGTGCCTCCCGGCACATTATGGATGACCTGCCATCGCGATGCTTCCGACTGCCAATTCAGTGACGTCACCTTGTGGCCCAGGCGAATTTTCTTCATGACACCCGTCTTGGTTGCCGAGTCAATCAAGTACTGTTTGATGTCACGACCGTCTGCTAGCGCTTCTTTTCTGGGCCACGGATTCCACTGGAAGGCGAACGTGAAAATGTCCGAGTCGGATCTGATACCGGGATACCGAAACAGGTCCCAGGTGCCGCCTATCGAGTCTCGTGCCTCTAGAACGGCATAGGAACTTCCGGCTGGCGATGATTCCTGGTAACGATACGCTGCATTGATCCCCCCGATGCCCGCTCCAATAATGACGAGGTCTAGGTCGATGTCGGGGCTTTTGGAGGCCATGGTTGCATGTGTCGTGGTATTGAAGCTGAGTTGATTTGAGTATACTCGTAAAAGTAAGGGGTGAGTAAAAGAATATATAGATATGGGCTGTTCTGATAATTCGGTCGCTAATCTCTCCTTATATATCGCAGACTTTGAGTCGCGCAAAGCTGCTTCCGAGGAATGCCCCATAGCCGCCGGCCGAATAAACTTCTCCGGCTTCCGTTTCTACCCTCTGAACTTCCTTACTAAAGGGGAATATAAACTATCAGAGTTTCGTAGCTAGGGTCTTATCTCCGAGTGCGTATTGCCTGCCAACTTGCTACCACGAGCCGAGGTCTGCATCGCCGTCGCCTGGGCTGATGATGATGTAGATTGAAGCACCCGCAACTTTTTTGAGCAGGTTTCTAAGCCGAGGTTACCGTATGTGTATAGTTTGATCCTAACATCCTATCGGGGCATCCTGGCATACATGTCGCTATCGAGACGTCTCAGGTGCGCAGCACTACACGACCATCAGAGAGACTCATACAGGTTGTCAATGGACATATCTCGGCATTCTAGTTCACATGCTCGCGGCTTTTTCATAAATTTTCTGAGATAAGAGAAATAAATGAATGTAAACACACTGATTCCATTTGTCTAAGCGAGCCACCGTTGCCACCACTCAAGCCCGCACTTCGCACCCTACGTAGTCAAGACTAAACAAGAGCTTGTCTGTATCTATTCATTTGCCACGGCTGCCATCTTGTGAATCTCCGAAACATAACCGAGCTGAGTAGGAGCTTCCGTCAGAATTTGTTAAAGTTCATCTGCGGACGTGTGCTTTGCAGGTAGGTGGTGGGGGATCTGGGCATCTCACCGTCTCAGTGCCTCCGGCAATTCCCTTCACGCCAAGCAGCCACGCAAGCCAAGAGCGCGAAAAGTTCTTGGTTGCCAACCTGGCATCCTCGTCGGCAATTCTAGGATTAAACACGACAGTATGTGGAAGTTTTGGGTCGATGACGGATGGCCGCCCGACGCCCACCATGTCGCAGGCACCGGACTTGACAGCGTGATCGAGACCGAGCCGGCTGCGGAAGCCACCAGTCACCATAAGATGGGTGTCCGGAAAAGCCTTGCGGACTGCTTTAGCAAACTCGAGGAAGAAGGCCTCCCTAGCTGCCGTGCTGGGCGACACCTTTCCCTGCGTTGCGGCTGTTGTGGAAACCATGTTCTGAGGGTGGCTGTTAGCCACATACATGAAGCATCAGGCGGAAACATAATTGTCAGATCTAAATGTGACCTGAAAAATCATACCTGGGGGTCCTCATAGTTGCCGCCGCTAATTTCGAGGAAATCAACACCAGCATCGACAATGTCCTGAAGCTGTTCGAGACAATCGCCAAGCTCCCCGAAGCTCTGGTGGTCGACGCTATTAATCTTGAGCCCAACACAGAAGCCGCTCGGTACCTCTGCCCGCACAGCGTTGATCACATCGACCACGATTTTCGCACGCTTCTTCAGCGAGCCTCCGTAGCTGTCCGTTCTCTTGTTCGTCTTCGACGACAGGAACTGCGCCAGGAGATATCCATGGGCGACGTGGATCTGCACGCCGGCAAAGCCCGCCTGATGCGCCATGCGAGCGGCGGCCGCGAACCGCGCGACAATGTCCCGGATTTCCGGCTCCGTCAGCGCGCGCGGCTGGCCAAAGACGATCGCGCTGGACGCCTTAGCGACGAGCCCGGAGCCCAGGTTCACGGGCACGACGCTCGGCGCCACGGTCTTGGCCAGGTACGCCCGGGAGCCGGAGCCAAGCGTCGACTGCCGGCCAGGGTGGTTGATCTGCAGGATGGTCGGCGTGCCCGCCCTGCTGGCCACCTTTGCCCACTGCGACCAGGACGAGACGTGCTGCGCCGCGGTCAGGGCGTCGTTGACGGCGCAGTCATCTGGCGTGCACAGGTAGGTGGCATCAATATGTATATTGCCTGTAAGGATCATGCCCCAGCCGCCTTCAGCCCAGAGACCGTACGTCTCGACAAGGTCTGCGTGCGGCTGCCTATCCTTGTCGGCCCATCCCTCGGCCATTGCCGCCTTGACGAGTCGGTTTGGCAGTGTCAGTCCGCATTTGAGAGTAATGGGTTTTGCAATCTCTAGCTGCAGTTCGAGGGGGTTACCCATTGTGTACTGAAAGGGAAGCGTGACTGGTGAATAACACGTAAGCGTTAGAGGTGGTAGCCTAGCAATGAGAGAGTAATAAACAACTTCGAACTTTGATAAAAAGAAGCCGAAAAGCAGCAGAGACGTATAAACGCAGAAGGCAATAATTGCCAAGTCTTTATACTCTCCTTCTGCCTCCCATCTGAACATCTCAGCCACCTTAATGGCCATGCCTGCCTCGTTCCCCTACCGGCGCTAGGATCTTGAATAGAACGGAGTCGGGATCCGGGTGCCCCGTTTTGCGCCGGAATCTAGACTAATCCACGCTAGGACAGGGCAGATGTAACACCGAAAGGGGGTTCACCTAGGCCGGCCCAAGACTAACCCGGCCCGGCCGACGATTTAGCCCGGACGGCAACCAACCGCCCGCGTATCGGTACTCATATGTTCGGCTCGGATCAAACGATCTCCATGGAAAACTGCAATTGCAGATAATCTTGGCAGCGGCTTTTTCATATCTTAACTCCGCGGAGGGGGTGAAACCAACTCTCACATGTGCACCGACTATCGACCGAGGCTTGCCTTCACAGGATGTCTACCGTTGCAACTCCATCACGAATGGGCTGCTGGACGACATGGCTACTGAAAGGAAAGTTATATAAGATTGTCTTGGACGCACAAAAATTCGGCGATGACCTTGGCTTTCCTCAGCAGTACCGGAAAAGCAAGATAACCAAGACGAAGCAACTAAAAGACCGAACAGAAATATGGACGTCCCGTATGATTTTGACGTGGTCATTGTCGGCGCCGGCATCGCCGGCATCTGCACTGCCTATCGCTTGCAGGAGAGATGTCCCAAACTGAGCTACTGCATTCTCGAGGGTCGTCATGAAATCGGAGGCACATGGAGCCTGTTTCAATACCCAGGTTCGTACAGTCCAAAATGATGTCTCTGCAGGTACGAGCAAATCTACAAATACGCATGCCACTAATGCTCAGCAGGTATTCGTTCCGATTCGGACCTCTACACATACAGCTTTCCATGGCGCCCTTGGAAGGGAAAGACCATCGCCACTGGGGCTCAGATCCTCGGGTATCTCAAGGACGCGGCGCGTGAGCACGGATTGGATAAGCACACTAGGCTGAACCGCCAGGTGGACAACATGAGTTGGTCAAACACAACCGGGGCGTGGACTTTGGAAGTCACAAACACAGCTACGGCCGACACTACCGCCAAGACGGAGCGCATCCGGTGCCGATTCGTGCTGCTCTCAACCGGCTACTACGACTACGAGACGCCCCTGCAGGCCAAGATCCCAGGCCTGGAGGACTTTCAGGGCACCGTCGTGCACCCGCAGTTCTGGCCTAAGGATCTCGACTTTCGGGGCAAAAACGTCGTCGTCGTCGGATCCGGTGCCACAGCCATCACCCTGGTGCCCACGCTGGCCCGGCGAGGGGCAGCCCACGTGACGATGCTGCAGCGCTCGCCAACCTACATCACCTCAGTGCCGTCCGAGAGTGCAGTGCAATCTCTGACCAAGCTGGTACTGCCGCAGGACTTGGCGTCGTGCGTGATCCGATGGCAGTGGATTCTATTCATGCTCATCTTTGTGCGCTTTTGTCGGCTGGTCCCGAGACTCGCCTGGCTCGTGCTGCTTTTCCGAACTCGGACCGAACTCGCTCTGGACCAGTCCATTGAACCCAATTTCACACCCAAATATGAGCCTTTCGACCAGAACCTGTGTCTCACGCCCGATTCCGACTTTTATGAAATTCTTCGCCAAGGGAAGACGAGCATAAAGACAGGCTATATTGATCGTGTGACGCCCAAGGGCATCAGGCTCCAAACGGGCCCGGAGCTCCAGCCTGATATCATCGTGACCGCCACGGGGTTGAAGTTGCGCTTCGGCGGTAGTATTCGAATCTCGGTGGATGGCAGACCCTTTACGCTCAGCGAGCACTTTGTCTGGAAAGGATGCATGCTCGATAGTTTGCCGAATTGTGTCGCCATCATCGGGTATTATGACGCCAGTTGGACCCTGGGCACCGATATATCGGCCAAGATGGCGTGCCGTTTGCTGAACAAAGCGATGCGTGGTAAGAAGAAGACCATGGTTCCGCGCAGCAGGGCGGGCATGAACCCGGTGCCGCTGATGTATCTTAACTCGACATATGTGACGACTGCGGATAGCCTAATTCCAAAGGCTGGCGACAGACCACAATGGCAGCCAAGGAAATCGTATTGGTCTGAAACAAGGAGCGTTTGGTGGGGGGATATAACGACTGACATCGACTGGTCATGATGGCTTGTTGTACTAGGTAAGTAGACAGGCGCGAGCCGCTGTGGTATACAGGGAGAACAAGGCGAGATAGGAATGCAATGGTATTTTCTTGGCATTTGTTGGTTGCAGTAGAACAGATCTTGGCAACCAGGGGCGAGCTGGTGCTTTCGACGCTGACGTAATACGTGGTTGTTGGGACAAGGATTCCGCCATGTCACTGTTTCACTGTAAAATGGATAGATCGTACATCGCGCGTACATAAAATGCAGAGACTACAGCACTAGAGTGCATTAGCACCGGCATACGGCTCGCAACCAGATTTGTCTCTCAAAAGATGAAGTTATGCAGCTGGCGCTCCTACATAGCTAAGCTAACAGCGCCGGCACTTTGCTAGCCGTTCGGAGAGCTGTACATCCGAACGCCCCAGCGACTTCCACTGACCAACATGTCTGAGTCACCTAACGCGCGACCGGCCGAGCCCAAACTACTTTGCGCCTTTGGGAGTGCCTAGTTTGAATAGGTCTCCTGTCAGGTTGGAAACACAAACGACCTCATTGGCTTCCTGCTGGTCTGGGGAAAGAGATTGGCTGTCCCACTTTCTGCTTTAGGACATGCGACGGGCTGAAGGCTCTGTGGGAGATCTGTTGGGGCCTGATGTTTTCGCCTGTAATTCAAACGAATCGCTATGCAAACTCAGTTTTCATGAAGCAAACCCCATAAGTCTTTGCCATTTTTGGTGTGGCAATGGATATTTCGAGTCTAGAAAACCAATTGGCAAGCAGGGCAACTGAAAGAATCTTTTGTATAGGTCGGTAGAGGCAGATGGTAGATTCTAAAGAATCCCATGCGCACTCGAGCAAATACCTGCTGTCTTTCGGAGGCAAACACATCACAGGCAGTTCCCGCTAGACTGGTTCGTGTGAGCGACGGGTCTCATTTCCAACTTGGCTGGGAGCTGTCTTTCTCGCCCGGATAGCTTGCGTTCCGACCTAGTAGGCTGCACACGCTCCCTGCATGACAACCAATCAAGCAGACGCTGTTTGGAATCAATCTGCCATCCCTGCTCAAGGGAAAAGTGGGAAAAGAAACACCACGATGACGAGATGACATTTCTCCTGGGGAAAAATAACAGAAGTGTGCAGCTTAAGATTCTGGGGATGAGTGCAAAGGACGTTGTCAACGTGTTGTGCAATGATTTGAAGCTCGAAGCTATGCGCGGCTAGACAAACCCCGCGGCCACGACGTTTAACCATCTCCCAGAATTCCTCCAACGAGGCCATCATTCGACACGATCAACCCGTCATGACCTACGTGCGTTGCCCTGGTCTGGAATAGGGAGAATCGCCTGGAGAATGAGGGTGTCATCGACGCATACCACATCGGGAACAGCTTACAAGAGCCTTCGACCTGCACATCCCAGGGCGACATGCATTCTTTCCCTAGTACTACACTCACGCCAAGATCTCCATAATAATTATTACGTCCTCTGTGATTGGCCCCCGGAAAACCAACTATCCCAACATTTCGTGTTATTATGCCCTCGACTTGCTGACAAGATATGGCTGCGGCTGTGCGCTGTCCTGGGTCGAACAACTCTCAACACTAGTTAGAAAGACGATAGAGGAAAGCTTCTTGCCAGAGATGTAGACGTGAACGTGAAAGCTTGAGCCTCGATGTGCAGCTGCCTCTCATTTCACTGACTTCTATCCACTCCTTGTGCTAGCCCCGGACATCATCGGACGGGTCGTCGCCCATCCGACATACGTACTAGACAAGCCGGCTTGATCAAGTTTGCGGGAGGGGGGTGCGCTGCTCTCCCATCACGGCACAACCCGCCAAGGTATTGGAGCTCTCCTAGTGGTACGGCATGGCTGTGCCGGCGGTGGCTTCTGCTAGGGTTGAACCAGCCCTTCCCGATGACAGGAGCATTCGCTGTTTACCCACTCGCTGTTTATAAGACCTTGCCTCTGTCTATCCTCTCACACCTACTTGCCCTTCTCTTCCTCCCTACGCAGAAACGACACTGGAGATCAATAGTTGCAACAAAGTAACACAACATCCTCTACCATATCAAAATGCGCTTCTCCAATATTGCCCTCACCGCTGCGGCCGCTGTGGCCAATGCCCAGCGTCCCTCAGACACGCCCATCTGCGATTACTATACCACGGCTCTCCTCAAGAACAACACTGCCGACAACCAGGCAACTCTGCTGACTCTCCTCGTCAACACTGTTGTCATTGGCAACTGTGAGTCTATGCCCTGCTTGAGATACACCAGTCTATATCAACAAACCAGACGTTTACTAATACGACGCAGACACCATGCCCAATGTCAACGTCTCTGTCCCGGGCATTCTCAAACCTGGCGAATATGACGGCACCAAGGTCAACTTGGCCCCGTACTTCAATGGAGCCCTCGCCTCTAGCAACCGCAACAACAAGGCCAGCTGCGTCAACTTCCTCGACGGCGGCGGCGCCGAGCCCCTGATGAAGAACATGCCCGCTAACGACAACAAGTCCAACCAGTAGTATGTTGATGCTCCCACGCTTTGCAGACGGCCTATCTAACAATATCGCAGCTTTCTCCTCACCCACCTGTACCAGTTCTTCGGTACGCTGCTCGGATGCTCCAAGCAGGGCATGCCCGGCTTCGACGCCTACGGCGGAAATCCGTCCATGTACAAGGTGCACAAGTTCATGAATCTGGGCCCGGCCGAGATGGGCTACTTCATCACGCAGGTCGGCATGGCGGCCGCCTCGTTCGGCGTCGCCAAGGACGACATTGCCATCGTCGCAAAGGCTCTGGGAGATACCTTCAACATGCGCTGCAGCGCCCCCGCCGAGGTCATCAAGGGCAAGGGCGCCCAGCCCCAGGCCATCTGCATCAAGGCCAGCTGCCCCGAGGCCAAGGATGCCATGTGCAACGCCTATGACCAGGCCATGGCGCCCGGTAACTGCTCCATGACCTCGTCCGGCTCTATGATGCCCACCGGCACCAGCTCCATGACCGGCTCTGCAACCGGCTCCGCAACCGGCTCCGCAACCGGCTCCATGACCGGCTCCGCGACCGGCAGCAAACCTACCTCGACCTCGCCCCCTTCAACTGGCTCCGGCAATGTCAACAGCTTTGGCCTCGCTGCCGCTGTTGCCGCCATTGCCGCCTATGTTCTGTGATGGGATTGAGGGTGGTAATTGAGTATGAGAATTGTCGGGTTACTTTGGGATTCATGTTCCGTGAATGAGAGGCCATACACAAGTGTCTCGAGGGTTTAATAGTCAATGCAACCCATTTTCTGAACATGATGCCGTGTACTATTATCTTACATTCGCCGTTATGCGGCATTAGTCATGCGGGCTCCGTGGACTTGTCCATGATGAACACATTCTCGACACTGCTTTTGGAGCACGACTCACTTTCTCCGTGTAATCCTGTGGAGAATCGTATTTACCAGTTTCAGCAAATTTGTACCGGATAAACTAGTCATCTTACAACACGCGAAGCTAAACGGCTGTAATTGGTTTATCTAATGGTCTGACTATGACGAAATCTGCGTTCTTTCAGCGCTCGACACAACGACTCGTCCGATAGTCTACTGCTGCGTCAACTTCATATCGCTACTGCTTCTCATATATTTGTAAATATTCATTTTAACCCTACCACTAGCATTGGGTGCCCAAGTCCATGAAAACTACCACATACCAAACGCCCTCCGTAATGAAGATGCAATTTAAATATAGACCACGTCTGTGGCCTCAGCCCTGAATTTGCGATTCGCCGATCGAAACCCAACCCGCTAATTTTCAAAACAAAAAAAAATTATGTCACATTCGCTGGCATCCGTACTGTACTCCGATGTAGTTTGTTTGTCGGGCGATGAGCTTCAGGGGGGGGGCGAGGACAATGCCAGATACCCGTCGCCACCGTATCCGCCATCTAGGGTGCTGGCTGCGTTGATTACTGCCATAAGCCGTATCGGTGGCTTGCCAGTTAATCCGATTTGCAAGACGCGGTGCCATCACCCTTGCCCATAAATAGTCACCGCCACCGCTTCTTCTTTCGCGGCTGAGGGACAACGACAGTTGGGTTAGTCGAGGGCATTATCGGTTCTGAGGCGGCCTTGCTCTCGTTGGTGCTAATGCTGTAGTGCGTAAAGTTTGTAGGCTTTCCCAGGATAAACCCCAGCGACCGACTCGTTCCTTGGCCGGCTTCGGCCTTCATGAGCTCACTCAAGTCGTGGCTGACCCGGCGCGCAAACTCGAACGTGTAATAATTATCGCCATCAAGCAGCTCGCCAGTGGTAACAGGTATTGGAATAACGGACATAATAGGCATGTCGGCCAAGGTATAGCCGGAGAGCGTCGACCACGTTCTGCGTCGTGCGGAGCCCTGTGAGCTGGACGACGGCGCAACTTGCTCCTCCAAAGGCGGTTGCTGTGCAGCCAGGCGATAGTTAACGAGAGACCCGGCAGGCCCGTGAATGTTGGCAAATACATCAATCAGTGTTCGCATACGGTTGGCGAGTTCGGAGTTGGAGGAAAGCAAGCGACTAATGCGCTTTTCCAAGCTCGCCCGACTGTTTTCGGCGTCGACCAGACCAGGGCTACAATGGAGAAGTGTTGTTAGCAACCAATTCCTGTCGAACCAATTCGGTTTCCGCATCCCAAGACGTAGGCTTACCATTGAAGAACGGTCGTCATCATAGTCATGGAGAGGTTGTGCCAGCGGATGCGCGCGCACAGACTGCGCAGCTTAGGGTCGAACTTCTCGCAAATTATCTGGTGCGCGGTTGAGGCTGAAAGTAGGTTCTCGATAGCGTAGCACACATCTTGCAGCTCCGAAAAAGCCAAGACGATGTCAGCCATGGTAACGACGACATCATCAGCTTGAATCCACGTGCTGCGCTCCGGGAAAGGCAGACGCGCGGATTCGAGTAGACAGAGAGTTTTGTATAATATATGAGCAGAAGAACGGCATTGCTTTGATTCCAACATTGCTTCGTTTAGAAGGGTCGTGCTTGGAGCCAGAACAGCGTTCAATTCCAGCAGCATGTCGAGGATCTTGCCGCCGACAGCCAAGAGGCCAATGCTGGCCGTCGTGACGGACAAGTGCTCCATGCCGCTGTTCATGGTGTGAAACTTCGAGGAAAGAGATACGACGAGGCGAGAGAACGAAGGGTGATTTATGTCGCTTTTTTTTTTCGGCCGTGACGACGGCGACGTGGAATGTTTGAACTCGGGGCGGCGGCGGGATCCTGAGACGTTATTGCGAGGCCTGTAATCGTGTCCCGTCAGGGCGGTAGTCAGGCAGCCAAGGCCATGGCTTGCAGCGGTTTCGAGTTAGTTGGTGGTGTTGAGATGTCGAAATGAAATCAACAAAACTAAAGTGGCCTCGAAAGAGAAGTAACGGGACACTGCAGAGATTAAAGTAGACGTTACGCAGGACCGCCCAGAAAAGTTGCCATGCGTTCTGAGACCCCGCAAGTGCGAGAACAAGGGGAACGAGGACGACGTCGCCCGCGCAGGGCGGCCTCATGGGCAGCGCAGAGCCTGAGTGGCGCAAGGCAGGCGGCCTAGCACGGATAACCGGCACCTGGCGCAAGACGAGCGCACCGTGGAATGCCGTTCAGAGTCTTGTGGGCGGGAGGAGCCGATTGGGTCCGCTGCCGACTATCCGAGATGCCCTGCGCCAGACTGTGCCAGAGGAAGGCATGGGAAGCCAATGCGCCGTGGCGGGTGGTGTGGAAGCGGGCCATGGTTGATGGTCTACCAGTACGGTGTCTTTATGGCCTTGGGATGGTTGGCTGAATATCCTCGAAGTCGTTTTATTTTCTTTGTTCGACTCACCCGATATCCCACCCGCTCTCTGCCAATATTATCGCTCTGTTGTCTCAAGCTGGAGGCAATCGGGTTGACGGCTTCCTGCTTCAACTCAGGACTGACGAACCCCCGAAACCCTAGCCAGGTCTCCAGCGTGACCCGGTCCAGTCCATTCACGGCTACCTGAATGCAGCGCCAGCGGGGCCCCTAGAGAGTTTTTGGTTTTGGCTCTTTGGCTCTGAAGCATGATTACGCTCTTTGCCTCATAGGGTTTCATCGAGAGTCGGGGAAGGGTGGTAGCAGTACGGTGGAGCTTGTGTTGGCACAACTGGTGCGGGCAATCATTCGAGTGACGAAAGCGATTAGACGGTGGTGATGTCTTCGCGTGCGCGTTAATTGTAGAGAGTTGCGTATGCTGTGTTGAATGAAAAAAGGAGGGGAGAGGAGGCTAGCGCTATCCGGTTCTAGATGAAGCCACGGCGTTTGCAGTCGCCAGCTGGTGGCTTGTGTTCGTCCATCGTGACAGCTGACAACCGGCCTGCACTTTGCAGCTGGCGACAGCACAGACAGCCAGCTTGCGATACGGTAAAAACTCTTCATCACTTACATTCTTCGTCGTCTTCACTCCTAATTCTATACAACCTAACGGCCATTACGCACTCACACATTCATTAACATGCATCTGACTGATCATCAAGTCCACAGCCAGGCCCACTGATGTGTGCCGTCCACTCCGATTCAGGCGGCATTTGTTCACCACCCACCCATCCATGTCACCAACGAGAGCGCCCTATTCTCCGCTCCAACCAAAACCGCCTCCGTGGCTCGTATTATCCTAGCCACCCTGTCCGATACTCCGTCATCCGTCAACTATGCAGCCAAGAGGAACCCCGAGGCACAAGTCCCATCTCCCCGTCTTGGCTTTAGCGGCCTCGGACCAGAAGCTGCCCGCCAGGCGACGATGCCAAGATGCCAAGCGATCAGATAAAGACGCCCAATGTCTAGACAAAGCCAAGTCGAGTCTCGACTCTGTGGAGGGCCATCTCAATTACGGGCCTGTGATTTGTGGCCAAAAGCGAAGCTAACAAAGGAGTGCCAAGGGGAGCGCTCCCGGCTTGCAGGATGCCTTATTCCCATGAACTGGCAGACAATGGCCGCCCGCCACGAATGCCGCTAGTCTCACCACCGCTTATTCTCATTCTATCTCCGCCGGCAATGGCATCCAGGCCTGCCAACGACGATAATAGCCGTTTGGCCAGCTAGAATCTCACATCGCGGGGCACGGGGCTGACATAGTACACAGTTTGCTTGGTTGCCGTACCCGACGAATGCTTTATCTCTGTATACCGCCGCCCTGGAAGCAAGGCAATCCAAATGCCCATCAACCAACCCTCCGCCATCCGAATCCGCGCCGCAGCTGCTAGAGCTAGTCGGCCAACGTCTCTCCCTTCCCCCCTCGAGCCGACTTTTCCGAGGAATTGTCCTTTTACCAGAGCGGCACCTCCCATTTCGCACATTTTATTCCCCATTTGACGCACGATTCTGCACCCCGCTATTCAGCTCGCTCTTACTCGGCAGGCAACAAGTCGCCCTTCAGTTGTCCACCACATGCGGAAGCGGATTGTTTACCTCGCATCTGACGCGAAACTGTTTTGCTGCCAGAAATCCCCTTGATCCCTGAACGCTCGAAATGGGGAGGGACGCCAATGACGTTGCCCGTGCCGATAGCCGTGATTTGCTCCCACGCACGTCCGTAGGGCTCGCCACCAGTCTGAAACGGGAGGCAGATTGACTAGTTAGCTGCCCGACCCAACCAGTGGTTTTGAACGCAGCGTGACAGCTTCGGCCAGCTGTTGCCGCGATAGGGTGCATGGTTCTGAAATCACTCGACACCGATAAGAGACAAGCTGGTCACGGGCGACTGAATGCAATTATGCGGACTCGCTGCAACCATCCTCCTCTGCATTTCAGCGAACAACCCGCACATGCCCACTGCAACGGTGTTTATGAAACTATCTGCACTGCTCGTAATATTGCTCGTTTATCGTCTTCGTACAGCCAGTCCACAGTCCTTCCCCAGCCACTTCCAAGACATCGTGGCCGATGGGTGAGTGCGATGCCACCATAGGCGCTCTAACGCAGCATTCTATATACGACCATGTCCTCGCCCGTGGCTTTACAGACCAGAAAAAAAAATCGAAACCAAATTGCTACTGACGCCGGTATCAAACAGTGATCGTCGCTCCGTCACCTGCACTGCACCGGTAGCATTGGGGGTGAAGAGACGAGACGGACAATCTTGACCTGGTGCAATGTACGGAGTAGGTCGCCTTCAGACGACTCGGTGCTCGGATCCGCTTTCTGCAGATATGCCTCTTCTGCGATGTGACGCTACCTAGCGTCCGTAATAAAGCCGTCGGAAATGATCCCCTCTTGTCCGACGCAAGCTTGGATGATGGGAATGCTCATAGCGACCTGCTGACGACTGTCCAACCCCGAGTCGAAACCAAAGAACGTCAGAGCCCGCCGCGAAAACAGAATTCACGAGTAACATTAAATAGACCTACACCTGAAATTCGTCGTATCTATGTACTTGTTTGCTGGCGGTGTTTGGAGTCTGTACCTTTGCGTCGCTGGTCATGAGCCACTTGTGCCGATGGATTCCCGGGCGGGAAAGGCAACAACAGTCGCAGTCTTTGGATGGTCAATTGACGGCTTCGGATTGATGGCGCTCATATCAGAAGTTTCGTTCTTCTGCGCAATCGCGACTCACACATGGTTCTTGATAGAAGGGGGTCCCTTGGGACTCGGCACAAAGCTATCCATGCTAGGTTGCGCAACATTCGGACATCAACATTAAATTCGGCTCAGCTAGCTACTTGACAGATCCGACGTGCGTTACAGATCCAACTTGTACTACAACACCAGTGCTCGACTCGCAGTCCTGAACACGCTGTCCCCTATATGCGGTACTGTACATGGCGCCTCCCCAGTGTCGCAAGATGTCATATGCGCGCAAATTCAGCCACTATTATGGCACCAGTTCTATTTTTACACTCCCAGCCAATTGCCTCTCTAATGGGCGCTTGAGCTGAGTCTCGAGCGCTTGCGGCCGCTGCCTGTCGTAGCTGGGTGCATCTTTTCGTTTCTCTCTCTCTTGAGCTTATCATCCAAAACACGAGCTGTGGGGAACGACAAGTCAGCTTAATGGTCTTTCTTCTGCGCATTTTCTTTCCCATCTCCTTTTCGGAGGCAAACATCCTGACCCGGGACTGCGGCGGAGCTCTCTCGCTCGGAACCGCCAGACCTCGGCCACCAAGACGGGAAGAAACTTACTCAAAACGTCATAACCAAACTGCGGGTGTTCCAAGCACAGGCTCTTGAACTCAACCTCGGCCTCGGAGCGGAGGGCGTGCGAGCGGGCGGCCCAGAAGCTAGCGATGGGCGCGCGGACGGAGTTGTCGTCGGGTGCGGTGTGGGAGTAAACGTAGCGGGCGTAGGCGAGCTCGCCGCGGGCCGTTGAGTTGATGCAGTGGATCTTGGACGAGGCCAGTTTCTTGAGGAGCTCCATGCCGAACTTCTCGGCGAGCGTGTAGATGCGCGCGTGGCGCAGCAGGTGGTCGCCGTTGTCGTCGACGCCAGGCGCGCTCGGGTCGTGCTCGAGCACGCGCTGCCCGGGCACCTTGCGCGGGAAGTACTCGCCCGTGTATAGGAACTCGAGGAAGCTGCCCATGGCGTTGTAGTCTTCGTCGGGGAGCTCGATGGAGCGCGGCTGCGGATTGCCGAGCGTTAGCGAGACTGGCACGGCTGCGGACAGGACGGCGCCAATTGGCTGCCGGGGTGAATGGCACGTACGCTGCCGTCGTCGACGAAGCTCTGGCACAGCTGTTGAAAGTACGGGCTCTTGGTCAGCAGCGCCTGGTGCGCCGTCAGGACCGTTTGCGAGGTTTGACCGACGAGCAGCGTCACAACGGGGCTCGCGAGGTACTCGATGAAGCTTGGGCGCGTCTCGGCGACGGGGTCCTCTTGGATGACGCTTGTCTCGGCGTCCTCAACGGGGCCCTTTTCATAGGGCGTCTCCTCGGCCGCCGCTCCAGTACCCTCCATCTCGACGTCGGCGCTGCCCACAGCAATCTCGACCTCGACGTTGGAGGCGTCATCGCGCGCGCTGATGCTCTCGGTGTCGTGGTCGGGCATTGTTGCGATCGGTCAATTGGGGCTGTTGAAGGGGTTTTTCTGGGTGGAGTGGTCGTGGACGACACTGTATGCGCGGCGATTGAGGCCCAACAAGCTGCTTATGAGCCTTGCTGTATATGAACGATGTTGCTTTTCCTCCGACAGCTTGGACAATCAGAGTGGAGCGACTGTAGCTGTAGCACATCTAACTAGTCAGTCCCAGAAGCAACAGTGTCACCCAAATTACTGCGCCTTAGGCAAATGTGAAATAACTACTGCATCTAACAATAAGAGACATTAGCATCCGTTTACATATTTCAAATATTAAAGAGCAGTCTCAGTGACCGCGGTTGTTATTACTTCCCCTCACAATACTTATTCGTAGCGACCTACCCTATACCAGCTACTAACTAAGATTGGCCCCCACGACAACACTCCTTCCTCTTACATCTACACTGGTACCCACCTTTGTAGAGAGA